GTCTACCCACAACAAACTCGATAAAGTAAAATCAATTTAGTGTTTTTAAATAATATTTGCATATTAAATAAAATTTAAAACCGCAAAAGTTTTACACAGGTATTTCCCAATTAGCAGTAACAAACTGAGTTTATCTCTATAGGTCTTCACTAAAATATCGTTTCAAATTAAAGGCAAGTTTTCCAAAGAAGACCCAGCTAATGGCGCTATGAGCCCTCCCAGCCAGAATGTATCCAGCGGCCATTCAGAAGTGCCGTCCAAACAAGTCTGCACTGAAGAGGAACCATGGCTGTCGTCACCCAAAGACACAATATTCCCTGAAACTATTCCTGAAGAAAGCTCTAGCACTGAAGAAGAACATGTGGTATGGAAGATCTACATTAATAATATAAAACATTTGATGCTATCAGCGCAACAGTGGAGTAACCTACATATAATTTATTTTATGCAATATTACTCTAAATAATACTAAATTATTTTATATTTGGATGCTATTTTAAAATATAAAAATATTAATAATTATAATTAATTAAAAATAAAATGGCATCCAAATATAAAGTAATTATGTACTTTAGTATCATTTAAAATAATATTATAGAAAAAGAAATGTGGGTTACGCCACTTTTGCGCTGGTAGCCTCATTTTGTTTCAGTTATGCTAATAATCCACACAGTCAATCCTTAATAGCATGTTGACAAGTTTATATAACCGACAAAAGTGGCACTGCTGACTTTGACCCATCTTCTTATCGCATTGATGGCATACGCTGTGTTATTGTAGCCCAGAAATTATTGCCGTTACCCGCATTACTTGTACTATCCTTGATTGACTGCCTCGGTGGCTGAACAGTTACCATGCCGGACTGCTACGCAGAGGTTCCAGGTTCGATTCCCGGGCCGGGAGAAATATTTGTATGGCCTACATTTATTTTTCTCGTGAGTTTGGGTGTAATTTGTGGTTGTATGTCATGTGTGTGTCCATGGCATACGCGACACAGGGTGTTCCTAGTACGGGGCTGTGTTGAGTGTACGCACGTATATTATTATATCCGCTATGGTGGAGTGTGGGACATGTTTGCCATCGTGATGAAAAGTCTTGCCAATCGGCGTAACGCACTCGCCGATTGTTGCTCAGAGCGCCCTGTCCCAAAATATATGTTCTTGAGGTGTCAGACGCCGGCCGACCAAACTGTGATCCCGGCGCACTAATGCGAGAGTAGTCGCGCGTCGCCTGGCGGTGGAGTTTTAAAACAGGACGCGACGCGACGCTTCGACTCTGCGCCAGTGTGGGTTGAGCCTAAGTGTATAATTTGAATGTAACTTAAATTTTACAACTAAATTTCAGTTTATCTACCGTTTACCATCTGAACAAAATTGCGGGGGAGCTGTCAAAGAAACCTACACAGTATACGCTGCTGATCCAAGTATCTTCCAATTACGAAAAGCTGAAGCTTTGAAACAACCATTGCCTGGTATCAAGCCCTTGCCGCAAGTTACTAAAATGAGGTAATTTCAAAAATTTACTTTTTAACACAGACTATTTGTTGAAAAGTCTTGTTTTGTCTATTTTTCTTTAAACTCTTTGGAATAAAAAGCTTTTGAAATTGCCTTGTACGTCTAATAGTTATTATTTTTTTAGTTCTTCAGATAAAGAGTCTCTGTCTGACAGCGGAGGTGCCCCACAACATTCCAAAGGCACTCCTACATCAGGTGATAAGGCTTCATCTCCAAAGCAGGCAAACGTAAGTAAATTTAAAAATCCATGGTGTAGTTTTGTATACATTGTGTTGACTTGCATTCTCGCCATTATTTACAGAGGTTATTCTATATCCGAAAGGATGGTCCGGAAGGAGGTTATTCTGAACCCAAATGACTAAAAAAATAAATCTCAAAAAATTCCAAAATTCTTATTTAATTGCGGTAAACATCGACTCGCAATCACCTGATCCAAAGATCGTTAACTTTTGCACGGCACGTGTAACCAAACAGCGGCCCGAGAAAAGAGAAGCCATTGTTGTTATCTCTTTCTCAAACGTAAGCGCATAAGGTTCGAAACACAAAACTGTGTTGGAACGTCGCATCGCAGAAATGTACGAGCTCGCATGACACATCGCAAGAATTTGCGAATGACTCTGCATCGCGCATTCCTGCGATGTGAATCTTCTGTGTGTGTTTTTTTTCCTATACTTAAGAAAGTATAGGTAAGTATAGTTGCACTTTTTTTACGATCCATTTCGCTACCTAGTTTAAAAAATTCGTTCAGTGCGGTTGATGATCGTCGAAGGAATGGTTACCCGAACCGTGGCAGTGAGATGCCTTGCCGCAGGAAATCGCATCGCAGCAATTCGCGTCGCAGTTTTCTGCGTTACGAATTCGCATCGCGCCGATTCGCAGTTTTGTGTTTCGACCCTAAGTCTTATGCCTTAAGATCGCCGCAATCAATAATTTGTCAATTCTATCTAGTCTATCGTGAAATGCGCGCGTGTGTTGTTGTGTTTTTTACAAGAGATTTTTCTGTTCACAAGAACTATTACCAGCAAGTACTTCTTCTCATTATGGACGCCAAGTGTGTGATTATTAAAGTTTTGATGTGAAACGTTTGGTTTACACGGAGAAGGTTACGAGTGACAAACAATTTCGCGCAAAAACCGTCTCCGCTTTCAAACTTATGAAGTCAACTAAGTCAGGTTTCAAACTACTGTTCAATAAGTTGAAACGAAGCTCTCGACAATGTGCGATTTTTTGCATATCCTGTAATAGTGGACACTTGAAGGTTTTAACCTAAAATTGGTAAGTACCAAATCTAAATTCCACAAAAAAAAGCAAACATTGTCAGTCAAATTCCCTAATTATTGTAAATAATCAATGAATTATAACAATACGTAATTATAATAATAAAAAATAGGTACTTAAGCGATCGAGAAAGATTACGTATCGTTCAAGTTCCTCGGGCCCTGTCGGGGTCACTGCTCGCTCGCGGCGCATACTTTTTAAAGTCAATTTTGCAAAACTTTACTACATACAATTAGTCAGAATATTGAACAGAATATTTTTTTTATATATTTAAATGATTTAGTATTATTTATATTATTAATTTCTTAAATATGGCGAGAATACAAATCAACACACTGTATTTTGAATTTTACTGAAGTAGGTTACGTGTGGTTTGAAAAATAACCGTTACTTAGAGTCTCACAGGTCTTTGCATTGCTGTAGGGACAATATTACCGTACTCCATCATCACCGAAAGCACATTAATCTAACTCAATAAACTAAAAATAGCGTGGACTTACAAAACAAACCTATAATAATGCAACAACAATAACTTCTCCACTACCTTGTACTCTGTATTACCTTAATTGAAGACGCATTTCAGGTATCGGCGGCAACTTTTCTAGATGTTGCTACCCTCAGATGCCTCTTTACATCTACATGGCAAGAAGAGGGAGTGTATTGGGCACTTCATTACTTGTATAACAGGTTCGAGTAATATGTAACATATGTGTCACGTTGTGTGAATAATAATAAGAATCTTGAAATATAATTTTTTATCTAAAAATTGCGCTAAATAATTCATTATTTAAAAAATTTTATGTCCTTATTACAGGCTTCGAGATATATGTGATGAGTTATCCAAACAAACTCATCCTCGTCGCCGAAGCAACTCGTTACCAATACCAAAAATAGAAGTCTCCGTATACCAAAGCTCTGATAACAAAGACAAAGAATCTTTGAAGAACTTCATAGAAATACCTGAAGTAAAAGATATATCCCCGGTCACAGAAATACCATTCCCACTCATACAAAAAGAAGATGACCGTATAATGACTAGAAGAGCAAGTGAAAAAGTAAAACGTAAAATGAAAATGGCAGACTTGAAAGCTTTCGTAGAGACGAAATTGCTATCGAAATCTGAGAAGGCGCTTGAGAAAATCGGACATGACGACCATAAGTTCAGTTTTCATACTGCTGTGAGAATGATATCTGTAAGTACTGTGTTTTTTATTTTGTGAAACATATTTTCACTGGACGTAGACGTGTTATTAAATACCTAGCCAGAGATCGCTACGGATAAAGGGATTTAGAAATCCGATACATAACTGAACTGAACACTATTGTAGGCTAACAAAAAAAGGCTTGTATTGTATGTTGACCAACTCATAATATATTAGTACTGTATAATACCACTAGTTGGGAGATCTACGAACGCTAGCCTCCTTTATAGAAGTTCGTGAGTTCAATGCCCACTGGAGGGCTTGCACCGCTGTATTTATTCAAATTATGTGCAGAATATTTATCATTTTCCTTAACCGTGAAACAGAACATTGTGATGAATTTACACTGCCCTCGTAACGAAAAAAGGCACAACTATACGTACTTTATATAGCAGTTGTGCCTTTTTTCGTTCTGAGGACAGTACATACATGTTGGATGTTTAGTAAATTTTTCAAAGTTGTGTGATATCCCTAACTCACACTGGGACGCCACGGTGGACTATGGCCTAATCTAAATCCTGACCTTAGTGGAGACACATGCTCACCAGTGAACCATATATCCGTTGATAACGCTCACAACGCAAACGCAAATATAATATTTAGTATTAACAATCACAGACTATGTTCTTACAGATACTGGCGACTGCCTGTGATAAATTAATTTGATTAATTTGATATTATCGATTCATAGTTCTAAATCACACAAAGTAAAATTCTCTCGATCTGAGAGAACTCGAACCAGCGCCTGTTGCCTCAACAAGGCTACTGCTCTGTTAACTTTGTGTTTGTTCGATCCTTGTATCAATAATAATTGGAGTATTTTCACAAAAAAATAGAATATCATGGCCGTAAAATCATCATGATTCAATAAAATAAAAAACATTGCAATTAATAAAGCGACATCTCAGCCACTGGTAGTTGTAAAGATGTAATATGACTGAGTGAAGAAAAAAGTTTCATAGGTTTCTCACAGGTGGCGTTCCAGCAAAGAAGCCGTTTAAACACAGAACAAAGATCGGCAACGAGCACATAGAGAAATTCGTGAGGTCAGCTGATTCGTTCCTTAGGCCAGTTGAGAGAGTGGTTAGCCCGGGTCGATGGAATTTCCCTTTGTATTTGTTTCATCGTTGTATCATATATTGGGACCGAAAAAAGGCACAACTGTCGTATAAAGGACGCATAGTTGTACTTTTTTTCGTTACGAGGGCAGTATAATATTTATTTGAGACTAAGGTACTTATTATGATGAATGTCAGGCATGTTACTATTAATAATTCGTTAGCTGTCGATCGCTATAATAACTGATATCTATAAGCAACCCAGTACAATATAAGCAATATTGTTACTCTTTAGTCATTGTCTGACTTCTACAGTGCCTGGACATCCTCTGCGAAAAAGAATCAATTTATTTCAATGTTCCTTGAATAATAATATATAATACTAATATTATGGTATATAATCTCAATACAAGGAAACAGGTCTTATATTAAAATAAAGACTATCAATAATAAATGTTTATAGGTAGCAGTAATTAGAGTGCTCTACAAATGCTGCATTAAAAAAATTGTGCTGAGGAAAGTTGCAATTGTCATGTAGTCTTTTATATTGTATAGTTCTTTTATATTGATTTCAGGAGTACCACCGAAGTCTCGACCATACAGACGTAAGGCCTAACTCTGCCATGGCAACAAACTTCGCTCCTCGAGGACCGAGGCTAACCGGAGATTTTCTCCAAACTAATCTCATTAAAGGAAAGAGTATGCCGAGCCTTAGGTAAGTCAACGATAAAAACTCTATTATTACTATTTATACCTTTTTATTTAGACATTTGTTGAACTTTTCTTTCCCATTATTATTTTTTATTAGATTTAATTGTACATCTTTAAGTACCTTTTACGTAACGTGAAGCTTTTAACATACGCGTTATAAAATAGTTCCAACAGGCCTACCAAAAATACATACATTTCCTAACGAAATAATAGAAGAATTTCTTCTCTCAACTTACTATACTTGGCGCGTTATTGTAGTTTTTTGACACCACACTTTTTCCAAATCAATACTACAATTTTCAGTGCACAGCTTGGTATATTTGTCATTAATAATATTTCCTGTTTAAAACAATTGTCTTTTTCTCTTCCGTTTTTTAAAACGCTTAAACCCCATACACTTTGTCCCGGACAATCCGGTAGCTGTTTGATTGACGAACAACCGCATACTAATGGGTAAGTGATACATGTACCGACGGCAGTAGTCGCTTTGTACTTTTAGATGCAAGCGTAGATCGCAGAAGCTCTGCCACATCATGCAAAGTAAAAGTGGGATCGGAATCGCATCGCAGTAGTTAGGGCTCCTACATGCGCGTCGGCAAACTCATATTAAAGTTTACACTAAATGATTGCTTAGGTACACAAATATGCTATTTAATTGAGTTTAACATCGCTTGGTAATAATACTGACTGATGTACAATGGCTTTTCATTGAATGCTAATGTGTGATGTGTCTACGCTTGAAATTTATGTGTGCAAGAGTTCTAATTTTAAACCACTATGGGACTTTTCTTTATCGCCTACCCTTCACTTGTTCAACTTTTGCTTTAAAAATTTTCTTTACGAGTTCTTCATGATTACTGCCTATATTGTAAATAATAATTACATTTTTTTATAATTATGCACTATTATAATTACTTAAGTTATTTCTGCACTATACTACTATGTTTCTATTTTATTAATTACTTTATGGCCTATGTTGACAAAAATTTATAATAAATGAACAGACAGTATCACATCAAGCTACACATTGACGGATCTTGTTCCGTCGCTGTGGAGGCGAGATTTTACAAAGTGTACAGCTTGATGTGCTGTTCAGCTGTACAACTTGTATTTACAATTAATAAATCTGCATAAGATTTATATTAAATAAATAATAATAAAAATAATAAGCTTAACATTTATAAATGTAAGTCTATAATTTTTTTATATTAACATTATAAATTACAAGTTTTTCATTTAATTTTTTTTTTATAAAATAAATTATGCTAATATGTGCATAACTATTCTGTAGATTGAGCAGCTTCACTATGTTTATATATAAAAAATTAAAAATTAAAATTACTGAAATATTCAAAGTTAAATTTGCCGTAGGTTAATCAAAACATTACATTGAACATAATGCATTGTCGCAACGTTCCTTCTATTATACATGTAGCATGTGTAGTTAGATACAGAGTTAAGAAACAAAATCTCAATTTAACACATTCCACGCAGCAAAACTAAAAAGAAAAAGAAATCGACGTTAGTGGACCAGAATATCAGTATACTGATTTTAGTAGTATCATGTCCGTGGTAGTATTAAAGCTTGTTGACCAATCATTGCACTCTGACAGCGGAACGCGACAAGAGAAATTCATTCGACCAATCGTGAGCCTCCGCGTCACGCTGCTCTATGACATGACATGCATAACCAGCAGTCATGTTACTAAAACAAATTCACAATTCACTGCGTCATAATTTCCGAAGCTATATTAAATTAATTAAAGTATTTCAAAATATACTATATTTCAGATATATCGGTGAGATGAAGACTGAGCGAGCGCATGGACCTCCGACCGTAATACCATCCAACGTACAGAAGAAAAAGAACCCTATTATTACAGTCACTGAGCACACACCTTCGCCGTCTCCGGACTATCTGTCTAAAACTGGACAGGTAACAATTTAAGTAACAAATTGTTATTTTTATCTATTTATTTATATTTGTAACAAAATGTTGTATATTTTAAAAAAAACTTTTAGTATATTTTTATAAAATAAAGGTAGATGCATAAAATATGATTACCTGTAATTGTTCACTTACTGCCCTTTTTAACAACCTCTATCGAAGAGTCGCTAGCTGATATCGAACACTTTGTTTGTGAAATCATTTACTTATTATTCGAATAAACATATCTAATGAAACCCTCAATTTGCGTGAAGTTTATATTACACATTAGGCTAGTGTACATCCTCTTCTTAAAGGGACACATACATAGAAGGGGATCGTATATAGGTATGAAAAATTATTTATTCACAGGGTTCAATGGAATCCCAAATAGATTCGGTAAGCATGCAGGGATCACAACACCTACCGACTCCTGAACGCAAACCGAGTCTGACTCGATCGCAGACAGACTCCAACATCACTTACGTAGTGGAGGAAATTCAGGAAGCACCGGGTTCTTTGCATTACATAACTCAGGATGGTGACATTGATTTCCAAGTTGTTCTCAAGGTATGTATTTTATATGAACTTAAATATTTTCAGTAGCAGTAAAGCTCCTTGTGAAAGATTTCGTGAAGGGAAGTATTGCCACCTTACCACCGACAAGCAGAAACGTCAACATTACTGTGCTCCAGTTTTGAAGGGTGAGGGTGCTGGTGAAATAACAGGCACATGGGACTTCTCAGGGTGATGGGCACAGTGGCAGTACTCCTCAGATCTGCGATTGCGATTTAAAGCTCTGAGTGGTACTGCAACTCTTATGGACAGGCGTGTAGCTTACCATCAGGCGCACGACTTGTACGTCCCGTCACTTGATGTTATAAAAAAAAATATTTTATTAAATATTAATATATTTAGATGTATTAGATGTTTTCTCTTTTTATGTCTCCATATCTCTTTAATAATAATAATTTTCTTATGTAGTATAATTTCACTGTAATCACTGCTGAGGCACAGGCCTCTCACAATGAGAGGGCTTGGAACTACACTACACACTAGCTGGGGCTGTAGTTGCCACGGGAAACAATGCAGATTGGAAACTTCACACACATCATTATATTGCTTTGCAGATGTTTGCATGTCTCTCTCTCTTTAGCTAATGTTAAATATAGTCAACAGTATTCAGCATCGTATACTTGCTAATTCCTTACACAATACGTTTTAGCATTAGCATGAGACTGAATTTTGCCGAAATTTGTAGCTTAACCCTTCCCAAAACAGAACATATAACACAAACTCAATTTACAGAAAATACTTCAAATACAATATATCATTTTTATTATAAAATTATATGAACAGTGAACTCGCCGTAGACGTTCAATTTGTAAAGAGATTGCCAACGCAGAAAATCGCGTAAGCGTATTTGCCTTACTATGAACACTACCATATGTATCATCTGTCATGTGAAAGTGTGTATACAATAAAAACAGGTTCTAAGTAACTAATGATTTCGAATTCTAATCGGGCAAAGTGAAGAGGCTTTTAGTCAGTCTAATATTACAGGCCGTGTACTCCGTATCAACGATGGACAGTTATTATATAACCATCCGCGTAATGGAGGTGATGCTCAACATGGTAGATACTCTGATGGAGATAGGGGTCCATAAGAACTGGCAAAACGGCAGACCTGATGACCCTCAACCTGAGACTATCGATCCTCTAATTGACTTCGGGAAAAAAGAGGAAAGCAAGGTAGGTTTAAATGAATACATTTATCGAGTGTATTTTAAATAAAAAGCAGCACCGTGTGTTCCTATGTTTTTACGGTATGAATGAAACTTCTTTAAAAACCTTGTGTACGGCGTACCAGGCTCACTGTGTCCACTGTGTCCATTGTGTCTACTGTTTTTATCTAAATCTCGGAAATATATTGTAAGCCATACAATTTAAAGTCAGATTTTAATTTATATGGCTTATATTATTTTTTTTTCATGTAGTGTGATTTTTTACTAGAACAGTATGGGGAAATCTGAAACAGTACGATACATATTATTAAATTGCTATCGTAAAATTATTCAGTTTTATGGAAAAATCACCTAAAATATTTCTACAACAAATTCCTAATGATACCTAAGATAGTTTACCTGTATATGCTTGGTTTCCGTTTTTCACGTACTGCCCCAATTGAAACAACACTGTATTGTGATCTACTTACAGGAAAGAGATTCCGGCTTACCATGCGGCCAAAGCCAAGATTCGACAAATGTGGACGGTGGAGACAGCGCCAAGGACAAGCTAAAGGAAGAAGAGCATTTGGACTGTCCTTACTACATGATAATGCATATTGTTCTTCGGTATGTTATGCCTAATATTGAGTTATCATTACTTCTAGTAACTTCTACTACTATACTTCTTTTCTAATAATATAATATAACGCACACACTCAACATAGCCCCGCACTAGGGAAAACCTGAGTCGCGGGTGCCGTGGACACACACATAGACAACCACAAATTACACCCAAACTCACGAGAGAAATAAATGTAGGCCATACAAATATTTGTCCCGGCCCGTGAATCGAACCTGGGACCTTTGCGTGGCAGTCCGGCATGGTAACCGTTTGGCCACAGAAGCAGTTAATATATTTGCATTATTAATAATTAACACAATTTTAAATATTTCATACCTTTAATACATACCACTACAACGGATGGGTGCCGTTACACGTCTGCGATGAAAATATAAATTTGCATAATGAATAACTAACAAATAATGTAATATTTCATACTTTTAATACATACCACTATAATACATAATTGCCGTTACATGTCTGCAATGAAAATATAAATTTGCATTATAAATAACTAACAAAAAAAATAATATTTCATACTTTTAATATATACCACTACAACAGATATGTACCGTTACAAGTCCGTAACCAAAATGTAAATTTGCATTTTAAATAACTAACAAAAATATAGATATTTAATACTTTTAATACATACCATTTGCATAACATAACAGATAGGTGCCATTATACGTCTGTAATGAAATTTGTAAATATAAGAGTTCCAAAAGTGGTATAGGAAAATTTTGCATCCAAAATGTGCAAAATTTTCATTAACCATTTTTACGACTTGTATTCGTATTTAAAAATATCTTCTATCTCCAGTCTTCTTCGTCAACTGGGTTGCTCCCACGGTTGCACTACAGCCTTACGCGGCCCGCAGGCAGAATGTCTTAGAGTGCAAGCTCGCAACTCATTACGGGTCTTGCGATCGGCTAACATTCCGAAGTTCACCACTCGCATTCGTGAGATGACGAAGTTCGCACCTATAAGGGAGGTGTTGGATAACTTGCATGCTACTATTGGATTTTGCACTGAGTCGAGTATGGTGTCGCCTATGAGTAAGTGAATGAAAAGATCGTGTTTTTTGTGTTCATTTGCATTAGCTTTCTTTTTAATTTTGGTGACTTCACACACTGTGGGCGATGGATTTTGTTTTTTTTTTGTGATACCAAGTGAGGGGACGAACAAGTCGTGGACTAGGTAAGCAACACCCCTGTCCATAATAATTGCAGTACCACTTAGAGTATACAAACGCGAAGATCAGAGGGGCACTGCCTCTGCGCCCGTCATCAACATAAGTTGATGACTTATCAATCATGTGCCTGTAATTTCACCAACACCCTTACCATTCAAAACCGGAACGCAGTAACATTTACAAGGAGCTCTGCTGCTACTAGATGACGAGGTTCCGAGTTCGATTCCATACGACCAATTTGGGAAATAAAAAAACTTTTCTAGTCGCGGTAGCCTCTCAAGCAGAGGGTCGGGTCGTGTTTTTCGGAATTGATGTGCGAAATTTACCTTAAGCTTTTCGGTGAAGGAAAAGAGCGTGAGGAAACCTGCACATCTATAAATGAATTTAATGATGTGTGAGAAGTTCCCAATCCGATTGAAGCCGCGTGGGAATTACAGCTCAAGCTTTCTCATTGTGAGAGGAGGCCAGTGCCCAGCATTGCGACTATACAGGCTAACTGTTATTATCATAGCTATTCTAACTTGGTTTTGGTTTGGATATCTAGTTAGTGCCACGGAGTAAATTCCGTTGCCATGGTATAATGATGTATAATAATTAGCACCAAAAAGAAAAGAAGTTCAAATACGCTATACTCCGTCCAACCATTTATTTAACCTTTGACAGCTCGAATTCTAATCAGTTAGTGATGTCCAATTGCGTTTCCGATTCGATTTTTTTATTTATGAAGAAGTTTTAATCGTGAATGTGACCGGATTCAAAAAAGAAGATATCGTCTGATTGGTCGTGATCGTAATGTTTCGTTTAACAATTTTTGTAATCAAGAATTAATAATGTTAATTGAGGATTCAAGTGATGATTCCCGTTCATATGGAGAAGAATCCGACGATTCATTATAATAAACGAAAAGAATTTATTATAATTATTTATAATTTATTTAATTTCATTATAATTTATTAGAAAATTTATTAACAACAACAATAATCTTCGTTACATAATCTGTTGGCTCGATAAATATTGGAACTAAAGAGCGCGTCACTTCACTAAAATTGAAAAATAAAAGAGTCCAGGAAGTATTGCATTTCGTGTCTTTGGTTGTCATTGACTTACAATTATATGGACGTTGGGTCCGCGCTAAAAAGTGTCCGATCTTATAGGGCGTTAAAATCGTATACAGAGCGTCATTCACGCTTTAGTCTTCGTTTGTTCGACTGACAGCGGAGTAAGCAAAATTAGACAGTACTACGATGACATTACAATTTAAATTCAACGTTTTAGCTTTTTCATATTCCTTTACATGTCACTACGTTTAAATAGGTTGACTTGGGACATTTTTTTCGTGGTTTTTGTATTAGACCCGTCGTCCATTTATTTGTAAGTCAATAATTACGGAATTTCAGAGGTATGCATATGTCAAAAGTTAAATAAATTGTTGGACGGAGTATAGCTCTTACTGTAAAGCATAGACACAGGTGCGGAAATCGTGTTTGGTATAGAATGTCCACCACACTGCCGCACGGTGGGCTGAAAATCGGATTTCATAGACTTAGGGATTTCAATTTGCAAGTGTCAGTTTTTTTTGCCGAATATTGCTTCTTTTTGTTATTACTATGTACAAATATGACACCCGAGTTGATTATGTTCAAAAACGAAGGAGTTATAATTCTTTTTCGAAAAATTTGTGTGAAACTTGTATGCAAAATCGAATTATCTTTTAAACGGCAAGGAAAACCGTAATATCCTTACAGGTGGCTATAGTACTAATTATTTATAATTTTTTGGCATACTCCAGATAATGGTCATAAATGCCGTTTTTTTTAAATCATCAAAATATTTTTATTTCATTTTACATGTGAAACGAAATTATTTAGTCTTTGAGTTGAGGAACACAAACTTTTTACAACACGTAACATAAAATACTATCACCCATTCCCAAAGAGTAGGCAGAGGTTTACAGTACACCCACACTTAGACAAATATTGTTTAGTTTTATAATGAGTCTAAAAACATGATTAAGTAAGTAATTACAACGATATTGTCTTCTAATGAGTTAGAATAGGTGATTAAATGATTCTCAATACCGCACAACAATGCCAACTATGGACTGAATTAAGCTTTTTCTGATGAGTAAGCTAATTTGTTGATTAGTTGTGCTTTCAGTTCTAAAAATATATATATATATTTTAAGCCCACATATTTTTAAACTCTAATGAGTACCCTAGTACTAACTAGTTAGTTAATTATCGACTTTTTGCAATAAAAGGGCTAACATTTTGCTTAATAATTTATATCGTTCACTACTGTGTAACTGCTAACATTAAATCTTTGCTCAAAATTTGAAAATGGAAAGTTTAATCACCAATTTAGACTTGTTCGTTCTTCTAAAAATTGAGAGTACTTCATTTAATCATGAAGTATTGTTTGGTGCTATTGTATGCCGCATAGGCGATTAACTTTCTGATGAAGATCAAGTAACTGAAAGAGTTTTGCCGGAGATTTACGCGAGCTGCTTTACAGAGGTGGAAGAAATCCAATCGATTCATTGATAATTTCAGAAGACTATACGGGAATTGGCTGCAAGCAAATATTGATTGGCCAAGTTGTGTGCAAACTTTACTTCATCAAGAACCAACTGCTGATTAGTTATCAGACACACTCTCAGTCTCTCAAGAACCGTCTACTTCATCGTGTGTTGGAACAATGACGAAAAGGTCCCGAAAACCATTTGAAGATCTGGGAAGCAAACAATAAAAGAGAAGATCTGATGATCATGCAGGCGAAAATTCCAGTGAATTAGCATATGCAGCTGCAGCACGTTTGAAAGAAGAAGGGCATGATGATATCGCATCTGTAATCGAGTATATGATGAAAAATCCAGAAGCAGCCGTTACAATTAATAAAACGCTTAAGAAACCATTGAAAAGAGTCATATTTACACCAGAGAAAGTACTTGGATTGCTTCTTTCACTAAAACTGTCAAAGTGGCAATATATTACGTTGCGAGAGGCTGCAATTCGGGAAGGTGCTGAGGGTATTTATCCATCCTACTATAAAGTGCAACAAACCAAGCTTGATTGCTATCCTCCGAAGCAATCAGTATCAGTTACGGATTCATCTGCCAGGATTACCCTTCAAGCTTTATTTGACTTCACGGTGACTAGGATCCTTCAAAGTCTCTCTGATGATGTGCAAAATAAACAGCTAAAGCTAATATCTAAGTGGAGATTTGATGGTGCTTCCAACCAAAGCCGATACAAACAGAAAATGGAAGGCGAGCAAGATGATTCAAGCATTATCATGACCACATTTGTGCCATTAAAACTGACAGATGGAGATAATACTTTATGGACGAACCCAAAACCTTGCTCGGCTTTGTATTGTCGTCCAGTTCAGTTTACTTTTGTAAAAGAGAGCGAAGCAGTTGTCATTGATCACAAAAGACAAATGGATGATGAAATTAAGGCCCTTATCCCCACAGAATGCAGTAATAGTAACAGTGTGACTCATCAACTAATGATGACAATGATCGACGGTAAAGTCTGCACTTATCATTCTGAAGCCAGATCAAATGCATCGTGCTACCTGTGTTTATCGAAACCAACATAAATGAACCGCTAAGATGCTGTAACATCAAAGACCGTATGTTCTGATATATATGAGTTTGGCTTGTCATCCCTACATGCCCGAATAAATTGCATGAAATGTCTGTTATACATTGCCTACAGACTTGACTTCAAACAGTGGGCTGCGAGAAGTAATGAGCACAAAGAAATGTTGCAGACAAGAAAGAAACTGATTCAAAATAAATTTAAAGATGAGCTCAATCTGTTGATTGATATAGTGAAACAAGGTTCAGGAACTACGAATGATGGGAATACAGCCAGAAAGTTTTTCGGGTTTCCCAAAAAAACTGCAACTATTACCGGGTTGGATGAAGAACTTATCAAGAGATTTGCTGTTACTTTGCAGGCAATCACATCTGGAGAAAAGATTGACGTTGTCAAATTCAAAGATTTTGCCCGCAAAACAGCAGAAAAATACGTGGAATTTTACGATTAGTATTAGTCGGTAACTGTGCATAAATTATTAATTCATGGGGCTGACATAATAGAGAAAAACGACATTGTGCCTATTAGGACTCTTTCGGAAGAAGCCTCAGAGCCTCGAAATAAAGATTTCAGGAGGTTCCGGGAACATCATTCACGGAAAAGAAGCAGGCAAGATTCAAATCAAGACATCCTGAATATGCTTTTTGTGTCTTCGGATCCTGTTCTAAGTGCACAAAGGCCTAAATTAGATGCCAAGAGAAAGCAGAGCTTTTTTGCTGAAACTCTTGATCTAATTCAGTTTCAGCAGACTGAGTTCGAGTGTTTAGATATCTCCAATCTGGATTCTGACTCAGAATTGGAGTCCGACAACGAAAGCGATAAGGAGAATTTGTAAATTTAATTACATATTATGATTTCTTGCTATTTTTGTAAGTTTATTGTACCAATAGGTTTAAGTAGTTACTAATTCATCAAATTAGTTGTAAATATTTTGTATGTTGTATTTAAAGTAGGTACTACTTTTTTAAAATATTTTTTTTGGTTTTTAGATATTAGGGGTTAAAGTATGAAATTGCCGTTTTATTGCAATAGGTTCTTTGAATTTTCATAGAATCTTCATGGTTTGAGGTTTTCGAATGAAACTTTTTTCAAATGGTTTCTGTGATTTTTTTTTTTTTAATTTGAAACATTTGAATATCGACTTTCAATTGTTTTTGTTATTCAATTTAGACAAGAAAGATGGATACTGCGAAAATTCGAGTGATTTTTGAATACGAGTTCCGACGCGGAACTAACGCGGCAGAAACAGCCCGCAATACCAATGCTGCGTTTGGAGAGGGGTCTACTAATGAACGCACCGTGCGATTTTGGTTTAAACGCTTTCGTGATGGAAATTTCGACTTAAAGAACGAGCCACGAGGAAGACCGCCCACACAGGTGAATAACGATGAATTAAGAGAGATAGTGGAAGCCGATCCTAGTCAAACTACCCAGGAATTAGCGGCATGGTTTAACGTTACCTTACCCACAATATTGACTCACTTGCGTCAAATCAATAAAATAAAAAAATACGAAAAATGGGTGCCTCATGATTTGACTGATCTGCAGAAAGAAACGCGTGTTGAAACTTGTGTTGCCTTGTTGAACCGGTACAGAAATGAAGGAATATTGGATCGAATTGTAACATGTGATGAAAAGTGGATTCTTTATGATAACCGGAAAAGAAAAATGCAATGGCTGACCCCAGGTCAAATGCCACAACAGTGTCCTAAAGCAAAACTTACCAATAAAAAGGTAATGGTAACTATTTGGTGGTCTCAGCATGGTGTTATTCACTATAGTTTTCTCCGATCTGGTCAAACAATAACGGCAGATGTCTATTGTGCCGAACTCCGAACCATGTTGACAAAACTAGCAGTAAAACAGCCCCGACTCATGAATCGATCTTCACCATTATTGCTCCACGAAAACGCGAGACCTCACACAGCACGAGAAACCATTTTGACCCTTCAGGAACTGCAGTTAGAAACCATTCGTCATCCTCCGTATTCACCAGACCTTGCTCCAACGGACTACCATTTTTTTCGTGATTTGGACAATTATCTACGTGACAAGAAGTTTTCTTCCCAGGAGGCAGTACAAAATGCTTTCACACAGTTTGTGCAGTCTAGATCGTCGGAGTTCTATCGCAAAGGCATTAATAACCTTCCCATTAGATGGCAGCAATGTATAGATAATAATGGCAACTATTTTGATTAAATAAATTTGTTAAAAATTTAAAAAATAAACAATTTAGATTTTCAGTACAAATCGGCAATTTCATACTTTAACCCCTATTATTTATGTAGTTAACTAGAAATGTTTCATTTTTAGTTTTGTCTTTGGTTAGGTTTTAGTATAGGTGCTTAGGTATTTATTATTTGATATGTGTTTAATTTTTTTAATTGTTTCAGTTTAATAATATTACTTGAAAGTTTTATTGTATGTTTAAATTTTTTTTATACAATTGTTCATTTGATATAAAATATTTTTTGTATCTATTTTATAGTATTTTAATATTTTTGTAACCTCTGTTTTATTTAAATTATTAATAAAAAATAATAAGAAACATATATTTTTTATTTCATCTTGTTTTGTATATTCTTATTATTTGGAAATACTACGTTCTTAACTTAGACACTAAAAGGAGAAACAGTTCCTTTTAGTGTGTAACTTAAGAATGTATATAAATAAACAAGAATATTTTAACAATGAAGTAGGTAGTTGTAATTACTTAATCCCTTGTTTTTAGATTCATTAGAAAACTAAACAATATTTGTCTAAGTGTGGGTGTACTATAAACCTCTGCCTACTCTTCGGGAATATAGGGGTGATGCTAATTTATGTAAAAAGTTTGTGTTCCTCAATTCAAAGACTAAATCATTTCGTTTCACATGTAAAATTAAATAAAAATTATTTTTAATGATTTTTCTTTTGATGATTTTTTAAAAAATAACGGCATTTATTATAATGGCAAAAAATTATAAATAATTAGCACTATAACCACCTGTAAGGATATTACGGTTTTCCTTGCCGTTTAAAAGATAATTCGATTTTTCATACAAGTTTCATACAAATTTTTCGAAGAAGAATTATAACTCCTTCGTTTTAGAACATAATCAACTCGGGTGTCATATTTGTACATAGTAATAACTAAAAGAAACAATATTCGGCAAAAAAACTGACACTTGCAAATTGAAATCCCTAAGTCTATGAAAGCCGATTTTCAGCCCATCGTGTGCCGTTGTCCATCCCTTCTATTACTAATCTCGTTATTTTTACATTTTATTTAAACTATTCCGATTTCTGCAGTTTGAAACTATTTCGGGCTATAAAATTGTTGATCTTTTTCATCAGATCAACAAAAACGCAACACCACAAAAATGCCCGACGTAAATCAGCTACAAACGGGGTACGCCACAAACTTCGGTGCTGGACAAGGATCTAACACGAACAGAGTCATTGAAAACTTCATCGTCGAATCCACTTTCCGAGTGTTGGTTACAAGATTTGCTCTCATGCATAAGGAGTTGAAGATGCTTGATAACTCTGTGAGTACATATTATGCATCTTGTTACTTTGGTATGGTTATGCTACATGTCTTTATTCTATTGATTGTACTTTAATGCTGTGCCGGTCCTAAGGGTAGGGTAATTTTTAGACCCCCAGAACATGTATGCGTTGAGTCTTAATGAACGAAGTTACAGTATGATGGAAAATTTTCCATATCTGCTGGCGGTTATACAGAAATATGTAATATTTTTATTTATTTATTGAGAAAACTAACGGCGTTATATAAGGTATTTTACATAATATATAGGTCGATGGTAAGGCTAATGACAGGTTTCCCTGGTTTATATTATGATTAAATAATATCAAACAAAATATTATCCGTAAGTAGTAATTTTAAAGAGTAAACAAGATAACACTATAACAAGATTACACTACTTTGTATTAACAATTATAACAAACTAATGAAGTAATTTCACAAAAAATAATTGAATATCAATTCAATAAAAATTTAATTAAGATAACACTAGTTTTAGATGCAGAAATCACATATCCATATGCATAAAGTCTCGGATGTTGTTTAATGATAAAATAATTATCATAGTAATGAGATGTTAATGCAAACAACCCGTCGTTAAGCTAAAAAAAGTATTAAAAAATTTACCCTTTCAACGCAGCTACTGTCTTTCCGTTCACCACCTGAATGGTAACAGAAAGTCACAAGTGTTCTAATTTACAATTCTACTACCGTTCATCGTATTAATTAATGTACACATATGTTGCCATAGATGCATCCACCGTAATGGCCATAACGATTTTATAATACACTATTTTCTAAAACTCTTGCACATTTTGGCATAACTTCGTCGGTTTGATATGTCTCGGCCATAGTATGGTAACATAAGATTTCACTAACTCCATACATAACAACACCATACAAACGTAGCAGAGCGGCTATACATCGAGTATATAACCAGAAATAAAGACGAACTAAGGGCCATCCATCCCTGGCAACTCGTCAGGTAAATGAGCCTTATATCACTTTTAAATATCATCTCTCGTTTGCTCTGAAATGACAAATTAGAAAGCTAAAATAGTACAGCGCCAACAACTGACCTATGTGTACACCTCCCTATACATTGGGCGCACTATAAGTTTCCGGAACTGGCCACTTACATAAACAATATTTAAAAAGTAATCACAAAATTTGAAAATGGAACACTTTGGCTGTAGAATACAGTTTATTTAATCTGACTGTCATTTGTTTTTACATTGTGGCGTCATTTTAGAAATTGGTTGTCTACATCACCATTTAACTCGTGAAAATTTTCGTAGTATGATTTTCTACTACTTTAAGCGTAATTCAACAGCTCAGCGGAACTTAGCTCGGCTTCAAACTGCTTTTGGCGATGAAGCACCATGCAAGACGACTATTTATAGCTGGTTTGCAGAATTCAAACGCGGTCGTGTGAATCTCAGTAACGAATTTCGTGATGGTCGCCCGTCCACTGCTGTGAACAACAAAAACATGGGTGCGCCGTATGATCAAAACAGACAGGTATGAGTCAAATACGATCAATACTATACAAACATTTGGGTGTGAAAAAGCTGTGCTCTCGGTGGATCCCACACAATTGACTAAGGCTGAAAAAACGGATCGCGTCACTTGGTGCAATGCCATTCTGACCAGATTCAACGAAGGGGCGTCAAATTTGGTGTGGGACATAGTAACAGGTGACGAAACATGGATTTATAGTTACGATTCCAAAACAAAGCAGCTATCGAGCTTATGGGTCTTACGAGATGAGCCGAAACCAACCAAAGTGGCGCGCGTGCAAAGTGCCTCTAAGCGGATGATTACTTCTTTTTTTAACAAAACTGGACACGTGGCTACTGTTGTTTTGGAGAATTGTTGTACCGTAAATAGTGATTGGTACACGACCATTTGTTTGCCGGAAGTTATTGACAAACTCCATAAAAACAACCGTAAACGCCTTATCATCTTGCACCACGATTTTGTCAGTTCTCACACGCCCAGACAGACAAATGAATTTTCGAAGGTGAGCAACGTTGACCTTATGAGCTATCCCGCGTACAGTCCGGACCTGGCACCTTGCAACATTTATTTATTTCCAAAAATTAAGAGCCAGTTACGCGGTCAAAGATTTTCATCACCTGAAGAGGCAGTCGAAGAGTATGAAAAATACGTGTCGGAGATTGTCACGGAGGAGTGGCATAAATGTTTTCAAAATTGGTTCATTCGTATGAAAAAGTGCATTAACGCTAACGGAGAATATTTTGACAAACAATAACTTAATTTCTGACCATTTATAGTATTTTTTTCTTATTCATTCCGGAAACTTATAGTGCGCCACACGTATTCCAAAAATATTGTGTATTTATTGTAATGAAGATAATATCTCTAACTGTTCCATTTGGTGGTGTGGCAAAAAACAGTAAAACGTCTAATTACAAAACAAACCGAATCACATTTCATCGGTAATTAAATATTAAATAATTATGTAATTTTTAAATTTTCGTCCATATTGCAAAGCTCAAGTTAAACTGGTCGATTTGAAGTGGAACAATAGACGACACTCGTCAACTCGTCGTTGTTTTAGCAATTATTTACGGACATTTTCTCGATCGAATCCGATTAGTAGCTACAATGACAGCTGTCAAATCACGACGTTTCGTCGAACGCAATGTCATTTGTTCATATAATTGCAGAATTACATTTTTAAGCATTTTCTATTAAACCTAAAAGACTTCAGTTAATGGATACTATCCTAATATATATAATATCGGTACATATTTAGGGCCAAAAATGAAGAGATCCTTTATATTTTTCCTTTATTATTTATAAATGTATCGTTATGTATAAACAAACTTGCATTCATGATCATACTCCCATAATCGAGATAGTAATCCGCGATGCTGATTATATAAATATAAGTACTGCATTTGACAAAGGTTATTTGGATATATAACGTACAATATGAATATCGTATCGACGAATATCGACTTTTGCCACGTGATGGCGTTAGTTCCGTCTATTGTCATACAGTGATCGAGTTGCTCATTAATTGATATATTGCAAGTTTGTAACAATTTTTCACAGGCCCTATACATGGAAGTTCGCCACGTCCTTAACTACGTTCGCGAAGCACATGGTAGCGAATTCAGAGTGGTAGCTTTGAGCTCCTTACTTGACACAGCTGAGCGGCCTGACGTTCCTCAGAAAGAATCTAACATGCAAACTACTAGAGTTATCAGGTACTTAACTTTTGTAAACATGCTTTACAATACTTGCGGTTATTTGATTAAATAAGTAGACATTGAAAAAAAATTACACAACAATTTCGTGACTCCGCATCTCATAGCAATGCATCATAAACCACTCCGTACAATGACGACAACTTATAAGAGACCTCTCTGTTATGTAGTCATTACCTAACACGCATTGTAAGATATTCCCGCAAAACTGATCTGTACACTAATTTTCATTATATGAGTTGTAAAAAAAGTAAAATACGATTTGCTGATTGAGGAAATGAAAAAAGGAATACATTGAATGATACAATATGAAACTAATATGCAATCACATTTTTTTTTTGTCTTTAGACATATCCCTCGTGTACAACAAGACGACGAGCGAGGTTCGGATACAGGTGCAGATTCTGGTTTTACTGGTGATGAACGTACGAGTCATAAGAAGTTCACTTTTAAGAAACGAAGTACTTCTTCTACGGGCGCCCATGTAAGTTGGTACATAGAAGTTTTTTGATAAATAATTAATAATCGTCTGTTGTCACACAATTTTTTGCAGATGTTATTGTTTTAAAACTTCTAAAACCGAGTCCGACATAGATGTTTCTAATTGAAAATATAAGTGCTCTTTTGAGCTCTATCTCCATCTCGTCTGATGAAAAGTGACGATGAGTTCGACGATGTACACTTAAATAATGCCTATTCAGCCTCACTTTGAAAAGACCCAAGTTATACCGTTCAAGGAACAAGTCAGCAGGCAGGGAATTCCGGTCCCGTTCGCCATATAAATGTGTGAAACGAACTTGAAATAGTATTGATGGAATTACCTGTGGTAACCACTTACTATCAATATGTTTGATTTTTTCAAGGTTTGACTACATAAGCTGACATCTCCTTGTTGACTGCAGGAAAAGGTGTTAAATGCTAATTGTCCAACAACAGAAGCATATTTTATAGATGTTTTTTTGTAATTTTCTAGAGTTTACTGGACACAGAGACAGGAGACGAATCAGCCAGCCAATCACCGCTCTCTGTGCGAACACGCCGCTATCAACTAACGCCGCGCCAATCAGAACGCACTATCCCCTCTGCTGATATTACACCGCATCATAAATCTTCGCATTCTAAAAACTCCAAATTCCATTTTATAGGTATTGGTGAGTTGATTTTGCTTTGTTCATTGTAGAAAAAAATGTATTGTGAAAGTATTTCCGTTTATATAAATATGTTTATTTTACATCACTAAGCTGATAAATGTACCGGTTCTTATCATTGAGCTGACGCTAAATTTCAATATTTTTACTCTGAAGTGATTCCATAAGTTTTCCGATTTACGAATTTGGATAAGAATGCTAAAAACTACCATTCTTAAATATGATGACGATTTCATCAAACTAAAACTCAAATAATCTTTATTTCATAGGTAAGCAAATTAAACTAATAATTTAGTAGCAGAAGGGGTCCTTGTGAAAGAGTTCGACCAAAATAGTACTGCCACCTTACCTATTTCTGCCGCCAAGCAGTAATGTCAGCGTTACAGTGTTCCGGCTTTGAAGGGCGTTAGGGTATTATTTATTTTATTTATTTTAAACACTAAGAATATTACAAAAATATATATACATCACACCCTTAAACCTACATTGGTTTGTCCGGGTGTCGACTTATGTCTCAGGATGACGGGCGCACTGGCAGTGCCCCTCAGATCTTTGCGATTTAAAGGTCTGACTGGCACTGCAACTGTTATGGACAGGCGCGCACGCTTACCATCAGGCGCACGACTTGTTCGTCCCGTCAATTGATATTATAAAAAAAAAGAACTTGAAACTGTCACATTGAGTAAATGCTACTACTCATTTGTAAGGCAAATTCCGCTGAAAAGAATGAGTAAGAACCTCTAGGGGTTGTTCTTTAGAAATAAACATTTGTATACATTTATCATTTACAATATTTATTTCAAATATGATAGATCAAGACAACCTACAAGAGCTAAATGAGTCACTACTATAGATTTTTGTCATCCATGTACGCAAAAGCTGTATTATTAATCTTTAGTAAAGTTTTTGTTTCACTACAATTTCAAACTTCCCAAATGGCAAATTGTAAATGTCACCCGGAATCTTATTATAGAAGTGCATACATTTCCCCATAAATCAATTTGTGACTACGTCAGTCAAGAGGAGCTAGTTTATTTTTGTTTCTCGTATTAATGCTATGTTTATCACATTTTTTATGCTAAGGTAATTTGTTTAAACTTCTCTCTCTATCCTCATCACTCTATCTATTTAACATTTATGCACGTAATACAACATTTCCATATTTTATTTGACAGTAAATTGGTTCCGTCAAAAACCTCATTCGCAATCTACATCGCAGTCACTGCTCCGTAACGGTGGAGGGTCAGGTGAATCTTTGCCTATATCTGGGAGCATGGCTTCTTTAGGGCGCCCGCCGCAACTATCTCAACCACATACTTCAAGGCCTATACATGTAAAACGACGCGTTGGATATACTTTAAATAGGTAATATTCCACTTATAACACTTGTACTTGTTGTAGGTACACATTATTACTATTGTAATTTTTTTTTAAACTATTTTTCCGGATTTCAATCGCGTATATTTGTTTTTTCAAACAAACCGACGTTTCGGGCCCTTTAGATGTCCCATGGTCACGGTTCAACCGTGAATGTGTGTGTGATACGCGATTTAAATCCGGAAAAATAGTTTCATTTCCTATGTGTAACAATCGCAAAAACGTAGGAACTCGACTTGTTTTTTGAAGATTAGAAAAAGGTAAAAAGAGAAGCAGTGATCGTAAACCTTTTTCTTCAGTCATTAAATTACAGTAAAGAAAAACGTCGTAGAATTCATGACAAATAACACAATAATATGTTATTATTTTATAAAAAGATTCCGCTTAATGGTTGACAGCTCTGTTTCTTTAAGTTTTTTATAGTGCAAATCTTTGAAATATATTAAGTATGCATATATAAGTATAAATATATTAAATATACTAAGGAAATGCATCATTATGCATTTTCTTCATTAAATGTATGATAGTCAGTAATACGAGTAATAAATGTAATAATTACATAAAGGTAGTAAATATGTCTGAGAATTTGGATTCAAAGTATTTACTAAAATAATTTGCTTTCAAAAGGTGTGAATGAAATGGTGCTAGATAAAACACCCAACATTTTCTTCTGTGTAATGCTAAAAAAGCGAAGTATTACAGCCCAACAATGGTACATGGAAGTTATTTGCTTTTTTATTTTAGCTATACAATACTCGGTGGTAGCAAAGCGTAAGACTCCCCGTATTTTTCGAAATGATCAAAAATATTTATTCACAAATTGAACTCTACCTTGATGCCTCCGTTTACCTGTTACAGGGCTAGAAAGAGGGTCGAAGACAGACTCAATAGGATTGGCCTAAGAAAAATGGGAAAGAAAAGGGATGGCAGCATTGAGGAGAGTTCTGGCGGATGTAAGTAATAACTAAATGGTTAAACACCGTAACTAACAATGTTTTCGAAATCCTTAATTTAGGATCTTAAATTCGAAATACAGTCTTCACTTCACTCCATTTTATTATTTAAAATTTTATGAAACGCTAATCGCAGGAGAAATATCGCAGGCTTTATACTATAGCGCATATACATTTAGTAGCAGAATAGCTAATTGTGAAAGAGTTCATCCAGGAAAGTACTGCCGCCCAGCCATTACTGCTTCCAGAGCTTTACTGAGTTCCAGTTTTGAAGGGTAAGGGTGCTGGTGAAATTACAGGTACATGGGACTTGTCAACTTTACATCTCAGGATGAGACGCAGTGACAAGGCCCGTCAGATCTTTGCGGTTGAAAGCTTTAGCGCCCAGTTACACGAGGAGAAAGTTTTCGAGCGGCCGCCGCGCGGCGACGGCTGAGTTACCACGCCTTCCTGTACATTAATGACGAATCTGAATTCTATTTACTAGGCAACAACATTTTAATTCCTCTAAAGAAATCTACCGCGTGGTCGCCGCGCGGGCCGCTACGGACTCCGCTCGGTGACCACGCGGTCGTCGCGCTGGCCGCCGCGTATACCAAATTCAAGCCTCATTTAAGTTAAAACGTAAAAGCTAAACAAATAGAGCGTATTTTGACATTACAGTTAGATGCACGCGGTCGCTGCACGGCGGCAACGCGGCCTCCGCTCGGCGACCGCGCGGGAGGAGCGCGATGAAATTCGTGTCGAATAAACGCGCCCTTCGAGTGGCACTGTAACTGTTCTGGATAGGCGTGTCGCTTACAACCAGGCGCTTGATTTGTTCGTCCCGTCGCTTAGTATTACGCAAAAAAAAATTAAGTAGGTACTCTGCACAGACCACATAGTCTTTCTTCCGTGGTACTCCGTGTCCCATGGCTATAAGAAAACGTTTTTATATATAACGTATTTATATGTAATAATAATATCCTATCCTAATCTTAATTAGGAGTGTCGCTTGCTACCAGGCGCACGACTTATACGTCCCATTACGAATCATAAACAAATGAAGATCTGAAGATCTTCTTACGTTATTCTATAAAGGCTGCGATATGAGAGACTAAAGGTGTCCCTTTTCCGTTATTTTTGTTCTTTTGTAAACATTTTTGAACACGACATTATCGAGAACAATTGGTATGGAAAATATTTGTGAACGTCGCGTCTTTAAGTTACTCCTCCTCTCCTTTTTCCAGTTATGTCCAGAAGAGGTTCGACGGAAGGTGGCTCGGGTGGTGGAGAATCAGAAGTAGTGGTACTCAAACGACGTCGTCTAGTAGCAGCTGCGCCACTTTATGCAGGCTTAGCGAGATTCAATTTAATATTGGACGCAACTCAACCCGGCGGCACTCCGGATGCGCTTTTCATGGCCGCCATTTTAGATTTGGTAAACTGATATTTTAAATACTTATAATTGGATATTTAAAATATATTTTCCACTTTTTTTGTATAACTCTTAAGGGAGTTAATTCTACTTAAAAATACGGACAACTATTGATCTTAAAGTTCATAATATACCGCTCAAATTAATTAAGCACGTTTTAGGTAACAAATCGTTGTGTTATTATTGTTACACTGTAATGTTTAGCTGTCAAAGTATCGGAATCGATTAGAAACTGTATAACTTCTCGACTATGGACGTCCTATGACATATATCTTGACAATGATAAGCCAATGCAATCTTGTAAATGATCTTATTAATTTTACAGCCACATACTGTTGTAGTTGGTCGAGCAGCAATTCTACTTGAATGCGCTCATCTGGTTCATAATTGCAATAAAGGTCAATGGCCTTATTGGCTAAAATCTAATGTTGCTAAGAATGCAGGTATGTCCAATACTTTAGATATTTTTTGTGAGCAAAAGGCAGTTAGGCGTGCACTCCATTCGCGTTAGGATTCAGCATTCTTTATAAAGTGAACAAAGGCGCGATGTATATTTATGTCGTTCATGGTTTTCGTTGTATGGGGTTCGGCAAACTGCAATGTACACAGAGTCTTGAATGCGTGACCGCCTTATGTTTGCGAATTACTTTAAATGAATTTAGTTGTATTCTATATTAATAATTTTCAAAATTATATCAGCAGCGTCGCATTAAAAACATTATTTTGTGTCTTGATTAGTTTCTTGAAAAATTGTTATTTTTGCAGCGGCCTCCAGTCCACAACTGAAGAGACAACGATTGGCCGGAAAATTGTTTTATCAATGGGCAGAAGTAAGTATCTCAGATACCAAAATCTTATGATGTATTTTATCATAATAATGATCTGGACACTGAACATTCTTGTAATAAAATGTAATGTAATTCTTCAGGCGATAGGCAACAGATTGGAAGAAATGCTGGTAGAGGACAGAAAACACATTGAAACTGTAACTAATTTGGTGATTGATGCTGATGGGCAGAGGGAGCTTTTGCAGCAGGACGAGGAAGAGGATTTTCTTGATGAAGGTAACCAGGTTTATTAGGTTCCTCATTTCTAGACCGCTCTTCTTTAATACAGATTAATAATTTTGGTTTTTTAAGGCACCGCCCACCAAGTTAAACATGAAGACCGGATAAATAAAATACTGAATTTTGTGACTATAAAGGATCTTAGCAAGTTTTAGAAATGTCTTGAAAATTTCGTCTTCCAAGTAGCTTGTTTATCTTAAATTTTTTCAGCGAGTATACGTATGCCCGGAAAGCCTATCGGTGCCGATTGCCCCCGAGCCCTGAGAATAATCGCGTGCGTTCTCTTGTTCGAAATAACTGCATTCCTCCGCGAAACGTATCAAAACCTTCCCAAGACTTCGCGATCCTCCTTGAAGGAGAGAGGACCTTGGGACCGAGTTTACAGGTACGACTATCCTTTGAATAATATCATGCTTTTTGGTAAGTAAATTCGTTGTGACCATCAGTGTAAAAATGTCTTTTATTTTTGTTATTATTATGCGAAGATGGATGGAAAAACGAAGACGTTTGTTATGTAAGAATAAGTGAGTTCCTTATGTTACTTCCGTTTGAAATCACATGTTAAAAGAGTGCATATTTTTGATTATACTTTTATTTTAACAGGGCTCTTAGCAGTCAACACAGATTAATGCCAGTCGAGTATGTGTTCTGAAGAAATAATGCATGTTACTTGCATACCGCACTGAACGTGCATGCGTATATAGTGTGTACATAACAATAACTACATACACCTATATGATACGGATAATGCAAATTTTACTTCAGAAATAATAATTTATAAAAGTAGCAAAAATTTTGCTCACGTTTCGAAAAGTTTGGCACGAAGGGCCCTGGCAAACGAATCCGCTTTGCTTTTATTCATAGCTACTGTATTTTCACTGTAATGTAATTATTTTCATATTGTTAAAATTGGTAAGCAAAATTACACCTTAGTGCAGTACATCAAAACGCATTTTTAGTTGCTGAACTTTGAAGCACAAATTAGTAATTTAGTAAGTATGTATATTGAATTTCATTGGCTTTTGCATTAAGGTGCAATTTTGTTTATTATCTTTACATATGAAAACTATTTCTAACAGTGAATTCGTATCAGTAATGTAATGCTTGATTTGAATTGTTTTTCACTTTGAAAAATTGGCAATGATTTGTAAAAGTGGCTACGTTTGCAGTGGCCTTTAGTACTTCACAGTACTCTAAAGATAATTCAATATATTGGTACCTAATAATGTGCAATACGCACAGCTAAACTGCATGGTGTAATTTAAACAATTATCCACCTAACGTAACAACATAAAGTACGGAGTTAATCTACACAAATAAAAGTATTTTGTCGACTACCACCTTGTACAAACATTTTCAAAATTATTTCCAATAGTTTATCAGACTCTGCAACAGGTAGTTTAGATTATTATTAGTATTGAAAAGTAAAAGTAAATCGCTTTGCTACATTGGCATGCACAATCTGCGAGGATTGTACTTTTCGAAACTAAATTAATACATTTGTAGGAAATAGAAGCTACTACTATAGCTAATTGAGAACATCGAACTTTTTATCCTCGACCGAATGTCTAATATCTATTGTATGATACAGGGAAGCAAACCGTCGTTGGAGTATGGCCCTTTCGAGCATGGGACAGTCCCAAGCATCCGCTCAAAGTCTGCAATCTATTGCTGGTGGAGACACTGAGAGAAAAATTTCGTTTGTTTTGCATGAACCGGAAAATGTCTCTGGAGGAAGCAATGTTACCGTGAGCATTGTTTAAATGATGCAATTAATTACGCTTCAATTATTTTATTTATTATTCATACTATTCGTAATATAATATACGTAGACGTATAATATACGAACATGAAGTAGAACTCGATTTGGGAGAACGCCAACTATAAAGTTATACTAAATGCAGTTGTCTCTTTCGTCACCAATAAGAAAAGGACAGCAGATTTAATTTTAGTTTCAATCTGTCCGGTGAGTATGGCAATCTATATTACTACACTCACCAGACCGTAGACTGCCAAAATTGTACGTATTTACTCCCAGCAAATACGAATCAGGTTATTTGTATAAAGTATAGAATGAATGAATGAAATATTCTTTGTTGCACATTAAAAATTACAATGACGACACAGAACAGTAATGCAAGTATCACAGAATAAGCTAATGTACAACAGGCAGCTTTATTGCTAAGGAGCAATTTCTTCCAGGCGGTAGTCCATTTAGGATAGACATTTAAGAGCTTGAAAGGGGGTGCAACCAAAGAATTTCTTCTAATAAAAAATAAAGTAAATAAATAAAATGTTTCTTTATTTAGGTATATTTATCTAGGTTTATTAATGGATAAATCGGACATTACTTATTATATTACATTACATAATAATTAAATTGAATTTTATTAACGGCAAATTATTATTATCAATAAAGTAAATAATTAAGTATTAAATTAAATTGAATCATACTATATACAGTGGTGGACACATAATTAAAGACACTTAGAGAATATTATTTTTTCAAAGTTTACTTATCCTATATTTTTTTATTATAATGCAATAGGAGCTTGCAATATTATTTAAATTATTCTAACGGGTATCGTGAAATGTTTGAAATGAAATAAAGAGAACGAAGATGTCGTATTTTAAATTTTTATTAAGTTTCTTTAATTACACCGTTATAAACTAATACAAAAGCTTGGCCAACTAATTAAAGACACACAAATCATGTAACTGCAAAAAAAATATTACAAATGTTAAAACGAATTTGAGTATAAAATTAGTTTCAGATGTATAATAAGAAAATAAAAGCACGTTGTTAATATTTTGTCGCATGTCCTTTAGCAGCAATGACGGCCCGACACCGCCTCGGCATAGAAGCAATCAAATTATTGCAAGTTTCAATCGAAATCTGTTCCCATGCCTCTTTAAATGCCGTGTATAGTTGATGCACGTTACTTGTACGTTTTTTTGCAACCATTTTCTTCACACGGGACCACAAGTTTTCGATCGGGTTAATGTCAGGACTATACGGTGGCCAATCCAAAACTGTTACTGATTGGCTTCTAAGAAATTCTTTGACCACTGCTGAAGTGTGTTTGGGATCATTATCATGTTGAAAAGTCCATATCACCGGCAAATGATCCTCGGCATAAGGTAACATGGTGTTTTCTAAAATATTTTTATATTGAAATTTATCCATGTTACCTTCTATTTTTTTAATAGGTCCCACACCGTGACCAGAAAAACATCCCCAAACTTTGATATTACCCCCTCCATGTTTAACAGTTTTTTTTGTGTATTTTGGATCCATTTCTTTTTTTGAAGGACGCCTCACGTAAACTTTTCCATCAGAGTTAACCATATTTATTTTAGTTTCGTCAGAAAAAAGCACATTTTTCCACTGTCGCTCTGTCCAATGTGCATATTTTTTGGCAAACAGCAATCTGGTTTTGATGTTTTCTTACTTCAAAAGGGGTACCTTCCGAGAAATTCTTCCAAACAAGTTTGCCTCACATAATAGCCTTCTCACCGTTCTTGCAGACACTCCTCTAGATTCCTCTGCACCAAATACTTCCAAGCGAATGACTTCTGATCCTTTGAAAGGGTCTTTTTTAGCCAACAATTCTATTCTTGTGTCTTCTCGCTGGGTTGTTTTTCGCGGTCTAGGTTTCCTAGGCACATTTTCCGTAGTGTTAAATTTCTTAAAATGCCGGATAGCGTTCATTACCATATCTTTCGAGCATCGCAAGTGTTCTGCAATTTTCCTATATGACCACCCTTTTTCATAAAAAATCAGAATTATCTTCCTTGTGGAAGGATCGCAACTTTTGCTTTTTCCCATAATATTTCAATTTAAATTTCACAATAAACTTAGAGCACGGCTAAAACTGAGTGAGATTTTGCGTATCACGAAAATTCGCTCAATATTAGAAAAAATCAGTGCTCTTTTTTATTTTTTATTTCAAGTTTAGAACACGAAATACAGATGGCCAGCAGCTAATGTATCGAAAAAGTTTGAATGATATTTGAAACAGGAACTATGTAAACTCTTTTTAGTTAAACTTTGATACTGTTCTCATTTTAAAAAATATATGATGTCAGTGTATGTAAAATGACTATTAAAATGGAATTGATACCTACCTTGGGTCTCTAAATATCATTTAATTTGTTGTATGTGGTCAACATCAAGGGTGTCTTTAATTATGTGACCACCACTGTATATAATAGTACATTACAATTAATAGTATGATTATAATTAATTTATTTATATTTTAAAAAGGAAGTGTTCGATTACAATGTAGCACGTATTGCATACTGTCCTTACAAAATAATATTGGCCGAATCGCTCACTCTCGCAAGAAAAGACCAATGTCTCTTTCGTACTTCTAATGGAAATGTTTTAAATAAAACACTAATTAATAATAAAATAAATATACACATAAATAATAAATACATAAATTATTGGAACGTACAACATAATAATATAGATAATAGAATTTATTGCTTCGAAAAATATATCTAAGTAGAGAATTTGGTTTTAGCTCGCAGACCCAGTTCCTGCAGTACCGGATGACAAAAAGGGCCGTTTATGTTCTCGTGGCGGTAAAGCGGGCATGCATCGACGTAATACGCAACAGACTCACGGTGCATTTGGATCCTTTAAACGACGCTCTATTAAGTTACGACCGAAAGATGTTAAAGATGTTGATGAGTGTAAGTGTTTTACATTTTCTTAGTTACCATTATGAACACGTCAATCATTGAGTTGATATGAACAACACACATGTAGATCTGCGTGTATTGATGAATAACGTTATCACAAATAGTGACCGAGAAACGCTTCTAACCTTAATTGTACTCATTAAATCATTGTTCTGAAAGAAAAGGACAGCTAGTTGTTTTGTTCAGATTGAATTAGGCTGATCACACATGGCGCCGCAGCGGCGCAAGCTCTTTCTATAAATTCGAAAATTCAATTTTTAAAAAGCTAGATAAAGTCGAACCTTTTTGCTCGAAATTTGCAAATTCTATGTTCGATACCTGTGTGAATTAATTATAAAAATTACTGTCTCCGTGGCCGAACTGTTACCATGCTGGGCTGCCACACAGAAGTCCCGCGTTCGATTCCGGGCCGGGAAAATTATTTGTACGGCCTACATTTGTTTCTCTTGTGAGTTTGGGTGTAATTTAGGTTGTCTATGTGTGTTTCCATGGCACCCGCGATTACAGGGTCTTCCTAATGAGGGACTTTTAAAAAAAATAGATCGTGGCTACTGAATGACATTGAGTTCAATCCAAAATAAGATCAAACCTCGCTTGTATTGAACGCGCTCGCAGGGCAGCACTCTAAGTTATGTTAATAATTCGCAAGGTAACAAGTGAATGTCTCAAAATTTGTAACACACGATTTTTTTTGTTTTTAGACGTAAACCGTAGATCAGATTCAATACAAAGCAGAAGGAAGGTTTCGTCGCTTTCAGACAGAAGCGACACTTCTGAGATTTATCCTGGCACAGGTAAAGTTATAAATATTCTAACTATAGTCATCGAGTGTAGAGGTATCTTTAATTATAAACTTTATGTTTACAAAGAGCAATTCCTAGAGTTTCTTATTCATTCTTCTCAGAGAAATTTGCCCTCTGAAAGTAATAGTATTAAATCAGTTTGGCGATTCATGTGTGATTTGCTTATATACTAATGAAATAAAGATATTTTGAGTTTGAGCTTTGAATAATTAAAACTTGTAACGAAACAAATTGTTTTCAAAAACGTATGGCTTACAAAATCGATACAAATGTGAAACATTAAAGAAAACAATCTTTTACTTTCAACTTTCTTTATTCAGATAAGGTAGATATAGAAATGCATATACAACGTCAAAAAAAGTTTTTTTTATTTTTATTTTTAAGCATAATTCGTTTCTGTTTTGGATAAAGCAGTTATTCTGTGTCTATTCAAATACACACTATCGTAATTTACTTACCAATATGTTTACTGGGCCAGGGGGCACAGTCATAATGCCAACCGAAGTAGACAGTGGCGGTGAGGAGAGTCCAGGAGTGTTATCGGACGACCACGATCATCCACCTGACAGTCCTGACAGCAACTCTACCGATCCTCAGGACAGTGGCAAGGGATTACCTTGGTTAAAGGTATGTAGTATATCCTTACATTGTCGTGTACATAATAAAAAATTAATACTTGTGGCCACTAAATTTGTTTATTATAGTAAGTACGATTATTATCAATGTCGCACTGTTTTGTTATATCCTGTGTTTATAAAACAGGCAAGACAATTGTCTGAATGTTATTAAAATATGAAAATAATATTATTATGTGACAAAGCAAATTCATAAGTATTTCGTTTTCAGACGATGGTAAAGTTTCTGAACTCTTTCAACTACGTGTGCTGCCACCAGAATTTCTGTCACCCGTACTGTTTCCGTCGCAACATGCGAGCTAGTGTGAGACTTATGAAATCTGTCCAGAAGGTAAAATAATTCTATTACTGAATCTTATTAGACTCGTATTATTAATCATTTACTATGATTCGTTCTTTTTAGAATTAGACGGAATAAAATTTTGGGTCTTTATCAGGCACCATTTCATTGAGTGATTTTGTAAGCAAATCAATTTAATAAATACTGTGAAAGAAAATTCTCGAACATATTTTCTATTTGTAGTCACTATTATAAATTAAAAGAATAATTTCTGTCTTTATATACATACTCTTTTTCTAAAAACCTTGCACTTACACGAAACTTAAAAAACAGAGCTTCCAAACATTAATCGGAAACTTTTTAAAAATAAAAACATAATCGTGTCATTTGAAATGTCATTTATCATCAAATCTTACAATATTTTCCTTTACTGTAATTTGTTCACAGAAGAATAAGGTTTACGATCACTATTTCTTTGTATACGTTTTGTCTAATATAATATAAAACAAAGAATTTCCTTCTCAAAAACGTTGTCTTTACATAACTGCATCTCAAGCATTAGTTATTACATTGCTGTTACTACAAGTAAATCAGTGTACTTGTGATTTGTTTAACGATTTCTTTTATTAACTTAAAATTATTTTTAGATTTACGGCGAAAAGTTTGGCCCTGACGTCAACCAAACAAGTTCAGAAGAAGGTCCTATTGGAGTCCGTAGGGGTAGGCGATCTCGGAAACCATCAGAACATTCTACCGACAGGTATATTAAGAATTTTAGGGTAAATTTTACTTGCTTTTATTATTCACGTGTAGGGTTCATTAATATAAATTACTCCGTCGCGTCGTAATAATAATAAATAAGATTCGTACTTGTAATACATGTACATAATTATTAATAATCTCAGTACAGAGTACTAAAAAACCGACTTCAAAAGTACGTGGAATCACATCTATTTGCCAAGTTTTATTGAAATCGGTTACCGGAAAGTGCGCAAACCCGGATTCATCCCCTAGTTCGCCACTATACGGAACTTGACACAGGAGGTAATAAAAATCGGTTCTTACTACTCAAAGTATATTGAGAGAGAAAACCGCCATGAATTGGAGAATAGCAAAATCAACCATTAAAATAATTGCTCCTTATAATAAAATTTAGCCGCTATTTATAAAAATGAATCTTCATGTGTGAATGAACAGCCGCCCTTATAGGTGGATGATTTTCTTCAAAATTAAATGGGACCAATATGGAGGTACCCTCTTTCCAAAAAAAAAACGAATCATCAAAATCAGTTCACAAATGGCGGAGTTATCGCGTAACATACCGCACTGCTATTACAATAGTGTCGTAACTAAAAATATGTGAAATTTAATATTATATCATTACTGAACGTAAAATTTGATTATCTACACGTCAAAATAACCGTCGTTAGAATATTGTAACAAATAATCAAAAGATATCTACTTAACTCAAAATGGTACACACTTTATGTGAGCTAGTACTGGCCAAAATAATCCTTAGTCAAAAATATGAAATTATTGTTTCCATTTTATTTTTAAATATATTTGGGATATTGCTTAAGTGTCTAAAATAAATTATAACATTTACTGATTTACATAAATTTTAATGATTTTCTGCTGGAAGTAATTCGTTTTTCATCGATTCTGAAAAAGTTCACTTTTTGAGTTAATACACTATTGTATTAACAGTGCGATTCATACAAAAAAATACACACATACAGTCGAATTGAGAACCTCCTCCTTTGTTGAAGCCGGTTAAAAATAAAAACCCAACGTTATGATATTTTCCATCTCAATAAATGTCATTTCTCGACTCTACTTATTCTTTATGCTTAACAAAGAAACTGTACGACCAACATAGGTTTCATTCGGTCCTTACACTAGTTTTAGAATTCCTTGCAACGTCCAATTCGATGTTAATACATTCGGTTCGAAATTTACGATATTCTCCTACATACAATATCTATATTATACTAAAATCGAAGCATTTTCAGGGTTGACCGCACGGTATTAGAAACCGCCGGACTAGCATACCGCGCGGCCGGAGTAGAACATACACTGTCAAGCACAGAGACACCACCCAATGTCACCAAACCGGGGGCTATTCCGTACCCACCTGTGGAACCACCGCCGATATTGAAGTATTTGAAGGCACAGGTGAGGATTGATGAGATGTTGTTGTCCTTGACGTTTGTTATCTCAAACGTTGAATTTTTGTCGGTGTTCAAAATACCACAGTGTTTCAAGGCATAAGTCTTTGACCAGTGTGTATTGCGAATGATAACTTACGGCACTGAGACGTGGGCCTCACCATGGGTCTCATAAGAAGGCTCAAAGCCACCCAAAGTGCAATAAATGTTCGTAGTTTCACTGCAAGATCCAATCAGAAATGAGGATATCCGTAACAGAACTCTTGTAACCGATATGGCCCAAAGAATTGGAAAATTTAATTTACGGACGGGGCAGAACAGGTACCAGATAGGGCCAAACAGTTCGCGAGTAGCAACCTCGTACCGAAGATACGGCGTGAGCAAACACCCACAAGGTGGACCGATGACCTGGTGAAGGTTGCGGGAATCGACCGAATACAAGCAGTACAAGACCGGTCGTTGTAGTGGTCTTCGGAGGAGGTCTATGTCCAACAGTAGTCGTCGTCGAAAAAACACGACATATAAGTTCAAAAATTTACTAAATTGGTTCCACCAATAAATGTATATTCTTGTTTATAAGTAGATCTAATTTTTAAGTATAAATAAAACTACTCCCCATTATTCGCAATAAGATTCATTCAGTTTTCTTTTCTTTTAATTTGACATCGTGTTTACTCAATTACATAATTTTTGAGTGACGACAGGTTTTGGTTTGCGAAATGATAATGAATAGAATAGAATAGAATAGAAGTCGTTTATTACTAATAATGATGGTTATACTGCCATAAAATGACCCCAGTCACTTTTTCTTGTTTAGGTTCGAGACGCCTACCATACACCTCTAGCTACTCTCATTAAAGGTGCTACGACAATGAGTGAAGAACTCTTCGCAGAGTCAGCTCCCGTGGCATGGCAATTACTGTTGGAATCAGACAGAGAACTGAGTGCTTGTGCTGCAGCGTTGTTCATACTGTGTGCTGTGAAGGCGCCTACTGTTGCTTCGGAAATAATGCACGCTGATTTGAAACATGCTGAGCCTGATGTTAGGTAAGTTACAGCCATTTATTATTACTGTCACACATATAATTAGTGGTCGGATAATCAGATGCTTATTTCCGTACAAATCGGTTGCTCATTAAAATGGAAGACATGTTTGTATCGAAAATAATCCGCGACACGAGTATCATCGTTTAAAATGTTATTTCTTATTTAACGCATCATTTAAATTAACTATTATCATATATACAAAGTGATAAATATAAAATATACGGGCTTCAAGAAAAAAATTCATAATTTAATTTTTTTAATCTTTTAAGGTCCAACAAACTATAATAGAAAAAGCACTAAACGCCCAATATATATTAAAATGTTCTAAATATAATGATTACATGCCATGCTTTACGCCCAAACAAGTATGTCCTCAGTTTTGTGTGAAAAACGGACTTTTCTACATACCCTATTGTCATATAGAATGTACAGTACTAAATTTGAATACGATATTTTCATTATAATGTCCAGTGTAGAGTTCACATGACCATAGGAATAATAGTGTTTGGGGTCTGAATCATTTCACGTATTATGTACATTTTTTTAATAGAAGAAGTGCGTATTTGAGATCCAATTCACGTGATGGAAAGTAACGATGAGGTCAACGATGGAGAGTGCACACGCAACTAATACAAATTGATGCAAATGTGGCCTTAGGAGTTTAATCATCGTACCATCGTTTTAGTTTTACGTTGACACATCTATCTGTTCATATTTCTGAGATGCAGTTGTCAGTTCCTGGTCATCATCAGACCTTTATAATCATACAATGGGTTGATGTTGATTGTTATAATATGCAGTATTGTTCACAAATACCCAATATATTTTTTAAAGTTTGAATGTTAAGACACAGGGAAATAAAGAAAACCTCATGTCTGGACATGTATATGTATATATGTATGTATACCGATCATATCGATATACATTAAAATGTACATAATACGAGTATGTGAAGCGATTCAAACCCAGACAGTACTGTACAATCCTGTGATCACATAAATGCCCAGTGTAATTCATAATAAAAATATCGCATTCAGATTTAGTAGTTTTTATTAAAGTACGGTTTTCATACAAAACTGAGCTAGGGTCAGAAGTAAGTAATTATATTTAGGACAATTTAATGTAAATCGGGCGTTTAGAGCTATTTCCACTATACTTTACTGGGTCTTAGGAGGTTAGTGAACGTCCAAAACATCTAGATAAAATAAATACAAAATCTTCAACTATTTTTCTTTTATTTAAGGATTAATGGTATACTAAGATTTCAAGTAATGTGGAAGCTTCGCTATCAAGTATGGCCACGTATGGAAGAAGGTGCTTCTATGACATTTAAGGTTCCTCCACCAGGCATAGAGTTTACTCTACCATCTCCAAAAATTGGCATTGAATCTCTCGCTGTTGTTGATCCGCCATGGTGTCCGCAGGCAAAAGATAAAGATGTTGAAATGACCTTGAATCAGGAGCATGTAAGTATTGTTAGGTTCTACGTCTTTTACATCTTACGCAGACTATGGACTTTTTGTCCGCTGACCAGTAAAATCCGTAAATAATAACTTTGTAAAGATTTGGTAGCTTTTCTAATAAAAATAATTGTTGTCTGTGCGCTGCCTAAAGTACAATATAGAAAATTAAAGCTTTACTTTAATGTGATATATCAGGATCTAGTTTTCAGTCATGCTTTTGGGCGCATTTGTGTCCTGTCTGTTTGTGTTTTTTCGTTAAATATTAATGTGGTACGAGCAAACCTAGAATTCCAATTGCGGCAATGCTAAAAAGGCATTTGTTTTAATGATTTTTTTTTTATACGATAATAAAATAACACCAAAAACTAATTTATTTATTAGTATAAATGGTACTCTACGATTGATTGTACCACATTAACATTTTAGTGGAAACTTTGTGATTTGACATGATTGTGCAAAAATTTTGGTATGAAAACGGAACCATGACATAACACCGTAACGTATACGAATCTTTTTCATACCTAGCACCAAATGAAGGAAACGTATGCTATGGATTCGTTACTACGCTATGCTCAATATTTTCCTGCATTTATAATCGACGTTGCACTTCATACACAGCTGTCTTACGTCTTCTTTGTTATTTTCGCCGTTGTTTCTACCCCTGTGGGTGGAAAAAAAAATAAGCTGACGTCGTGGGACACCCATGTCTATGGGAAATTTGTACTGTAGTTTTTGTCCATAGATAGTAGAACGTTTGAAGAGTATTAGACACTTTTTCACTTTATTAAATAGGATAACTGCACAGTATAAAATAATAGTAATAAATTTAATTTTTATTAAGTATCTGCAATTCTACGAACAAAATAGTTCTTATTATGGCTTTGTATAGTTTAAGTATTCCACAGGGTTCAAACTATGTCCATTTTTTGGTTTATTTAATTAATAAACTGTATGGATTATCTATTTAAATCTTTGTACACACAGAAAATTACAATAAGAAGACTAACAAGAAAAGAAAGACACAAGGTACAGCTTCATGTTAATTTTTAATTATTTATGCACGTTTGCAATTATTTTGCAGCTTTATGTGTATTAAGTTCGTTTTACACAGATAGTTTTCTTACAGCGTTCTCTAGTAACAGCGACCAAAACGCGAAAGAAACAACAGACGGAGGCTATAAAGAGGGCGCTTCAACAGCGTAACGACAAGAAGAAAGCTGAAAGGGAGAGTTTTCTTATTACAACTATTCCGATTACTAGACAGGCAGCGAGGGAGCCTGCCCTGGACCATGCAGCTGATGATCATATTGAACGTAAGTCGTGTTTGAAATATAGCTCATTTAACAAAAACAATAGCATTTAAAAACGCCTAAATTACTAATAATTACTATTATAGTTATTTGTTATTAATAACAATTTGTTTAAGACGAAAATACAAGACATTGTGATATTTACAGCAATCTAACAATTTTATCAAGATTGTACAAACGTTCGTGAATTTCTATTGAAAGTAAATATATCATACGGATTTATGTTATCATTTATCAATAAACAAAAGCCGTCATTCTACCTAACTTTCGATTTCATTAAATGACGCATGGTATATTATAACGTTACTACGTATAAATAAATAAATAAATAAATAAATAAATAACACACACACACATAGCCCCGCACTAGGGAAACCCAGTGTTACGGGAGCTATGGTCACACATATAGACAACCACAATTTACACCCAAAGTCACGAGAGAAATAAATGTAGGCTATACAATTATTCCTTCTGGCCCGGGAATCGAACCCGGGACCTCTGCCTGGCATTCCAGTAAGGTAACCGTTCGGCCACAGAAGCAGTTTTGATATGTCGTGCTTGCCGTGATGACCCTGTCCAAGTTGGTGAATTGTCATAAGTAAATATTGTCATAGCCTGTAGCCTAAGCATTACAATGCTCTGAAGCCGCTATTCGAGTTTTGTATAAGGCAATTTATAAATATTTCAAAGAAGGATGGCGAAAACTGCCCCAATAACGACGAAGAGCCGTTCATGGACTTTGCTAGTGTAATTTTTCCGTTTTAGTTTACGCCTAGTTATGAATATATTTTAGTATATTTTTAAAAGTCGGAAATAAAAAATTGTAAAACATTGTATTTTAAAGAAGATGCAAGAACACAACGTAATTGATTCAGTTCGACCATAGATTAGGTAACATTCTTGTACGTACGTTTCATTTAAAGCATGATTGAATGTTTACCTACCAGAAGTATTGGTTATTTTATAGTACACACAAAACATTAAACCTATAAAATACCTAATGAAATAATCAATTAAACAGTAATGACATAAAGCAAAAAATAAAACACAATATGACAAAAATGTTTAAACAATATTTAAATGAGAGATAATGAAAGTTGCATAGGATCGTTTTGACAAGAGACCTCTTGCCAATGTCAATGTCACATAGATATTGAGAACAGTGTGACCATTTATGGCAGATTTCTGCCATTTGGGCAGATTAAATTTATATTTATTTTCATTGTTGTAGAACATGATAAGTTATATTAAATTTGGCATAGTTTGGCATACAAATCTTCCCAAAAGGAATATTTCATGGTATTATACCATGCTAAAAGTGACGTCTCTCAAGGTTCTCATTTGGGTCCCCTTCTATTTCTAATTTTTATTAATGATATAGACTCACAAGTAAAGCATAGTAAAATCCCACTTTTCGCTGATGACTTTAAACCAGTTTACGACCCGACAGACGTAATAATTCTCCAAAATGACCTAAATAAAATAACACAATGGTGTTTATCCAATGGTATGGTCCTCAAACCTAGTAAATGTCAATACATTTCGTTCACGAGAAAATTAAAACCTGTTGCATCTGCATATCAGTTGAAAGGTGAACTATTAGCTAAGGTCAATGAAGTCCGTGACTCAGGAGTCATTATACAACGACAACAAACTTAAATTTAGTGCACTTTAATTGATAAAATTATTCATAAGGCAGCGCGAATGTCGGGTTTTATTAGACGAAACACGCGTAATTTCAATCAACTCAATAGTCTACAATATTCTAGTTCGCTCTCACCTTGAATTTGCCTCCACAGTGTGGAATCCAATGTACACCGACCCGTCTCAGCGTATAGAAAACATTCAGCGTGCCTTTACAAGGCATATAAGCTTAATATATTTTCATATTTCATTTTGAAAATATGTCCCTGTTTTACGCACTCTGAACAAAATTTATATTTTAAGGTACACTCCCGTTTTAAATGGTTGTCTCTTCCGCACACAAAACACATAACACTTTTTTTTTTGCATATTGTGTTTTTTTAAAACTTTGTTCTGTTGTGAATTGTTAGGATATCGTCTTCTCTGATGTATTTTATGTTCAACCGGTTTTCTATATGTTCCTTGTACCTGATTTTTCTTCATTGCAACATCCCTTTCCTTTCCTGATTCTACCGAATTGTCTCTACTTTCTACATCATCTACTTTGGTATGTATCATTGCAGCCTCCACAGTTCTAGTTTATCTAGTGTCAGATGTACATTTTTTAGTAATTCAAATTTTTCTATCATTTTTTAATTAAATTATCATTGGTTTGTTTACACTATCCATAAACTTGTCCTTCACTTGGTCCTCAAAATTTGTAAACTCACATCTTTTTGCTAACTTTTTAAGCTCCATTCCATATTCCACAGTTTCTTCGTTTGGTTTTTGATTTCTAGATCGAAAAGCTGCGCGATCTAATGCCGTGGAAGTAGATTTCGCATATCTCCGTTCTAAAATGGTAATGAGTTCTTCATAAGATTTCTTAATGGCGTCCGTTTAGTTTCGGGAACATCGTTGAGAGATATAATGCAATATAATTGTTGCTGAAACAATTCGAAATTTTGCTCATTAAATGGCTCAATACGTCCGTAATTGGAAAACAACGATTACGTTTTAAAAGCAATAACATGTTTTGTTATTGTCTCGTTGGCTCTGTGTTACTCACCAATAGAGGCGCGCTGTAATAGCGATGACACACGATGCGTTGCGTCGGCGTTGGGACGCCTGAGCGGTGACGCTGCGTTGTACTTACTGCTTATAAATTAGAACTACATGTCACATGGTGCAATGAAAATAATTGACGTCCTTATGACCAAAGAATGAAATTTTTTTAAATATCCACATTACGAAATCGACGAATTATAGCTGACTTGTCTTTTCTACATAAATTAGTAAATGGTGAGATATCAAGTTCTGCAATACTTGAAAACGTAAAGCTCTCAGTACCATACAAATATCCCAGATCTCGCTTAACTAAACTTTTTAATATTCCCCCATGCCGAACTAATTTAGCTTTCCATCATCCACTCTCGCGAATGTCTTCCCATTACAACTGTTCATCTGTAAAACAACCAGTGCTGGATATCTTCAACGATACCCTAAAAATGTTTAAAACAAAACTGCTGACAATACTTTGAAGCCACATTATAATTTGTAATTCTATATTCGTTAAATCTGTAAGTGTTTAAAGTTTTTAATATGTATTTTTGTTTTGTTAAAAAAATGTTGTGTACTAATTAATTTCTACAAAGTAGTGTATACCAGTAATAGGCATATGTATAAGGACAATTCCTCTTACCATAAACCTTTTTGTACAAAACTATGTTTATGCTGTTGGTGTACCTTTATAAATAAATAAAAAACATCTGAAGCGAAATACAGGATAATGTTATAAACACAACCTATATCAACTTTATATATATTATATATTAGCTTTTTTGATGATTTGATATTGAATCACAAGTATTGATAGGTCTCCTTAATGCACGTCGTCAAAATACACGGGATGTCGCCAACCTTCTTTAAAATATTAAGGTACACTTTTTTAATTAACGGTATTTGCCATGGTCTAATACCGTCAGGTACATATTTGTTTTCATGAGAAACATCCGATAATTCAAACATAGAATTCTAAAACTTTAACTGACTATTTAGTTATATATTTAAACGGTTAAGATAAACTTTTAATTGCAGTAACTAACCGATGAGCGAAAACATTAGATTGCTTAACAATGCAGATGTCGACATCTGTAAAATTAAAAGAAATTGGCGTTACAATGTAGTACCTGTATCGATTATCCCTACAGCCCCAGCAGACGAAGAAATGGTAGAAGGAGTACGTGGATCGCATCATACGCAAGTTGCTTCTGCGTTATTCCCGTCAGTCCTGTGCTCAGCGGTGGCGGAAATAGTCTCGATGTTAGATGACGCCGCGGCACGTGAAGAAGATGGGTGTTCCGTTTATGAAATTGCTTATCAGGTGGGATTGTATTACCCATTTATTTTTAATAATAAAAATATGCACATACACAATTAATTTTTGACCGACTCTAAAAAAGGAGGAGGTTCTCAATTCGACTATATTTTTTTGTATGTATGTTACGCGATAACTCTGACATTTGTAAACCGATTTTGATTATTCTTTTTTTGGTGGAAAGAAAATATTCCACCTCTAAGGGTGGGAGACTAGGGGATGAACCCGATTTCACGCATTTTCTGGTAACCGATTTCAATAAAACATGACAAATAGAGTAATTCCACTTAGTTTTGCGGTCGGTTTTTTAGTACTCTGTACTGAAAAAAATAATATTTATGTAAATTAGGAAGATATTTTGTTAGCTCGTAATGGATAGTAAACATTGAACAAAAATACAAGACCATTTATAATTTATACAATTGTTTATTCTCACTTTTAAAGTATTTACAAAAATAGCAGCTCGTGACATGACGTATCGATGACTTAGTAAAAATGCGGTCTATCTCAAAAACACGTAATTTTACAGCAAGATGATTTAAATAAAACTGAGGCGTATCTGGAGAGCAAAACCCACGAATCGTTTACTGTACCTACTCGCAATGTTGTCACGTAAATATTTTAATCAATGTAAATATCTTTGAAAGTCTTATTCACAATAATAGTAAGTCAAGAAATGAAATATTTTTTATTTTAATTCTTGAAACGCTGCGATATGTTAAAATTTCTCTCATGGTGACACTCTTTTGTATTTGTGTATTTGATATGATTTGATATAATTATGCATTTGGCAAACAATCACCGTGTGTAGATAGTATGTGTGACAAAGCATATGTCTTGTTTGCCTAGTTGACAAATACAGCAAATACCAAACACGCGTTACCAGGCGCTTGTCGGTTTCTCGACGCACATCAGGGGTCACTATGGTCATATTCATTATTTTAACCCTTTATTTGGCTTCGTGTGTAGACGATTATATTGGTCAGTATCTGCATGTTTGTCTACGTCAAATATTTTTCACAAGTACAACCAACACCCAATAGCGAATACGAACAGCCAAGTGAAGTTCTGCCATTATATCAGATACTTCTGATTGGCATGTAAAATCAATTGAAAGTACAAACATTTTGGTAGAATAAGAAACACGATGAAGATTACAAATGGTTAAACTAACGTTCCTTTCTCCAGGTGATCTGGAACTGCCTTGTAGAAGATTCCGCTCTATTTCTTCGCCATGTTTTGGAGCGACTCACACGCGACCACCAAGACGAAATGTTCAAACTTCTTCGGCACCTCATTCGCTTTATACCTCGCCTGCCGCAGCAGGCCGCTTTTGCACTGTACAACTATATCATTGGATATGTCATGTTCTATGTGAGAACCCCTCATGAAGACGGACAGAGACTTATTGGAGCAGCTTTATCGATTTTATGGATGGTGAGTTACACTTTTATGTCATATTTAAATTATACATATTTTTCGATTCATACCTACAAGTTGATCCTCTTTTATACACATATATTATTATTACATATAAATACACGTTTTCCCATAGCCATGGGACACGGAGCACTTTAAATTTTTTTAATACCAAGTGACGGGACGAACTAGTCGTGTGCCTGGTGGTAAGCGACGCGTCTATCCATAATGGTTGCAGTGCCATTCAGAGCTTTAAACCGCAATGATCTTATGGGCACTGCCACTGCGCCCGTCACCCTGAGACATAAGTTGACAATCCCATGTGCCTGTAATTTCATCAACACCCTTACCCTTCTAAACCGGAACGCAGTAATGCTGACAGCCAATACTGCTTGGCAGCAGAAACAGTTACATTTACTTTTTTCATTAAGTCATAACTTTGAGTAATAAACTTGAAAATTAAAATATCTTCCTTTTTTGTTTCATTGTACAAAATTGTTTATCACAACTGAAGTTAACAAATTTTTCCGACCAATTTTCGTATGTGCGTTAATCAGGCCGAATAGTTTCTGTTGTTATAATAATTTTAATTATTCAGCTACGCTCCTGGCAGAATATTGACCGAATATATTATTCGTTGCAACACTAGTAAAAATTATTTAAAAATTACAGGTGGTCCACAGCGTACACGGTATTATGTTTAAAGACCTAAAACAAATATTACGCAAGGAGCAATGTGATGCGCAAATATTGCTGACTGCTAATGTGCCAGCTGCTAAAAAAATTATCGTCCATGGACCGTGTAAGTATAATACAAGAATTTGCCAGTGTGGTACTACACACTCCAGCACATTTAACGGAACAAAAATAAAGTGAGAATATAAAGTAGTAAGGCGTCAAAGATAAGAATTAGACGTAAAGAAGCAATTGTATTAAACACCTTTCAACATCGACTTCGTACACCTGTGCTCAAGCTATATTGAAAAAATCTAAATTAAAAAAAAACGTTTTTTGACGATTTTAAAAAATTGTACCAGCTTAACATTGATTAAATCAATGTTTTATAAATAAAAAATCTTTTTCAACTACATATTTAATTCATTGAATAATAATAATAATATAATAACGCACACACTCAACATAGCCCCGTACTAGGGAAACCCTGTGTCGCGGGTGCCATGAACACACACATAGACAACCACAAATTACACCTAAACTCACGAGAGAAATAAATGTAGGCCATACAAATATTTCTCTTGGCCCGGGAATCGCACCTGGGACCTCTGCGTCGCAGCCCGGCATGGTAACTGTTCGGTCACGGAGGCAGTTAATATGATGATATTTTTATTACCATGATATTCATGTGTTTTTTGTCAAAATAATTCGTAATATTAGTTTTGAAAAACACTGTTTGTTTTTGGAGTTTGGAGGTTTTTACTAGCGTTCCTCTAAATGTGCCGCAGTGTGTATGTACCAAGACACTTCGTTGATTTTTGTAATAGTAATAGTAGTCACAACATAATAGTTACTGTTGAAAAAAATCCAATTCTTTACTTATACATTTTTTGTTTGACTAAACTTTAGCTAGCCAGCCAATACTAATACAAGATCGTCAATCTTGTTAATCAATTTATTTTTCTAGCTGACAACGAAGGCAGTATCCCGTCCCAGTTCCCCATACAAGAAGACACAAAGTTCAGTTTGGTATTAAAGGAGTCGCTCGACTTTTTCGGTATTCCCGACGACATGCACGACAAATATTTCCTTGTGGACTTTAAAACCCGTAAGTAATTACTCGAGTATCTATATACTATTTAGTTGATCCCCTAATAAGTCAATTTCATCGAAGCGCCCAGTAGGTACTAAATGATGAAAGGACGCTATTAGGGCAAAAGTGTTTTTCCATGGGGAAAAAAATGAAAATAGCATCCAAATATAAAATAGTATAGTATAATACCATTTAAAGTAACATTGCACAAAAAAGAATTACATGTGGGTTACATCACTTTAGCGGTGATAGCCTCAAAATACAAAAAATATATATCAGCATCGCGTAAGGCCCATAGCAAGCCGGCTAACGGGAAGACAGAGGATATTAAATTTATCAATGTATATTTTACGCTATTCCAATTGATATAAGGTATAAATTTCAATGCTCTGAGTCCGAGCTCGGAGCATCGCAGCGCATTTCTCTTCACGGTATCGAAGAGCACGCTGGATTATAACGGCGTTGAAATAGCATGTAGTACACACTTGACCCGGGTAGTCTTGAACTGAAAATGAATGCATTAAATATAAAATACTTTTTGCGCACTATCCCGTATTCACTGCGTGCCTATAGCTCCGCTACTTATCTGGAAAATAGGGAGGGTGCTGTACGTACATCCGGGGCGGCTCACCTAAGGTACTAGCCCTACAGAGAACCGAATGAAGTCCGTGCAAACGGGCTGGTCTGGGAATCTAGGGGAGGACCTGACTTGGTTCCTGCACGGGCATGCTCGCCCACGTCATAGTACCCTTCTCGTATACCCTAAGGGTCGGTAGGGAGGGTCCCTATAATTAAAACTAATGTAGAAAGATATGGGGCTCTCCCGTATTCACAAGCTGACGAGTAGTGCGGTACTTTTGCAGCCAAATATTTGAAATGGTCTGTACCAGTTTATTAAAATGTATAACGTTATGTACACATATTATGTATGTTAATTATCTCTTTCCCAAAGGTCAAATTCACAACCCGATCAACTACGTTCGCGATCACTATTTCTTCAAACGGTCACAGTACCCTCAGTTAAGATTGGTACACATGGAGACGGAAGAGGCTTTCGAAAAGTTACAACAACAAGAGCTATTACAGAAGTTTGTTGAAATCGGAAAGGTCTTGTTGACTTGGGCTATATTGAAAAATGTTGATATGGTATGAGTAATTCTACTCTATATGAACTTATTTTGCTTTGCCTACATTATTAATCGTGTCTGAAGTAAACTGAGGCAAAAATATTTGTTGAGTCAAGTTATCCCAACGTACAATTCTAAGTTTTTAAAATTACAAGTCTTTCAAAGTGAAGCTTCCATTATGATTTATCATTGCCATTCTTTCTAATAATAACCGAAAATATTTCTATTTCCCAGGTGGTCCAAAGGGTAGTGTTTCTGCATGACGAATTGATGAAACTTCCATCATTCCCGCGTAGAGCTTTAGAATCAGATTTGACGCTCTATAATGGTGGGACACTTGGATCTACTCTGCTTGGATTAGACGTTTTGCACAAATTTATGTAAGTAACTTTCTATATAAATCCAGATGTAGTATAGCATAGTACGTGGTCAAAATCCATATATTAGTTCCTATATCGGTGAGCATCGAGCATAACCAGAAATAGAGAGGAAATAAGGGCTATCCAGCCCTGGCAATTCATCAGTAAAATGGTACTGATATCACTTTTAAATATCAACTCTCGTTTGCGCTGAAATCACAAATTAGAAAGCTAAAATAGTACAGCGCCAACCATTGACCTGTGTGTACGTCTCCATATATTCCAAAAATATTCAGTATTTAATGTAATAAAGATAATATCTCTCTCTAATTATGGGGGGCTGTTTCATTCGGTGGTGTGGGAAAAACAGCAAAACATCTAATTACAAATCAAAATCCCATTTCATCGGTAATTAAATATTAAATATGTAATTTTTAAATTTTCGACCTAAGAGTAAAGCTCAAGTTAAAGTGGTCGATTTGCAGTGAAACAATTGACTACACCCGACAATTGTTTCGAATTCGGGCTGGTCAATCGGAGCACAGTTGTCACAGTAATGATTTGGCAGAATAATAATGTTTTCAAACAAATTAAATGACATTCCGTCTCTATTTCTGGTTATATACTCGATGTCCCGTCAGACATAAGATTCGTCTCAACACAATTTACTTAAGAACTTAAATCGAATGCTGACTCTTCGATTTATTTTGTCACTCAAGTCCATGTTAACAATTAATTTGCTATCAAGCATTACAAACGTTTCCAGGTGGGTACGCCTTATAGCCCGTATGTTCGAAGCAATGGCTGGAAACTTTACATCATCGCGCGACATTCATCTATTTCTGAATGTGTTAAACGGAGCACTGATGTTGCATAGTGAAGATTCTCTCATACTGCGATATGTGATTGCCACTTATGTAAACGCCGCTTCGAATTTCAAGAATATATTCTCCACAAATGGGTAAGTTAGTTTCGAATTGTCGATGAATTAAAAAGGCTAAAATTGTCATTTCGGTATGAAATAAATTTTGAGGTTATTTCGTTGAAACGGAAAGTTAACTAATTATTTAATTAATTATTAGTAATTGAAATAGCGCTACATTCAAAAAAGATTAAAGGAAGCACTTCCTGTTTTAAAGTTTCATTTCTTACTGACTTGCAACCATAACTACAAAACCTTATAATACTAGAAAATATTAAACTGATATAAGATCCACTAGTTATTCATAAGATAAGTTCCCCTGAGAAGAAAGTGAGGGCTACCAAATATAGACACTGACTAAGCAACATAGTTGAGTCCGTTTAAATAATTTTAATATTTCCTACGTTTACGAAATAATGTTATGTGTTGTAGCTACCTCCTTATAATGCCAACACTACTACAAATATACTCAAACTTCCAAAACAACAAGCTGGTAAGGACTACAATTGAATATGCAGTCAAACAGTTCTACTTACTGAATAGGAAACCTTTTATTCTGCAAATGTTTGGGTCTGTCTCCGCCATTTTGGATACTGATGAAGACGCGCAATACGGGGATGCGAGTAAAGTGAGTCTCTCAATTTCTATTTTAATAATTTAATAATTTCTAATTTATTATACAGTACGGCGTTAATATCTTAATACATTCTAAAAATGTATATAGTATTTATACTAATTTTTGGTGCAAAAGATAAAACATCTAAATTTAAAAAGTGGCTTCCGTAAACGTGAATGACAATTATATAAGTTGGTGTATAAAAATGGATAAGATTTTTAAACAAATGCCATTTTTAAGTGCGCTCTGACATGCCGTGTGTGGAAAAATCCCAACTCCGCGATACTGCATTATTAGTATATTCTAGACAAAGATTGCCGCTATTGCCACATTGGGCAAAAAGTGAAACAGTATTTATTGACAATAATTATGACAGTCACCAACTAATTCCTCATTTTAGGTACAATCAAGCTGTTTATTCAATCTCCTTCTAAGTCTGGAAACGCCATCACCAGATCCTCTTCACATAGCTGAATTAATCAAAGAGGACAAACCTTTAAAACCAATAGACTTCTGCTATCGCGATGAGGACGAAATGGTCAATGTGTTGGACTGCATCAGTCTTTGTGTTATGGTTGTTTCTTATTCGGCTGAGAGTATTAGGGGATATCAGATGCTTGTAAGTATATGGTTAAGTGTTTGTATTTATCCCCAATTAACAGTACGTAATAGCCGGTTTTAAACTTTCTTTTTTGTGATTTGGTACCATTACACGTAGACGATTGTAGTTTTTTTAGATGGTAGTAACTATGTAATGTATACGGAGAGATGCTATCTTCTGGGTTTTTGTATCTTACTAGTAGTAATTCGTAATCCGGAGGCACTTATACTAAGAAGGATAACCAATTTTTTAACGAAAGTTATTATAGTTATACAGCGTGTCCCAAAATTCAACGATAAGCGGGCGCTGGAGGGTGGACCTGCGCATAACTACTTGAGGAAAAATAAGAAAAAAAAATTGGAGGAATTTCTAAATTGTATCGACTACGCACACGTGCCATTGAAATTCCAAGAAATTGCAACACATAACCTTTTTTCGGCACATAGTAAAAGTGATTATTATGAACAAGAACAATAATCAAGAATTTTAATCTTTCTTAGAAATGGTACCAATATTTTTGGCGCCTAGTTTTATTAAAGTATTATACCATTTTGGAATCTTGGTTAGTTGCGTCAATTTTTAAAAAAACTTGCCGCAGTGGTGTCCATACTTTTTTTTTACAAAACGATGAGTGAAAGTCGACTGAAGGTAAAAATATTTCAAAATTTTAAGGGAAAAAAATATTTTGATGGATTTTTGTGTAAAACTGCAGGCATTCTAGGGTTTTTAAGAGTTGTGGTAGACAGCAGTACTACTTAGGTGGCCGTTAAAATTAAAACATCAGAAATATCTGAAAAAATGTGGTCGTGGTGATTCAAAATATCATTAAGGGAGTAAATTTTCGAAGAATAACAATTTTTTTATCGTAATTGAAAAAATAAATGAGATAGATTTTTTTTCTTATTTTTCCTCAAGTAGTTATGCGCTGGTCCACCCTCCAGCGCCCGCTTATCGTTGAATTTTGGGACACGCTGTATATAGAAGATTAACGAAAGTTTTGTTTTTACATCAACCTATACACGTTTCGCTGCATGACATTGGGCGCTTCTAAATAGAGTTCTTGTTAAAATGCTTGACGCTGAAACGTCCTTAGGATACCGCATAAAAAACAGGTTTAGTGATCGCGGTGCTGATGTGTACTGAACTCGTATCTTTAATTTCAGATCATTCTAGAAGCAATACTACCTTGTTATGTGAAACAAATTCAACTGCCTACGTACGATTTGCTAGGAAAGACGGAAAAGGAAATTATTCAACAGTTGGCTATTGCTATCAAAACGCTTGTTAACAATTGTGAAGCACTTTCTAAGTAAGATTTTGTCTGAAGAATGATATTGAAATAGTTTTAACTCGTAGACAATACAAAACCGATTATAATTATTGTCATTTATTGCCATGCTCCGTTTTAGCATTCACTTAAACTCCTTTCCTTTTACCTTTTTCGTTCATCATTATCATCAACTCACTTCTATATTCCACTGTTGGACATGGGTCTCCTCTTAGGCGAGGGATTACACCATAGTCAGCCACGCTGGCTCAATGCGGGTTGGGGACATTTCCGAGTGTTGTGAACCTTCTTTAATGTGCAGGTTTCATCAGGATATTTGCCTTCACCGAAAAGCTCATGGTAAATTTAGGACATAAGTTCCGAGAAACTCAGGGGTGCGAGCTCGGATTCGAAACCACGGCCTCGGCTCTTGACCTTTTTCGTACTAAAGTACATTCAGGTTTACATGATACACTTTGTTAAATAGTCACGCCCCTAATATTATTTTTCTGATATTGGTAAACGCACTACGTATAAAATATACTAGAGCACAATACCAACGTGTTTGGAAGTCGGATCATAGGAAAGTTGCAGAGTTAAGTTCGAATACTCCTTGTTATTTCTCCATAGGTCCTACAATGGTCCGTACCGGACATCACCCGAACACAAAGGTTCGTCTCAACGTGGTGGACCAAGAGGCACAAATACAAATTTTCTTAACGAGTTTGAAGAAATGTCTCGTGTGTCGGGTGTTAACCCTACAACGGCTAGCGCAGAACATTCGCGCCGCGACCCGCAAATTGATTACACTAACGCTGCTGATTCTGAGGTATAGCTATTCACCCTTTTCTGTTAAGTGACTTCAAAAAAGGAGGAAGTTCTCTAATTGACTGTATTTTAAATAATATTAACTTTTTTCTTTGTGCGTATATGCGCAATTAATCTGACATTGTGAACCGATTTCAATTTTTTTTTGTTGGAAAGGGGGTACCTCATTACGGCCATTCTCACTAATTACCGTAGCCATTTCGGTGTCCTCGGCTTAATTTCCGTAGCCATTGTTTTTTCTCGCTTATTATACCCACTAACATTGAAATATGAAAACTTTAAGCTAAACTGTATAAAATGGCATTAGAATGAAAATATGTATAAATGGCATTAGAATGGACAAAGTAGTTTTCGAGTTATTAAGACACAAATATTTAAGGAAAACGGATCTAATTACCGTAGGCATGGATACGGTAATTACAAAGTTTAAAATTTTTAAGAAAACATAAAAACAAAAATGATAAAGAACAACTAACAACATATAAATAACTTTGATTTTGATTTTCTACACTTACTTGAAAACTACTTTGTCTATTCTAATGCCATTTAGACATATTGATAGTTAAGTTTAAAGTTTTTATATTTCAATGTTATTGGGTATAATAGGCTAGAAATTACAATGGCTACGGTAATTAGGCTGAGAACACCGAATGTGAGAATGGTCGATTAATGGTCCGAAAAAAATCAAAATACCAGGCTACAATTTTAACAAACAACGCACAAGGTAGCAACCTATTTATTAACCGGAATAAAAAAGGAGGAGGTTCTCCATTCGACTGCTGATTTCGATGACTTTTTTTTGTCAAGGAGGTACCTCAGTAGCGGTCCTATTAAAATTTGAAGAAAATTTTCCGCCTGTAAAGGTTGAATCTCTTTCCGTTAACCGATTTCAATAAAGCTGGGCAAATAGGTGCAATTCTACAAACTTTTAAGGTTGTTTTTTTTAAATAAAAATGTTTTCACTATTATTTGATCGTTATACGATTTTTTTTACTCAAATGCATAGAGAAAATGCATTTTGCTTTGAAGACCCGGGCTAAAAAGATAGGTATATAAAGTACATAGGATGTGTTTTCTGGGTTAGAAAACCAGTAGCAGTTATTCATTATTAAAATAGATATCTTTCATTCTTTGTTTCCCTTAATTCAGAATTCTACCATAGAATGATTCACAAACTCTTTATTTAGAACATACCTATAACATTGTCTCATTTCAACAGTTGATACGTGCCGAATATAGGCGACCACGTGACGTACTCCTTTCTCTAGTAGGAGATTTCATAGGCCGAGCTACGGCAAGACTCTTGGAGCTCAATGGATCTAAAGGCAGCGGAGGCAGTGAAGGAAAACCTGTGGAATTGCTGGATTCAAAATCACATGCTGTATGTACATAAAAGTTACCTGCAAAATGTACCCTTTTGTTACCAGGGCTTGCAACACACAAAGTATCTTTTCATTTACTGTCCTTGTTTTACTTTAATTTTTTGTTTTGTTTGTGATTTTGTTTTGTAATTAATTATTTATGTTTTACGTTTGAATATTTTAATTATACTTTTTTGTTTCGGTTTGTTTCTTTCGTGGTAAACAAATAAATGTATTTTCTTTCCTTTTGTAAAATAATTTTAAATTGAAAACTACCGTGAGACTCAGTAATATTAACGGATAACTCACGTATTTAAGTCGAATTTTTCCTCCAAATGTTTCGAACCACTCCGTGCTTCCGCGGCATCAACTCGACGAAAAACAACGCAAAACTTCGACTTAAATCTTTTAGTTTAGTGAATATGTATAAAAGTACTTGCAAATCGATATCCAAGTAAATATGACTAGCCGAAGTTAAACTGGCTACGCAATATGTTCAAAGTATGTTAGTATTTAATTATTCCTCAGTTTATTTTTTATTTTTCTCAGACAACTGTTGTACTAATTCTTCCTCAAAATTAGTCTTTACAGAAATTTTATTCTTTTACTTTTCTTTTATTTACTTAGCTTTACAACTTAGTTGTTGGTTTTTGCGAATTTATTGTTACCTTTCCAGCGTTTAGCAGAAATAGCCCATTCCCTGCTCAAAGTGTCACCCTACGACCCTGAATCCATGGCTTGTCGCGGTCTAGAACGATATATGACGCTTGTACTACCAGCCGGGGATTGGGCCGACGACGCGCTCAGACCATCCCTCATTATGATCATGAGACGCCTTGATAAGGTGTTCTTGAAGATTGCTAAGAAACCTGGCATACGGGTAAGATATGACCGCCTGGTACACCTATAATGGTACATTATTGCAGAGGTCGAGAAGTAAAGGATTATGTATGTATTATACGAGTCAGGCAATCCGCCAAGATATATATAGTGCTTTTCTCAAACAATGCGAGGAAACGATACAAAACTATAATAGAAAAAGTAAAGCAAGTTTTCCTGGACATATTTTGCTTCTTGTTTTAGGTAGAGTATCGGTCATTATTGTATTTATACGCGAAGAAAATATAAAAAATACAATAAAATAGAGATAACAAAAAAGAACTTCAAAGTACTTTCGTTTATTTTTCAAATATATTCGTGCACCATAATTTAAAAGCAAATTTTCTAAAAAAAAATAAAATAAAAAAAAATTAAATTTAAAAAAAAATTAAACTTAAATTTTTCTTTTAGTCTGATTACATAACTCTTTGTTAGTTAGTTGCAGATATATGTTTAAAAGTTTAGGGTGCGTATAGATTTGGCGAATGCGCCGCGAACGCGCTGCATGTGCGTTGCGCGCGCTGCTCGCATACTGTACGCGCGCTGCACACGTGCTGCATGTGTGCAATTAAATACATGTTGAGATTGCACAATATAATGCTCGTGTGCAGCTCGCGACCTTTCGCAAACAGGCGCATTCGCCAGATCTGTACGCACCCTTAGACAAGCGAACAGAAATGGATTTACAAACTTATTATACAGCCTAGGCCGGCAAAGAGCTGCACGCTCTGTAAATGACAAATTTTGTGGGTTCTTTTTTTGAAAGCAAACATTTCCGAGCATGTTTGAGGTATAAAATATTTTACATCAAAACGTCTTCATTCGTATACTTGAGTAATGTGAATCTTATTTTTAAACTCTTTATCCTTTGTCTATATAAACTGTTATTTAAATAAGTCTATTACGTCTTTGTTTTTCTTCTCTTTTTTGGTAGTTACTATTTACATGGCTTTATTTTTTACTTTTCTTTCTATCTCTTTATTAAAAATCTTTATTTGTCATGTTTACAAACGTTTTCATTTAACAGATTTCTTGGAATTACTAGTTTCTTTATTGGTCATATTCACGTTTCTCAATCACCAGAGAAACACCGACTGGGATGCAGCCGCCATGTTATTAGAAGGCGTGTATGAAACAATGGTACGATGTCCTTATATTATGCAGTGGGCACAAGTTAAGACACTTCTTAACACTGTCCAGGTAAGTTAAAACTATATATCTTTTTTTTAATATGTATTAGGCACACGCTTATAATATCTCCCATTATTTTTGCCAAAACTTTATACAAAGCAACCAACCTAATGTTAATTGTTGACATAATTATTATTGATGTAAAAATCGCACAACACAAAGAAAAATTCCTTCGATTTGACCTAGACTGTAACCAGCGTCTGTTACCATGCCGGGGCCAACGTTCTTCCCAACTGAGCTACAGACCGAATCACAGCATTTTCACAAAAAATATATGAATAAATAATAATATAATAAATATTGTAGATATAATTGTATGTAAAAATTGTTTAAATCGTTCTAGATATTTTTGAAACCACTTTGTCTAAATTTATACAAAATCCTTTTTTAGACATTAATAGTAGCAGAAAACAATGCCGGTGAGAACCTGTCGTCAGCAACAGCGGCGTTAATGTCGCAACCTCCGCCGCCGCACTTCTGCAGCAACGTCGTCAGGCTGATTGCATTGCAAGTTATTAATACTGGAGTAAGACATTTTATACAATATACCCTAAATGAATGAATGAACCTTGAAATGAACCTTTTATTTATTTAATAAGGTACGTGTCGACAGAATGCATTACATTTTCCTAAAAACTTTTATATTTAATTTAATTTCTAATAATTAATGAATAAAATAATAAATTAATATGCAATCTGCATTTGAAATAACTAGAGCTTGATACATATAACAGTAAATTAATAAATATTATTTTAGAGTCGTAATGTAATACAAATCTATATAAACTATAAGTAATTGTGTAGCCTTACTCTTCGGAAAGTTCTCGAACTCGGATGGGAACTCCGGGACACGTAGGATGACGACGGGCTGGAACATTGAAGATGAAGGATTTAGATTCAAAATTTAGTTTTAATTTCGGTACATACAGTGATAGAAAGATAATAAAGACGTGTTATTAACTGAGTCTTCAAAGGTCGAGGGATAGCCGTAGCGTCTGCCGCTAGATCTTTTCGTCTCGTTGTGTGTGTCTCGTTGACGCGTTGGCGGTGCGCACACACACAATTGTGTTAGTATAAAAAAATACTTAAGTAAATCTAAAACTAGTTACCTTAATACTAATTTTTTTCATGTGTAAAAAATGTGTTCCAAAAATATGTCATATAGCTAGGGTTTAACTGTTATGAAAACTAACCTGTTTTACAGGACAGCTACTCGTTAGAGCAGATGTGTGGAGGCAGTGCGATATTCCCCTCTCCAGAAAAAACCGAGAACATGCTTATGAACTTATTCATGCCACTTTGTCTGCGAGTTGGTAGTGGAAGGAAAGGTACGGAATTAATTATGCCTATTGCGTTTGATATTGTAAATACCTCACATTTCAAAACTCTGTATTTGCATGTCCTTTCATTTAAAGATCACCTTTAACGTAACGCAAGAAATTTTAATGCGTTACATTTTTCATCCTATTTAAAATAAAAAAAATTTTTAGTATAATTAAAGTCGTATTTCAAAGTTAGAACATTTAGTTATACATCCATTTAACTTTGAAGCCACATATTATTAAATGCCTTTATTATATGCCACAATATTTATGTTTTTATATTATCAATTTCATGTAATTCCCCAGATGTTCCTCCACTTCGTCAATCGGACGTAAGCTACATCGTGTCAGTGATTCTGAATGCTTTATGTCCACCCGCTGCGCCGGGCCAAATCTCCGCAGTCAATGCTAAATTGAACGCAGCCGAGGCCAGAGCAAATTCGTTAACGTTCACAGGAAGCAGAGACATTAGAAATACTACAAGACTGTCTAATCAGATGTATAAAATCGCTTTCTTGTGTAAGTATTTGTATCATTTAAGGGTTGCTGACGCACCTACCGCTGACTTTAACTTTCCTTAACTTTAACTAACCCAAACTCATGAGAGAAATGAATGTAGGCCATACAAATATTTTTCCCAGTCTGGGAATCGACCTCTGCGTGGCAGTCCAGGATGGTAACCGTTCGGCCACAGTGGCAGTTTTGCCGAAATAGTTCTAAGATTTACAAAAACGTGATAAATTAAAACACATTCCGTCATCGGAGTGGCGCGGTTACATCTAAAGTTGGATTTTTAATTAAAGGTTACAAACCGACAGCTAGTTTTTTTTTTAAATGGGACAGTCAGTATGGGGAAATCCGAAACCATAGCAGATACAAGGAAACTGTCTTAGAAATCATTACGTCTTTTTTTGTGAACACAATTTTGGCATAGTCAATCTTCTCCCTTTCATGAGATCATTTCGTTGTATGGGGCGAAAAAAATCGGGACAGCGGAAGTTGGTCAAATTTCATAAAATATTTTTTCATATAAAATAAATAAAGTTGATTTGAAATGATTTCCTTCATGAAACTAAGTCCATCAGCAGTAAAAAAAAAATTTGATCAATTTCATTCATTTTTATGGACAACTCACACTTGACCAAAAAAATTACTATCCCTAAATTGTCTTCTAATTTTATACCCTAAATTGTTTTCACAAAAAAAGACATAATGGTTCCTAAGACAATTTCCTTGTATCTTCTATAGTTTCAGGTTTCCCCATACTGTCCCATTAAAAATAAAACACTATATAAGTTGCATTAACTTCAACAATTATTATAAATAATTAAATATTATTTATATTTACTACCATAGTTTTAAAGTTATTTAGTTATTATTGTGAAATAAAGCTCACCACTCCAGAAGGTTCATTTCAATTACAACAATAATAACGCACACATTCATAGCCCTGCACTAGGGAAACCTTGTATCTCGGGCACCATGGACACACACATGAACAATCACAAATATACCCAAAGTCACGAGAGAAATATATGTAGGCTATACAAATATTTCTCCCGGCATGGAAATTGAACCCGGGACCTGTGTATGGCAGGCCAGCATGGTAAACGTTCAGCTATGGAGGCAGTTAAACATTTTTGAAAATTATTGTTAGTAACACAATAATTTTCAAAATCCCAATTTGTCATGAAATTTTTATAGACCAAGAATTCAAATTCAAATTCAAAATTGTTTATTAAGTACTACATAGGTCCATGGTGTTAGTACATAATATATAGTGAATATAGTAATATAATTATCATAATAATTTTACATAATAATAATACAATAATAAAATAATAATATTTAAATAATACATACATTCAAAAATCAAAATGAATTACTAGGATTAAAACACTGTTAGGGCACTGTCCGGTCTATTGACTTATATTCTAAGTATGCTGTTGGGACTCTCCAGCATTCTGCGTCTTACTTAAAAACTATGTGCGCATTACTGCATAAAAACAGTCAGTGTAAGCATCGGCAAACATACCAGATGCACTGCAGTACCTGGGCAAACAACATCCTAAACAATTACCTTGTTATTTATTTTCAGCGTTAAAAGTTCTGTGCGCGTGTTTCACAAGTGAACTGTGCAACGAATGGGGCCGTATTGCGCGCGCCATGCGTGACCTCGGCCGTAGAAACGAAGCAGCACATCACCTGTGGGATTTCCTCGAACACGCCGTCACTTACCGCACTCCGCTATACGTCTTATTACTACCTTTTATTGTCCATAAGGTATGTTCCAAACAATATGCTGATCAGTCAACGTCAGAGTTCGGAATAAATAGAGTATATTTATATTATAGTCCGTCTTTTTTGAAGATGGAGTAAAATGACATTTGTAGAGTTGCCAGTTTTCAATAGTTACGTAGTTGTTGACGATAGTTTTATCGATAGATTGTGAAAGAAAATAAAATTTTTGCCAAAAATGACTGAATTGTGAATGTTATGACATTCCAAAGATTACTAATTGCGTTATTGCCATCTTTATTGCCTCGAACTGCAACTGCAACTGCCTCCGTGGCCGAACGGTTACCATGCTGACATGACTGCCACTCAGAGGTCCTGGGTTCGATTCCCAGGCCGGGAGAAGTATGTGTATGGCCTAAATTTATTTCCCTCGCGAGTTTGAGTGTCATTTGTGGTTGTCTATGTGTGTGTCCAAGGCACCCGCGACACAGGGTTTCCCTAGTGCGGGGCTATGAGTGTGTTGCGTTATTATTATTATTATTCTTATTTTGACAGTTGGCCTACTACTATCGAGTTTAATTTTTATTCATATACATTTTTACAAGAATAGCCGGATTTCATTATCTGTATTGAATTAAAATGAAAAACTTCAAAATATCTCCTCTTTGCATTTCTTATAAACATAGTTCTGAATACAGTGTATATATGTATGAACGTACAATAATTGACAATTCAAATGAACTAGTGCTCGTAATTGGATGAATAATGGGTAGAGAATGATTAAAATGAAGTTCGTCTCTTTGTTATATAAGGGTGACCAATATTCAGTCGATAGTCGATGGAATATTTATCGACAACAATGACTAGCTGCTCACAAGCGGGTAACACTGCGCAATGAATTGTCATTTTACTCCGCCTTTAAAGAAGACAGACTATATGTTAACATTTCGCACATGACAACTAACACAGTATTATCTCAAAATTGCTCTAAGTTATATTAATATTACCTATTTAATTTCAAAGCGACAGTGTTGTGCTGTCATTTTGAAATTAAATCGTATACGAATGACATACAAATATAGCGAAATTTTGGAGATAAATTATTAATATAACGCAATTTTGAGATAAAATATAATATAACACAATTTTTGAGATAATACCATGTTAGTTGTCAAGTGCGATTTATATTTGTAACAGCTATCGCAACCACCAATCGGCGATCACGAGAGACACATGCAGTTCGTAATCCGCGAGCGAGTCCGTGGCCTCAAACTACCCGCTTCACGCGCAAGAGGAATGCTGCTTTCCGATCTCGCTAAAGAACTACGCGTATTGAGGGATAATCATGACAGCTACAAATTTGGTAATATTTTGTTTAATATAAATATTAATAATAATGTGGTTATTGAATTTTGAACCTTTTTCTGTTACAAAGTTTATTTTCGATTAAAGAGTCCTTATACTGCAAATTTACAATACTGTTATGGACAGGCGTGTTGCTTACTATCAGGCGCACGTACGTTTGCGGCGGCGCGTTGTTCGCTTTTGAAAAAAAATTGTAAATTTTATTCATTTTGTATGAAAACATTTGATTCAATTTGACTAATTTCTGCTGTCCCGACTTTTTTCGTACCATACAATGAAATGACCTTTACATAAAACTGAGTTGATCAGCACAGAAAAAGTTATCACTTTTATTCATTTTTATGGACAATTCACGCTTGATCAAAAAATTTACTATGTCAAAATTGTCTTCACAAAAAAACTTGATGCTTCCTAAGACAGTTTCCTTGTATTTTTTATGGTTTCGGATTTCCCCATATTGTCCCATTGGAAAAAAACACTGTACATGTATAGCCTTTAGAAACGGAAGTTCCCGAAGCACGAGAAGCCTTGATTGTGCTGGCTCTCTCTACTCTTCAAACTGGTACACAGCAATGCTGTTTTGAAGTCGTAATATTGGTACGAGTATTGTAAACCAGATTTACCTGCCCAAGTGAGTCCTACACGGAACCGTTTCACCAGGATTTATGAAGGGCAAATTAAAAAAAAATCGTTTGCAGAACAAATAGCGGAAAGCCTAGGCGGCGCTAGCGGTGGCGGCAAGCGAGCATCAGAGGTATTCAGCGGGGGCCGAGTCGATAACAAGCATCGCCCGTCTCTCATCTCTACATTATTCTACCCACGCAGTGGCGTACCTAGGACGCCGGACCATCCCTCATCTACCCCTCTAACAGCGCAACGAGGTGAGTTGCGATTGCATAAAAACTGTAACCTAATATTAATAGTATAATGCTTTGACCTTTCTGACGGGTACGTGTATATTGCTTTTTTACACAATTCGTCTTATTTGCCTAAAGGTGTTAATCTGTTGGATATTTTTCATAATGTAGAGTCAGTATCGAGCAGCTCGACCACTAGCCAGCATATCCAGCAACAATTTGAGGCAGGTAACAGCAGCAGCCGCCCCAGCGACAGCGGGAGCAACCAAAACGCACCAGCAGGTATTTATTATAATGAAATGTTCATCAGAAGAATAAAGCTCGTTATTGTAAAAATCTTTGAACCCTTTTGAAACAACAATATAACTTATCACCATTTTTTCTCATGGCAATATTTATTTTTATTTTATTAAATATCATGTTGTTACTACGTCATATTATATTAATTTTTTTGCGAAAATACTCCTCCATTAATTTGTTATTATTATTGATACAAAGATTGATACCACCAACCATCGAGTATATAACCAGAAATAGAGACGACATAAGGGCCATATGTTCCTGGTAACACATTAGCGATACAGCTCTTATAAATATCCATCCCCTTTTGCACTGAAATATAGACAGGCCGACAACTGACCTGTGTGTACGTCTCCGTATATTCCAAAAAATATTCTGTATTTATTGTAATAAAGATAATATCTCTAACAATGCCGTGCTGTTCTATTCGGTGGTGTCGGAAAAACAGCAAAACATCTAATTACAAAACAAACGGAATCACATTTCATCGGTAATTAAATATTAAATGCGTAATTTTGCCATTTTCGTCTATTATAGCAAAGATCAAGGTAACTGGTCGATTTGAAGTGAAACTGTTGACGACACTGACGACACCCGTCAATTGTTTCGAACTCGAGCTAGCCAATCGGAGCGCAGTTATCACAGTTATAGTTTTCAAACAAATTAAATGACATTTCGTCACTATTTCTGGTTATATACTCGATGCCAAGAACACAGAAAAATTCCTTCAACCTAACTGAACTCGAACCAGCGTCTGTTGCAACACTGGGGCTACCGCTCTTGCCAACGAAGCTGGAGCTACAGACCGAGTCAGCAGATCTTACGAATTTCTCTATGTGCTTGTTGCAGATCTTTGTTTTCTCTTTGACTTTTTTGCTTTCAGTGCCACATGTGAGAAACTTATGAAAGTTTCTTCACAACTTTTTCTTATTTTTTTAATTTAATGTCTAACAAGTACAATCCAATGGAAATGGCAAAGATGAGAAACCAACTGCCGGCACTCCGTCATATGTGAATAACCATAAACTGCGCTTCGTGTCTTCTGTAGAATTTAAATATACCACAGGTAATTGATACTTTTACTGTCACATATTTTTAATAATAATTATAACAGAAATAAGAAATTAGGATTATCGTAACCATTGAAACTGGATATAAAGTATAACCTTTCAGTAGACAATACCCGAGAGCGGCGCGAGTTCCTTATAAATTTAACAATACACTTGCTGCCAATAAGCAAATTTGTAGCATATAACCGTGACATGGTTGTTCTTGGAGACTTTGCAAAGATTCCAATGATGAATAGCTTTTTGTACCGGTCCTTTATTATAAATTATAATATTTTTAACACGCTTGCTCATAAGTAGTAAAAATAACGTCTAGCAAAACTAGGCGGTACTTTTGCATAGGTAATGGGTTATTCATACGTGAAGGGAAAGCAAAAACATTTGATGCTAAAAATTTGAGTTCTGTATAAGATTTATTTGTGAGTGTACTACTAATTTTGTTAACCACACGAGCGGAACAACAATTACAAATTGTGTCTCTGTAAATACCTACTTGCCGATGACATCGTGACACAATGTACTATTTTCTCTCCTCTTACTTTCGATTAGTTTATCATATTAATATATCACAACACTACTGGTACTTAGAGTCAGCGCACTAATTTTCTAAAGAGTTTTTCCCAGGAGAAACTTCAATGTCGCCTTTATCCCCCTCTTCGCCTGGTGCGGGGTCAACGGGCGGACCGACAGACGCCGAAGGAGGTGATGAAGATCGACCGAGGCTGCAGAGGGCGCACGGGCCTTCTAAAAAGACCTTCAAGTTTAGACGCAGTCGCCATGCAAGCAAACCTGAGGTTTGTGTTTTAAAATTGACTTATTGGAGCAATTAACGTACAAGTATGTATACAAACTAATACATTATGAATTTTAATGAATTCGTCTTAGAGCCACCCCTTTCCTATGATTTCTAGAGTAATTCAATAAACTTTTTAATGCCTACTTGGCTTGGCACACAGACATAAGGGAAAAGCTGTAAACAGTTAACCTGCTATTTTTTATTAGTTTCTGTTAACTGTTTGACAATAATGTATATTAATAATAGAAATTTTTCGTACACATACAATACATAATATGATACATATATACAAACAATCGAAAACGTTTCATCTAATGTAAAAATAATATTTTATGTTGCAGTAGATTATATGTTAGGTTTTATAAAATTGCAGCCAGCCCATTTACGTTTGGAATCGGACGAGTGTTCATCTCCGGGAGCAGAGGGTACCCCACTACGCCGAGCTTGGCCGCAATCGCCACTGACACCATTACTGCAGCCAACCTGCGTCAACACAGACACGTCTTACGACAGCGAGATCTCGCAAACATCGTCCACCTCCGGATATAGGCTAGCATTACTACAACCCCAGTAAATACACAGCGATATATCGGTGTTGCATGACACTCGAAGACATTAACCGAAACGAAGAAAGAAGACATGGCCATTCTGCGATGACAACGGTTCCAGAGTTCGTCAGCATGCTTGCATGAACCGTTTGTTTCGCGGATACCTCCATTACAACCTACTTCTCATTTCATCGCTGTGTCTATTGTTTTTTGGTTAAGTTGTCTAATATCTACTTGTCTCTGACAATATTGTTTTTAACGAAGTTATTTCCCTATTATGTTTACTATTCTCGAAGATTTGAAACAAATCTAAAATCACTAGCCTAGATCCATGAATTCATCACCAGACATCTTATCCGTGATCATTTTCGTTCATCAACCTAATGTTCCTTTTCGAAGACTTGCAACATCGTCGCACAATCTTGAAAGCGAACAGTGTGCCCAGCTAGCCCTTAGTTCGCTAGTGAATTCAGAATTTTCAAGTATAAAATGTCAATTGTATTTATGAATTCACAGGGAAAGCTACAGTCTACAAGCATCGATGACAGAATCTCCTGGCGGTTCAGCGCGAGTTGCCTTGGCGTCTCCCGAAGCACCTTCCCAGCGAACAGCAAGCGCTACCCCGCAAGCCAGCCCCGACGGTAAACCCCCCTTCGTATGTATACAATTTACACGCAACGGTACGCTGTCGTCATCCCGACCCCGCCTTCTCTCTTCCTATCTACTAGTGCTGTGAGTATTACTGTAAATTGTGCATACAACTGGAATACTACCTACCCCTACTGCATGATTTGGAAAATCATTCACGCCATATACCCACCCACAGATATAATATATCTATGTCTGTGTACCCACCTATCTGAGTCACAAAATCTCAAAGAACTTAACATAGTATATTTTTATTATGAGTTCTGCAAGTGAACTGGACGAAAGAATAGATGAGTTGTTCTCTATCAGATTTCAGTTGAGTTGTTACTTTGTGACGAGTTCAATTATTTTATTGAGTTCAGTGTTAAATAATTCCTGTTGTATGTTAGTCTGTGTTATCTTATCCACCTTTAGTCAATGTTCCTTCAATTTGATTAGTATTAGTATTGTGTTAGTGTGTAGAAAATTAAAAATCATTACATAACACAGTCATTTATTTCTTGTTAATGTATCTTCTGTGTCCCTTCCAATCCTGCTATGTTGTGAGGTGCAGAGTTTTGGTCTTTTGCTAAATTATGAAACGTTATTTCAACTTAATATAGATTTTTTACTTGAAGTTATTTTACAGCATCATTAAGTTGCGACTCGGCTACGTCATCGGCGGAACGGACAGCTTTACTCGGTGCAGCTAGCCAACGGTCTTTACTTTTAAGCAGCGAATTGAGGGATGAAGATACACTACTTTAAACAATATATGGATACTAATACACATGTGGATACTATATTTTGTTAAGAGGAAAATTACAGCAACGTATCATGGTTACAATATACTACTATGTTATAATTGAGTAAATATGCTAAAAACTTCTTCACATATTATATTGTAATTCAATGTATGGAAAAATGTTCCACTTAATACACCCATAAAATATTGAAACTACACACATTTATTAACTGACATGCATTTGTTAAATTGTATAATGTTTAATGACAACAGTAAGTATGAATTATAAGCTACCTTTATATGAAGTAAAATGTTATGACGCTAAAATATTTGTCAATGTTAGTAAAATTACTTGGATTAGAATTGACTAGTCAATAATGTGATTTTGGTGCATTTAAAATATTGTTTTTTACTGTTTTAGATTTTAAATAGAAATTTGTGTTTATGCATCTGTTTCATTTCCACAAAAATATCTACTTAAACTTAAATCCATAGATATTATTAAAAGTTTAAAAAAATATACATAATTAAATTTATTTCAATTTATTAGTGTCTAATTCAGGCTTCTTTGCACATTAAAAATGGTTGAATAGCAACATAAACCTCTGGATCCAAAGGTATCTCATTAATATACTCAGAGAAAGTTATAACAATCTTATAGATACTCCTTTTTACAGCTGAAGTAAGGGCAGATTTCATCTTAATAGCTAGTTCGTCATGTAAGATGTGTTTTCTAGGCACCAGGCCTGGTTTTGACAACTTATCTAAATTATGCTTAAGATTTATTAATGTTGAGATGACAATAGGCAAATCAGTCTGCACAATCCCATAATTGTCTTCCTTCAGAGAAGCTGCAGCTATGAAAGCCAAGCCCTCGCAAGTCCACATTATAGGTTGTGACTGCAGTAACAAGAACTTTAACTTTGTGTCTGTCAGTTCTCCAAAGAAAAAATTTAATCCTGGCTTTTGGCACAGTTTATGAATAAAAGTTTTGACTTCCTCTTTCATTACGGTTGTAAAAGTGTTGGCAACTTTATTCTTATTATAATCCTTCATTTGGTACAGTTCCGGGGATTGTGCCATGTTTCTCAACTTCCCAGGATACATTAGATTTCTTTCAGGTGAAATATCAAGAGGTTTGTTATTTGATTCAGATGCTCTTCCATCACCATTTATATTTTCCAGTTCTTTGCTAAAGTCATTGATATTCTTTATGCTCACTTTCAAAATATTATGCCAGTTCCTTGGATGACCTCCAGGTTGAGAAAGCTTGAATATACGGGCTCTCCTAACAGGATCTGTCATTGCCATCAATCTAAAGTCTTGAGCAGCCAGGTACCCATTAAACTGAGATCTTTGTTCTAAGGCTTTATGTAACATCAAGTGATTGTCTGACTTAATAGGGAATTTCATAGGTGCCATCAGTATCATGTTGAAAACAGATTTCATTGTGTAAACTGATATCAGAAACAGACTAGTGTAGAGCCAGAGTCCAATCCAAATGCCAGATGTAATCAGATTGAAAAAGCTATCCAACGGTGGATCTTCCAGATACAAGCTGTAGACATCAGAAACAACATTGCGAGGTCTACTTCCCCACAAATAATAAAAAAAGCTGTAATATGCAACAGGAAGTGTTGCATTCTTGAAACCAGTTGCAACAATATTGCTAACTGACATTTTTAATTGCTGAATTTTCTCTTGATACACATGTGGGAATATCAGTATGTTTGTGCTAAAAACATGCACATTTAAGTAGTAGTAAAGTCCCATCCACATTCCAGCAAATTGCAGGAACAGACTTGGTTCTATGAGACATTGTCCATCATAGAGTTTACATGGCTTTTTCAAGGTGTTAAAGTTGCTCTGTGCCAAGGACGAATACAAGCCCATAGTAAAGTAGCCACAAAGAGCATACAGCAAGCTAAACACTGTATTTTGCAATGTAAACATATTCAACATCATCGAGAACCTTGTGAAGTACTTGGGAAGTGGTACCAAGTAGTAGCTTCCGTAAATGTAGGCCTGGAAGAACGACACTAATGCTAGAAGTATGATGTTCAGGCCCATCTTCCAACCAAAAATATCTCTGAATGTAGATGTAATCCATGACAATGGATGCAGCGGATCAATTTGTATAACGAAGACGAGCGCTATCGCGAGAAAACTCTGCAACAGGATGTTCCAAAACACTGCCAATATAAGTCTTTGAGAAAATATTTCACGATTTCCATCTACACCGGTCGTCATTGTCGGCAGGTTATGCGTTTTAATTTTCACATCTCACGGCGCATGTTGTTTAAAATTTATAATAGATTTGGCACTATAAATAACAGGTGAAGCTCCAGAATATTCACATTCAACACAAACTGCTGCACATTTTCAAATAAAGGCAGTACTCGAGTTTTCAACGGTCGTTCAATAAAATGAAAACGGCGCCAGATACAGACTGTCACTGCCTGTCACAAATGGTCACAAACCAGTCACAAACTAACTGCCAGTCAAGTCACTGCCAGAAAAAATAGTTTTTTTTTTTAATTTATTAAGGCTTTGGCAAAGCCAACAGCCTAAACATGAAGTTTAATGTTTATGTAATCATGGCCGCCACAAAGAGGATAGGCAATTTAAGGCGGCGGCGTGCTTGGATTGACTCGGGATTCCTTAAAACGGGCCGATACGGGTATTTCAGTTCGAGATTCGTATAATTTCGCGTTTTAATCTTCGATAAAGGCACAATAGCACTATCCTATTCCACTTTAAACTAGTTTCACAAAATAATTGAAAGTCAAAATAAAAACGACACTTTTCCCTCCAAAAGGTCCAGAGCGAATCCAGAAAAAATAGACCTAGAGTCAGTATTGCCAGGTCAAATCTGAAAAAATCGGAAGATATTGCACCGAAAAAACAGTAGATTGAGATATTGACGATACATTGTCGCGTAATGGTTTTGATGTTATCTTGCGATGTTGGTATCTGGCAATAAAAAAAATATTTTAACCGACTACTTAAATATTTAGCCACGAACTTTCGAGGTCGGTTTTTCAGTACTTTGTACTGACATTATTTATTGCTTTATTCAGTGGATAATCTAAGTTGCGTTTGACAGCTCTCATACAATTGCTAAGAAAAAAACGGCTAAAAACTCGAAAGAGAAAGGCGCACTTTTTTTAAATAGAATTTTTGGATAATAATACCACAGATGTTACATACTTCCCCGCATTTTCTAGACCTGTGATTGACAAATATGCCGAAAACAAAAAAAAATGTAACGACAATGTTCTACTATTTGACCACATTCTAAAGATTTGCAAAAACTCCGACAAATGTGCAATATGTTCAGAGAGTCACAAAATCTAAAAAGCCGACAAGAATAGCCGTGAAGAGCGAAAAAGCTGAAAATTCCTAAAACACAGTATATTTTCGCTAAATACCAGTAGAACAGTAGATGTGGTCCAAAAACAGTAAATCTATTGGGAAAACCACAGACATATATCTGGATAGACGCCGCAAGTACAGCAATTTGTATGAAAACAATGCGTGCCACATTTCTTGTACCCACTATGACGTCACTATCTAGTGATGGAAACCTCCTTCCGCTCGCTCTAAATCGATTGATTGAACGGAATACGCGTAAACACGCGTATTCCTTTCAATTAATCGATTCTAAATAGAATAATTTTTGTTCAAGTATTTGTTGATTACAAATAGTCGTAATATTAATATAGTAGAAAAATACTAGAATATAAGTTAAGTAATAGTTAAGTCCTTTATTTTACTTGTTTAAGATTACATAAGACTTTAATTTTTAATCGACTTCAAATATTAAAATTATTATCCTTCCAATAAAATGAGCTTATTATATAACATCTTTATATATCTTAATAGAGGATCTTATTGATTCACTTAAATAATAAAAACGCACGTCAATACGTATATTATGAACTTGCGACTGCCTTAATTAATTTGTTAGTAAATGTTAAATTTGGTCAAAGAAATGAACAAGCGGCCGTACTACGAAACTGAATGCATTATACAAAAGTGCGTTCGTTCGATATTCATGGCGTATTAACAAAGGAACACTAATATATCGCACCAAGTAAAAGCCGTAATGTATTATAAATTATGAGGCATACACTCGGTTGCATATTAGTTTTCTCGAAATTCATACAAAACCAAAATAATTGTTTTTAAAATAAATTAAGCATCTTCTGTTACAAAATCACTTGCCCGTGGAAGGAAACGTCACTGCTTACCCGTTTACCCACAGTTATGGTGCTTTTGCAGTATATAATGGCACTACTTTTTTCTTTTTCTTTTTTTATACATGACTGGCAAATGACTCCACTCCACCTGATGTTAAGTGGAAAGTGGTATCCAAACGCGAAGGAACCTAGTGCGGCGATGAAACCCTCACTGCGTTAGCCACCTCCACCCTGCCTGCCAACAATATGCCTCTTCACGCCTCGTTTGAAAGACCCCATATCATAAGAGGGAGGGAAGACATGTGCCGGAAGGGAGTTCCATTTGTCAACCGTGCGGCAGAGAAAGGAGCCACCGAACCTTTTAATACGCGATGGAATGCGGCAGGTAGTGAAACGGTGACTACGAAGGCCAGCACGCGTGCTTCTGAGCAGGAACGGGGAAGGGGGGATGAGGTTGAACAGCTCTTCAGAGCACTCACCGTGGTACATGCGGTAAAAGGCGCTAAGCGATGCAACATCTCTACGCAGTTGCAGAGGTTCAAGGCGTGATGAGACCTCTTCATCGCCTATAACTCGAGTAGCACGACGCTGTAATTTATCCAAGGCATCGAGTAGGTACTTGGCGGAGCCGTCCCACAAGTGCGAACAATACTCAACGCAAGACCGGACCTGTGTTTTGTACAGCAGGCATAACTGGTCCGGCGTGAAAAAACGTCGCACCTTGTTCAGGACTCCGAGTTTCCGTGAGGCTGTTTTGATCACAGATTCGATGTAGCTCCTTGGATTCAAATCACAGCAGATTTCCAAATTTTCCTGGTGGCATTATTGTAGGCTGCTTTAAGTGAGTTCGTATTGGGATCGTCTGAAGCTCGACCCTTGATCCAAGCGCGGTATGCAGTCTGTTTGTTCTCAACAGCCACAGCACACTCGCGGTTGAACCAGGGGTTGCGCCTCCCTTTACTGACGAGATCCGAATGCGGGATGTAGTATTCCATCCCGATTAAGATCTCATCAGCAATGGCAGTCGCGCTAGCTGTTGAATCCACCTCACTAAAACAGCGCTGCCGCCAAGGAACGGATGCAAAATAGTCCTGCATACCGTCCCAATCTGCCGACGCATAATGCCAAATGCGGCGTTTAGCCACAGTAGGTGGTGGTGGCAGTAACGTTGCCACTTTAGTGGATATCAAGCAGTGATCCGAAGTGCCCAGAGGGGCTTGGACCTCCACCCGATATCCAGCCGGGCGAGACGTCAGCAGAAGGTCCAACAAAGAGGGCGCGTCACCAACCCTATCTGGAATCCGGGTGGGCTGGTTTGCCAGTTGGGTTAAATCGTGTGTGACAGCGAATGTGTGGGCAGTTCTTCCAGCATGGTCAGTTTTAGAGGAACTTAACCACGACTCGTGGCGAGCATGAAGTCCCCTAAAAACACCAATTCCGCTGTAGGAAACTGCGCCTGCGCGTCATCTGCCGCCCGAGTAAGGTGGTCTATGAGACGAGTTGTCTCCATGTCACCGTGGTGGGATCTGTAGAGGCAAATGTAGACATGGCAATGACTGCCCAGGTCAACATGTGCCCCAAGGATGGAGAAGGAGGGGTCTTCCAAATGACGCAGACGGCGACAGCAAACATCTGCCCGGACAAACAAGCAGACCCCAGCTTTCGCTTTGAAGGACTCTTCAAGCATATAGCCAGGGTAATTCAAGTAACTGCTGTCAGCCGGGCAGAGTATTTGCGTCTCCGTAAGGAACAGCATTTCTGGTCGAGCCGTCTCAAGATGTTGGTGGACGGCGTGGATGTTACTGTGGAGTCCTCGAATGTTCGTGAACTCCACCTTAAATAAGCGCTTTAGTGGTGGGGGTGTGCACCGCTGTACGACCGAAATTTGTACTTTGCGCTAACATGTTGGAGGGAAAAAGAGGCGTGAAGCGAGAAAACAGTGCCGCGACACAAGCGGTCAAATCGCGGTGCCTGCTTCCCCAGAGACTTGCCTACAGACAAGTTGCGCTGAACCGCCGGACGGAAGGGCCCCCGAACCCCCCCGGGAATGGCCGCCGGGACCTCACCTCCCGGTCACCAACCGGCACGACGAACCACACCGAGATTATGCGCGGTATGGTGAGGCAGCCTCACGAGCTGATTTTTAATAATAATTTTTTTTATTTTTTTTAATAATAATATTTATTTTCTCTCAGCAAAAACATAGAAACTTAAGGTATAAAGTTACAGGGTTCACTTAAATCTAAATTGTGAGAGACAGGATCCTAAACTAGGGTACCCCCTGTGTCTTAGGTCTCCTGGCCTCCCCTCTTGATTGAACAGCTTTGGTAACAATATTAAAAATGTGATTCACTGATTAAGCACGCTTGGGCCCCTGTACTGTACCGCGGGCGGCCAGCGGAACAACCGTTTCTACGGGTCTCCCTGGCCGGCGGCGGCGGGTCAATGCAGTTGTCCTGGCACTAGTTCGGCGGAAGCCTCCTCAGACCACAAATGTCGCGGCAGCGTTGCCTCGGGCTCTGGTTGTACGCTGACTGATCCCGGAACGCATCCGACTAGCGAACACTTGGCGGGTTTTCCATCATGCGCACGGTGGTCACTAACCAGCCGGGTTTTCAAGCCCTACCACCAGCGGAGCAGCTGGTAGCTCAATATCCCTTAGTCGCCTCTTACGACACCCACGGGAAGAGAGGGGTGGTGAATTGTATTCTAATCCGTCACCGCACGGATAAACTACTATGCATTTTTCGCGTTTTCGACTGGTGTTTACCTACGATAACGGTCGGGCGCGTTCTGAAGTGTAGCAGCAGCAAGTAAATGAATTTCACTTACTTTGGGCACGCGAAGCACGTACTCTGGCGGCGTCTATCTAGATATATGTCTGTGGGAAAAACAGTAGACCTGGCAACACTGTGTAGAGTAAGAGTCAAACGAATTTAATCGATTGCAATGTTTTTCGATATCGATTAATTGGAATCGATTGGAATAAACTGAATCGATTTAGTTTATAAAATTTTCTTTTTTGCGAAATGGCAATTTAGGATAAAGCTGTCTTGATTGATTATTTATTTTTTATCTGTAGGCAATTTGTTTATTAGGCTTGCGGACGTGTATTTCTTAAATTTATTAAATTGTTCGCGCTATCAAATTATACAGCAGGTTGCTGTATAGTGATTACTTATTAGATGTTCTGGGAAATTAAGAATGTAGAGTTTTCAAAGAATTCCATGCCTATTGAAGGTTTTAAGGTCGTGTAGTGTAATGTCCTACATTCCAATACCTTTTTTCAAATGGAAGAAAGTTGTGTTTATAAAGCGTTTGTACTCAGAGAAGTAACTTAAGAGTTGTATTTGTGATGGAACGTTTTCTCCGTATTCTTTGGAATTGGGTTGTTTGAGGGATAGCTGCTATGTTTGTTTTAGTGGAGATCGTTGTAAGTCTGGTGGTGCTCGTCGTTCTGATCACAGCTATTTCAGCCTGTGTTTGTGGCTGTAAGAACTCCAACCAGAAGTAAGTTAAACGTTTTTCATTATTTCTTAGAGTTCTGTTAGTGAATGATTTTATATGAAAGTACCAAGGCAGTTAATATGTATGACATCATCATACAGCCTCATTAAATAAGTTATGAATACTAGAGAGTATGAAAACTGTTGTGAACTGTCACATTGCTTTTATGAATGATCGCCTTAGAGGATGGAAAAAATAAAAGGAAAAGATCACAGTGATCGTAGTGTTTTTTCTGTCATGTTTCCTTTTGGGTGAATCAGTATATTCAGTTCATAAAATGTATACAGAATATGGTCAATTGACTAGGTCATTTAAGACAATTATGGTTTAGTAGATAAATGGCCAATTTTCAAAAAGCCTAATCTATGAAGAGAAATGTAAATATTTGACATTAATATAGTAGTATATAAATTACATTATATTTAGGAATACATTTCAATACAAAATAATTTGGTGTGTGAAGTATGCAGGCTTAAATCATAGACCTTGCAGCTTTACCTTTAATGTGTCATACATAAATGTCTTTTTTATTTTACAAAATAAAAAATTGAATTATATTGTACTTTAACAGAAGTGAGTTGATCGGAACGGCAGGTGTGGTCAAAATCCATTATGATGGAGAGGCCCCATCTCCAACCCCCACAACTCCGGCGTCAGTCAAGCGGTTTGTTCTAGACCAGCATGTCTTAGATTTTGATAACCTATGGGCTATTATTACTTAACCTGGGGATTATGTTGTTGCTTAACCCGGGGATAATTTAACAAGTTTTTGTTGGTGATGTAATTTAGTAGAAAATAACAACAAAACTGTACTGTACCATTGTAATTATGCAGATATAGGAATTATGCATTAGCTGGGCATTATATTGTTACCTAACCTGGAGGCTATAATTGTTATTAATATTGCATGTTTATTGAAAGACTGACCATTTAGCAAATGTTGTATACATTTTTAAGTCGCAAAGAAAAGTAATTGTGTATACCAGAGTTGAGCAAACTTTAGGATAACAACACTATTTTGGGCTTCCAGCTATTAAGACCAAGTCTTCGAAGAACCGAGTTTTATTGTTTTAATTATTCTATTGAGATTTGAAGTGTACTACAATCACCTTTTGGTGCTAATATTTCTCCCATCTGTCCCATAGTCATTTCACTGAGCTCTTTGCAAAATAAGCAAAATGAAATGTGGCATTGTTTTTCAGCCTAAAAGTAACATAGTACAATTGGAAGCAGCACTCTGTTAAATTCATTTTATCTTTCTAATCAATGACTTACTTTCTCTACATAAACTAAATATGCTATTGAGAATTATGTAATACTATAGCAATATTTGAGTAATTTTTATTTGCTCATTGTTTCAAACACTTAAAACCTTCCTTATTTTTTGGTTATAAATAGGTGTGGTTCATGTTCATGACAAAACTACAACTTAATAAACGAAATAATGCTATGGAATGCTCTTAATTGTGTTTGTTACTTTTATATGTATCCTGTATCCCAGTATTGTAATTGATACTTTCATAAAATTATTTCAATCCTCATTTTATGAAAGTGTCATATAAAACTGCCCACAATTTATTGCCTCCACAACAGATTATATGTACACAAACAAAACTTTAACATTTTTTTGTCCCAATTTGTACCTAATTGAAGACTTGAAATTCAATTTTGACAAAAAAGTCCTCATGCTCTATGCACTATATCTACCTAGGTGTAAACAATATTTTAGGTTGAAGTGTAAAAATCTTTGTCTATCCAATTTTTATAGCATTTGCTAAATATCAGTTTCATTTAAATATGCAGATCAAAACTAACTTATGTATTGTTTTTAGATTCAGTTATTAATATTTGAATTTAAGAATGTATGTACGGAATAATATTTAATTTTTAACCTAAAATGCTAACTAGAGTTGAATAGTTTAATTATTGCTCATTAGTGTTGTGTAGACATAAATTTAACATATGACTAATATATTTAATAATTTGATCATAGAAGATACTTCTAACTACAGTATAACATAGAACATTTTGTTACTAACTAATTGTTTCTTTTTATTTGGCGCGCTATTTATTCATTTTCCGATTGGGTGCGTGGTACACAGATGCAATTTACTTTGAGCCCTGTCAAAACTTATGCAGTGTTCATGGCTGAGCAAAGTATAAATGGGCCGTGTTCTGCACAAATGATTTACCCACAAAATGACACTTTCGAGATATTGATCATTAAAGATTTTTGGCAACTGTTTGTCACTACTCATTTAAATAATGAAGTTTAGACGACAATTATATATCAAAAGATTTGTAATGAAGTATACATTACAATCAGTTAATTATTTTTTTAAGTTATCGGACTTACGATTACTAATTAAATAAAAATTGTTTATGCCAAATATCAACAAAATTATTACTTTATGTATATGTGTAAGGGTGGTTAACACATTTTTGCAAAATACGGATACGTATCACTCAATCCTTGCAAACACTGAGTAATCACATTTCCATAGTGATCATGTTTTAAACCAAGTATTTAACAGCAGTTTTATTTTTGTCAGTCAACATGTTTTGTTTTTTAATAATCAATCACCCTTCTTCTTTGACCAGTAAAACATAATAATCTGAATAAACAGATACTGAGTTCAGACTCTAGACTTTTATTAAACGATTATGCAGGTGCACAATTGGGGGTGCACGAAAGGACTCTCCGGAAGACGTACCATTCCTTACTTGTACGAGTACGTTTGGTGCACCCTGGTCAACAGTAGGCGAGTCCGATTGGCAAATCCTTTCACCACGATAGCAAGGATTATAGTCTATGTTATCGATACGATAAGAATCGTTTCGTTAAAAATTTTACCAAACATTTTGAATTCAGTAAAACATAATCATTATAATTTGATGAGCATACATACATTCAACTATCCCTGTCTACCGTTAGGTTAGGCAGAGATCATATACCTCCACTTGCTACGCTCCGGACAAAATCGCTTTCACCTCCTTCAATCGCATCAGTTTCTTCATACGTGCCTTATTTTTCTTTATACTTTTAACCTGGACTTTTTTAAATACATCTCTAATTTGATCGAGTCATGTGCATCGAGGTCTACCTCTTCCCACATTTAAATCTGCTAACATCCATTCTTTCTACATGACCACATAATCTTTCACTACACGACGGTCTCTTATTGATCTGTTCGGCATTCTGTTTTTAAGACTAAAGGTGCCTTCGAAATTAGACACTTATAGAAGCTCTGCCGTGGCGCGGAACTCGCTCCACTATTATATTTTATCACAATATCTAGTACAAAAAGGGCGCGCGCATGTCACGACAGTGGCGCTGCAGCTGCGCTAAATATTGTATGAAAATTTCGAAGTGGCGCGGCTGCAGCGCCATAGTGACGCTACTGTAGCACTTGTATAAGCGTATAATTTGAAGGGGCACTAACGGAGCATATACTGTTCTTAGGTTTTCGCGATTATTACACATAGGAAATGATTTAAATCCCGAAAAATAGTTTCATTTCCTAGGAGCATATACTACTCAAAGCTTCATACCAACAGCATTCACCCTACTTTCATGCTTCTTCTGCCACACCCATACTCGCTACCGTACATCGGGGTTGTAGCCTTACTTTCTGTTTAATATTATCTTCACACTAACCAACTCTTATCAATGTGCTACTACATAGCCAGTTACACAAATTCTATCACTTTTTATATCCTCTCGCTACTTACCAATCTTGTCCCCATTTTTCCACTTTTATCCCTTTCAATTACAATCGCCTTCGTCTTACTCACATTCGCCTTCATTCCATTTCTTTCAGATTGAAATACACCATTTAGCTTTAGTTATCGCATTAAATATATCCGAAGGTACGCCATTAGTCACTTTCCTATTTTAGCAGTAAAAATCCCTTATTCAGTTTCAGAATCTATATCATTTTCAAGTCTTGTGAATATAATCGACAAAATTTGAAGTTTTTAATTTTTCATAAAAGCTATAAAATGTGTTAAGCGTACTCAAACTAAATCTTTTCAAACTTCGTTGAAAGATATGTGTTGTAATTCGCCTTCATGACAAACCAGCTTTTGTGAAAACAATTTTTTGATTTAACAATAATAACGATTTTTTAAAATGATGTAAGTGAAAAGAATATTTAACTTTATGTTCCAAGATCATAGCTCATTTTACGATTTTCTGTGGGTTAACTCATTTATGCAGAACAGGGCCCAATATACTGTGTATTCATTACAATATATATTACAAAATAATTTCTTACGCATATTTAACACACAAAATACAAAATACTTTCATGATGTTTATTGAAAATAAAAATACAAAATGCAGTATTTGACTTCATTTATTTAAAATACAAAATACAATCATTGCCACTAACTGGACACTACAGGTATAATATACATACTGGTAATTGATATTCAAATATCAATTACAAAATACATTACTCTTAGATATTTGAAATTTCAATTACAAAATACATTTTGACGTTGTAATTGAAATATTAATACAAAATACGTATTTATATTGTCAAAAACGTATTTTCAATTTTATGTAAGTTAAATACTGCCTAGTTTTGACCCAGTTGCCATATATAGTGTGCATATCGTTGCTAATCTAGATGCGATATCTAATACGTCGAAATGATATATAATGTGGACGCGGCCCTATATGCTTAACATAGCTATATCCATCGAATTTAACTCAAATAGGTACGCATCGCGTCCATGTCTTATCAAAGGCTTAGTAAGACTGATTTCAGGTCCCAGTAATTATAAGAAATTAAGTCCCATACTGCTAGGACCTAAATTACTGTTTTGATTGCTCCAAAAATGTTACTATCAACCTACATTAATTAATCCGTTAAAATTGTATTTGATCACAATCTTCCAATTAGCTTCCGTGAAAGTGTAAAACTTATTATATTATGTCAAATATATGTAATTATTTACTTATCTGGATCTACACATTATTATCTTATTTCTTATGTATCATTTGCTAAATCTATATAAATAGCTACATAATTTCCGTCTTTATTGTACAATAGTTGTCTTATATACCTTTTAACTAACTGAAAGGATCTCGTTTTGGTCACATCCTATCTTCTTTGCTTGTAGTTATTTTTATTAAAACGAATGTAGTTTTTGTATTACTAATGAACAAGTGTGCCCAAGGTATCCAAATACAAGATTTATTATTCTTATTATACTGTTTATTATTAAAGAGTGGTAAAAGCGCCACTTTAATATGGAATACTACGTAAAGTATAAAATTTCCTAGGCTTTTACTGAAGACGAAATCTTATCTTATTAATTTTGATGCCAAATGATAATGTAATTGCTTCTATAATTAATCAATTTTTTTTAATTATAATTATATAACTAACTACTACTTTGCGAACAATGTTACCCATCCATTTCAATAAAAAAATCCTTGAGTGACATTCACTGAATTTATTTACCCTAAAAATTAGTTAATTACCAATGACATTAGTTGGTACTTACTTTTTCGTAACTCGATAATTATGACGCATGCACATTTTAATTTTATTTTCTAACGCCGTCCCTACATTTCTATATTTGTTTAATTATCTCCGGGATGGCGCGTATCCTCTATACAGCGTGTCATTGACATCTATTGGGTTTGCTTGTTTGGACGCGAAATGATACGCTATTACTTGAAGGAGTGATCTGTACAGCGAGGAAGATGCTTGCGTTTTTAAGAAACGACACAAATGTACACGACTTGCTCAAATTTAATTGCTGTTGTTTGCTTTCGGCCGTGTAGAGTATAGCCAAGCCTTCACCACAGATTACTTAATAATTACTACGTAACAGATACATCACTCTCACACAAAATCAAACCTATACCTACGCTATAATAGCCTACTAAATCTTACTAATGACACCAGGCGCTCACTACGAGGAAAAAAGAACGTAAGCACGTGCTCAAAAAGGTGAAAACAAGGTTGACTGCCGTGTGCAGTCTTACGGAACTATATGCGCAAGGGTTGTACAAGAATTGTAATGAAAATTAAAGACTTGTTTGAGACTGAAACTACAATTATTTATTTAGTAAGCGATGGGAGGACGCTTGCCTCTTAATTGGAGGTCGACGGTTCGATTCCCGGTTGGACTAATTTTCGAAATGAACTTAAATTTGCTCTGGTCTGGGTGTTTTGGGTTGTGCCCGAGTGAAATATTGTTGATAAATATTATGATGATTGTATTAGTATTCTTGATGGAAATTAGATTCATCTAGTTTAAAAAAATACATTCATAAAAATTTTTAGCTCTTTACCTAGGTTAGGTACCGACGTACCGATAACAAAAGTAGGTAGGTACAATAAAAACAATGTAGAACGGTAGAACACAAAGAAATGATGATTCGAAAGCCGTTTACTTGAATCTCACTTACATACACTAAAAGTCAAATATTAATTATTATAATTAGTCAAATATATAATTGAAAATAATTGTATTGTATTTTCTCACGTTAGGCGTATTTTTAAATATTTAAAAATCTCATAATTCGTTGATCTCACAACCAACTAACTTAAATTTTTAGGAATGGATGGATTTGATATTATAGTAAAAACACAAGATCAAACACTTAACTTTCCTCGTCTTTCGGTAATGAAAAAAATGAAAATGTTGTCTCAACTGAACAATAGTTACGCGATTTTCTTCTTTTTACTTTTTCTTTTTCTTTCTTATTTCGTACGACCTTTCAGATGAGCGTGCAACACCCTGTGAGCATTTGCGCCGACGTCGGCGCACTCAGCGGTAGGCACTTATAACGTAACCTTTGACGGAGCCGTGGCTTTACCGTCACAACCGTGTCGCATCGAAAATAAAAATAGCACTGTAAATATATCATAGCTAAAATAACGCAAACAGGCCCTACATCTATATCAATAACGAGATACTACACCTGTTTGTACAAACACTATGTTACATAGTGTTTGTTAGACTTTACTGTTGTCGCTATTGTTAGGCACTTATATACATAAAACCATAAAGACTTGTTTCTTGGGTAACAAAACAATGAGTCAATTCGATTCACTGGAAGCTGCAATGTGACTGAAAAGTTTACCTTTGTTATATATTATGAAACAGATATTATCAAATTTACATTTACAAAAATAATTATGTATTTCAAAGAATGTTAGTCGCTTCTTGATTCCTTTTCGCTTAATACACATAAAAAAATAACATGCAAAGTTACCTGCCAATATATACTTATTTAAAAAAATTATGTATAGAAAAAGATAAGAGACATTAGAATATTATATATTTAATATAAAAAGAAGATCTATTTCTATCCAATTACCTAAAGTGTCAGTCTTATTATTTTATTTTATTACAGAGCATCAACTCAGAATAGTCAGAGAAGTTTGCCGGAGATTCCACATCCAGTCGGTAGACATGACAGCGGGGACACAGCTTCGGAAATATATGCTACTGTTAACTTAGATCAAGGTATTATTATTAGTGTGACTTATACAACGCCTATGTAATCCTAGTTCACTGTAACCAGCAATAGGTGAAGGCAGCTGTGCTATACATTTTTGTCATTAATATTTGAAGTAGTAGGTACCAGAGTTGTTGCGACTATCGGCATCAGCATCCGCAGATAATCAGCGTAAATTAAAATATGATCAGCAGACATCAGCCTCCGCATTGATCGATGATGATTCATTGTGGATATTACCTAACGGGGCGGGCATTACGGCACACAGGAAGAATCTAGAAACCATTCAGACACAGAATACAAACCCAAAAAGCAGTTAAGCCATCGTTCTTACCTTTGATGAAATTCCAGTACGATTAAGTAAGACAGATTGATTGATTTTTTGTTAGTAAATGTGTCAAAATCATGTAAAAATGAAATAATTAAAAAGTTTCTTTATTTGGATTCATGTGGATTTTTAACGATTTTTTTAAAATAGTAAAAATGAGCACCAGGCTCTGCAGATGTTAAGGTAAAAAATCAGCATCCGCATCCGATGATGTCTAAAAAATCTGCATCAGCAACAATCCTGGTAGGTGCAAAACTTCGTAACCACGAAGAGATTAACTAACTTGACTATGTATTTAATCTGGTTGTGTTTACATTCTGTGATCATAGATTATAGGTATCGTCCCTCACTAACGTATTTGATTTTAATTGTGTGATAATAATGAAACCGAAAAGCTAATCAAATTGCAGCTTACAAAGCTTAATTGTAATACCAATTTAAATGAGTTACTGATAAATGAACACAGAATATACCGACAAAATTAATCAAATTTAGCAAACATTTAATCATATTTAAAATACAAGAACTTAATCCAATCACTATTCTATAACTGTGCTTTCGAATAATGTACTAAACCTCCGAACCTTAGAAATATACTATGATTTCGCTCATAATAACATTTCAGTATAATGGAATAGTTTAACAAGCCCCAAAGTTTATGAAATGTATACCTAAGATGAACTTTTAAATTTATAATAGGAATTAAAATATCTAACAATAGTTTTCGGTAAAATATAAATGAAGTTGGTTGTATTAGTCAGCAAGATTTTTTGGATATTTCAGTATATCATTGAGTTGTTTCCGTATTTTTATTAACACAAAAATATTCGGTACCGTAGTAAATAACGCTGTAATATAAATTGAATACACTAAGTTTTAATTTACTTTTTGAAGCTTTTATTACTACCTACTTTTAATCGTGAAAAGACCTAGTGGAGAATACATACGTTCATAAGCCGGGAACTCACTGGCGAGCTGTAACTGTTGCATGTTATGTTACCAAATACCATAGTGTGTACGTGGTTCGCGATCTTGCCGCGAGCATTGAACCGACGATAACCAGGAACTCATTCTAGCGAATGAAGACTGTTTCACGCGTACACGTTATGAGTACACACATGGAGACTTTTAGCGGCAATACAAACGCGCGTTCGTGAAACGCGCGATTGCATCACTATACTTGCGATTTATAGGCGAATGCATCAATGCAAGCGCGCCACTGCTTCGATGCAAACGCGCGACTGCATCGATGCAATCGCTTATAAATCCCTAGTGTAGCAATGGAATCGCGCGTTTGTATCGATGCACTCGCGCGTTTACATCGCTGCTTAAAGTCGCGCGTGTGTGTAAAGGTAGACGATAACGATTGCATCGTTACGGCATCGCGTTTGCGTCACTGTTAAAAGTCGTCGTGTGTAATCGCTCTTAAACCTTGTTACTGTATCTGTCACGTTACAGTTACATCGATGTACATACTCGGTAATGTGTACCCGGCTTTACACTAATCGCCGTACGTCTTGCTTGTTTAAAATATGAATATACTTCATTGATTCACACCAGCTACTGGTCAGTGTGAATTGTTAAACATACAGTGCTAATGGAATGACAAAAATTGCAACTCGCATCTGTAATACATAAAATGAAAACTTTTTGTGATAAAGGTTTGCTTTATTGAATAGAATTGAAGCAAATCGCAATATAACACGTGAATCGAGTTATGACTAAGGTGAACCATCCTTGAGTCCAGTGGTAAACAAATAAATAACACATCGTTTGTATTGTTGCATTTATATAATTAATCCATTTGTCCACTTGCATTACCGCTATGACTCAACTCTCAATGTAGGTACGAGTAGGTATTTTGGAATACTCAAACTATAAAATTGATGACAGATATAATAAATATGCGATTGTGTAATTGACTTTTTGTACACTTGCATTATCTTTTATTTTAATGAATATCATGGATTATCGCGTATTATTGTAATCTAGTAACAATCTAACAATTACAATGATCAAAGATGGCAATAACGGATATGAAACTTTCGCGGTGGAAATCTTTGAAAATGATCTAGTAATCGATTATTTATTTTCAGGAAACAAGACAGTGTCTGCACCGTCAACAAGCCGGGATCATGCGTATGAGCATGCATACGCGAAGCTTCAAAATCAAAGCGACGCACTCATGTAAGCTGTTAGATCCATGTAACATAATATATACGGTGTGAAAAAAAAACCAATGGGACATGAAGGAGAAGTACATTAAAAGCTTAAGATAGCTATTTTGCTTAAAAAAACTTTTTTTGTCTTAGTATTAATAACTGTATTCACAGAATCTTTGAAAAGATTGTTTAAACCGGGAATAGCACCAACTAAAAATGCAAAAAAAAAACTCTATTTTATTGTATTGGATCAATGGTCATAAGGATAAAAACTCTCCAATAAACATTGGGTCGTACAATGAAAGACGTCCATGAAAACTTATTAGTACATAACGACTCTACTTAACATTACCTATGTTTATTTTTTAACAAATTAATAAGTAAGACACGTTATATTTTTTAATTAAACCTTCTAACAGAGAAGGATCGAAATAACATATTCCTGTTCATAATAGCAGAATATCCACTGTTTACGTGAGTGATAATTTCAATGTCTGGATAGGTTACGGGACAATTAGACTGCCTGCAATGTCTCCAGACCTTAAGCTTCTAGACTGAATTTAGCAAACAATCTTATGAGACTGTACAAAAGTTACAACTTCAGAACCTCCACCACAAATAACACTACAGAAGGCTAGAGGAAGTGACACTATCATGACTCAATCTGTGTATGAAATATAATGGGTCCAACTGCAACTTAAAAGTTAAATTATTACAATACAAGAAAATTGTAATTTATTAATGTATGCTTTAGGTAATAATTTCTAATAATCTGCTAAAGGTTGCACTTGCATATTTAGTGATTAATACCTTCATGTACTTCACATTAAATTTTTATTTTTAGATACCATTTTCGCAAAACTATGATCGTGTTGGTTGGCACTTTATTGTTTAACAGCATCCAATTATAGACTGGCTTATTTTAAAGATGTTCGCTTTTTTGTGTGCTAGACAATCGTTCAAACTAAGGAATTCCCTATAGTGTATTAAACCAATGGATCAAAATTTCGATACAACTTTATGTATACATAGTAGCAGTATACTTTCGAGAACACATTTACATTTTGAAAATTTGGTTCATTAAATTATTTCTAACCGGAATCGAACCCGGGACCTTCTCATCAAGAGTCCATAGCGCTAACCGTGGGTTCACCTGATATAAAGTGAGATGTGAATAAGAATGAAAATTATTGTGTATATCCCCTTTAGTATAATATCGTCCATATAGTCACTAAGAGTCGTATTCCAGAACTCAAAGCTCAAGTCAGGACTTAAGCAGAATTGAGTATGATTTCAAGCTCTGGAAATACGACCCTAATGGCAAGGACTTGAGTATGATTTTCAGTGCTTTAAATCATACTCAAGTCCTTAAGTAAATGTGATCAATAAAACGTGATTATTAATGGGTCAGATGATAAAACTACATTTTCCCTTTACTTGTTGCAGTACCGTGGAAATTACTCCTGATCAATCATCGGAAAATGTAATTCAAATCGATGAACGAGACGCTACCCAGAACGGACCAGGTTAGATTATTCATTAATATATTTTAATTAATTACTATTAGTACCAATTAGCGACCCGATTTGTATCTGAGTGGTGGATTGTAGATTCAACCTTCTTTGCACAGGAGATCCGTACTTAGCTGTGTGTATCTATCGGACAATGTAGAGTACCTCGATGTATAGATGATATTTATTGTATAATTGTAGTAGGATGTAACAAATTCAGCAACCATCCAACCAATCACACACATACAATACACATCACGTTTGTGTGGTAGGTAGACATTGCACTTCCCTTAATAGCACGCATCAAGATTGCGTTCGTACAAAATATGTTCATACAAATTGTATTCGGTGCTGATGTGTATTGAAATATGGAGTTCAAACCTTAAAGATCTCCGTTTCACCTTATAGATTTAAGAATAAATACAGGTAAAAGAAAAAATGAAGGCTTTTGCTAAAACAGTGAGACATTATTGGACACCCTGAACCGATTGAACATGAATATTTGGCGAATATTCCGTCAATATAATTCCGTAAATGTCATTTAGATTTTTTTAAGTAATATGTTTTGTTTTATATCAACGGAATCCTTCCAATTCCAATGCGACACTACCTTCTGTTTGCGACGTCTCGTGGAATAATTTATTTTGAAGGTGAATGAAAACATCGTGAGAAAAACTGTATGTCATAGGAAGAAGTTTTTGAAAACGTATAGCATTGTTTTAAGAGTCGCGTGCCGTGCAGTGGATTGCGTGTAAAGGTTGATTCAGTAACATGTCCAATAAGGTTTTTGTAATCACAAAATCTCTAGTTATATTATGGTTATGTATTAAATGAATACTGAACTTTGTATGCAGTGTGATCACAATAAAATAATCCGCTTCAAACAATTACTACACTTTGTAAATAATTAATTTAATTAATAATTATTTCTATATAGAATCCGTGGTAATATCTGCGTCAGTGGCTATTAGCGGCCAGCTACCATCTAGCCAGGAGTTGCCGTACATCACACCGCCCTCTCCGCGACCGCATAATGACGCCGCTGTGCATTTCAGTGGGGACTCTACAGATTCTGCAAGTAAGTAATTTGTTATATACTTTTTGAACGAAAGCGTCAGAACAGTGTTGTTTGCAGACAGTCCGCGCAGTCTAATCGGAGACCAACAACGTCTTTTAACAGCACAACCATTGACTTACAAATAAATGGACGACGGGTCTAATACAAAAACCACGAAAAAAATGTCCCAAGTCAACCTATTCGAAATTTAAATTGTAATGTCATCGCAGTATCGCGCTGTCAGTCGAACAAATGAAGACTAAAGCGGAGTTTGGCGCTCTGTATACGATTTTAGCGCCTTGCAAGTGCGGACACTTTTTAGCGCGGACCCGACGTCCATATAATTGTAAGTCAATGAGCACAACGATACTAAGTGCAGTAACCGGATCTGTGTAGTGTAAAGGTCGTAGCCGTGGGTTATCGTAGCGAGAGGCACTTTTCAATGTTGAACGAGGATTATATTCATGAATAAAGATTTACTGCGTGTTTTCAGATCGAAGCTTGTTCTAGAACAACCAAGATATTCTTTTTTTACAATACTATTTTTTTATATAATTCTAAATACAAACCTACATTCATTCAGCCAACATTAATACAAACCATAATGCCTTGTCTTCAGTACTTAACATAGTTTAAATTAAGTTAGGCACCATTTATTTAGTTATCACTTTTCTTTCTTTGTCTTTCCTTTCATTCATCAACATTATCCATCTTTGCAATTAAGTACATGTTATATCCTTTTCAAGTGGTTGTACCACGGAACAATAAATACAGTGGAAGTGCTTCGTCGGTGTGACACGTCTGCCAACAGTGGAATTCGCGTGTTCCACGTACTAGAGTTCAGTCCGTCATTTTCGCTTTGTGCTCTATGGTCGTGTCAATTATCTCGCGTAAACCCTTGAAAATCGTGGGGCATTTTCAACGATTTTCAAGGATTTATTTTGCTACTTAGGAGTGCAAAAATGATAGTGGCATTACACATGTAATATTTATTATCTATGGTGTTGTTTCATATAATCGCTAAGTCTTATTTTGTTTTAATAAATTTTCCATCTTCTGCTTATCGTAATAGTTTTTTTGTTATAAGAAACAAAAGTAAATTTATAGCGCTGCACTATAGTAATTTTTTTAGAGAACATTAATAGGCGTTAATCGTTCGTCTTTCAGCTATTGCCACTAGATGGCAGCACATTGAATGAAATTTCAATTATAAAATCAAAAAAGGGTTATAACTTGCAATGATATGCCAACGATATGGGTAAAGTTTAAATTATTTTAACACTCCAGAATTTGTTACAGCTTTTTAAATTAGAAACTAGGACCAATCATTATTACGATTTCATAGTGTTTAATATTATGTAAGTATGAGTATTGGCGACACCGGTCGTACTTACATCACAGATCGTGTGTGTATGAGTGGAAGCGAGCGTGGTTGCGAGTATGCAGATGAGGAAATATTTAATATGTACTAAGTGCTAAGTAGCGTAGCGTTTTGTATTATAAACTGAATATGATAATACAAGGAGGTGAGTGAGCACGTGTAATGATCGTGGTACACGGGTATATGAGAGAGGTAGAATGTAGTACTCATAGTAGTTATAATTGTAATGTTTGTTCCAGAGGGTTACACGAGCATATCAGTAAGAGAACCGCTGAGCAACATTCGAGCACAGAGTGCGAAAGCTTTACAGCCACATTATGCCACCGTTTCGGATGATTCTGGTAAGATTCTTTTTTCATTTATTTGAGGTACGAAGAAAAAGTATATTTGTATAAGTACTAACAAATAATATCTATACAATTTTGTCAACTTGCAAAGTCGTATTATATAATAATAAAGTATATATTATGTAATAATAAAGTCGTGTCAAATAACAGCACAAATTACTAGTCTCAATATAAGGAATTTCGAGTACCAGAGCGATATTATTAACTCTAGTGCACTACCCAGAACGCCTGGACTAGAACCGACTTAGAAAAGATTCTCGAATTGTATATTGACCGTATATCTACGGTCGGATCAACTCGGGAACCTTTTATCGGGTTCTAATCTAAAAACTCTTCATTTAGCGCCTACAGGGCTCAATTTATATTGCGGCGGAACGGAGCGAAAGCGAATTCTTGTAACGATATTCTACATAGGATAATGAACTTTGTGGTCAATTGTACGACGTACAAACTAGATACGAGCCAAAGTCTTCCGCAGAATGCGCAAGCATTCTCGAGTCTTGGTCGTTGAACAAAAACGTTTTTGAATATATTAGACAACATCATATACTACAGTTGATCAGATTCCAAAGTAGCTAAAAGCACTTGTGTTATGGAAATCGTCGGAAACAACGACGGTACCACAAACACACAAATCCGAGACAATATAGAAAAGTTAGTCTACACTGACCCGGCCGGTGATCGAACCAGGGACCTCAGAGATGGCGACACCATGAAAACCGGTGTGCAAGCCACTCGACCACAGAGGTCGTCAAAATGCAAACTTAGAAGTTGGAAGAAGTAGATCTAAAATTATAGTCACTTATGCATGTAGGTGTAACAAAAAGTGCAGACCACGTTTCAGCTGGTGATTGTATTTATTGTAACTTGGAAAAAAATGTAAAGAAAAATTTTGGTTTCTATACAAAATGTGCAGTCAATATGTCGTCAATAAAATGGAGTGGTAACATTTTTTTCATAGGTAATCGGTAATATTATGATTTTTACTAACATGATGTTCATAAAAGAGTTGTACCCTTAGTGGTACTAAAATAAATGGAAAATTTAACTAGGCTTAGTTAGTTTTTTATAAAGAGTTCTCAAAATGTAGAAATTCTGAAATGAAAACAATTTTTTTTTTACCTGCATTTTCTAGGAAATTGTTAAATATTTTTAATTGGTGGGTAGGAACGGAACGCATTTTTATGTATTTTTTCGGCTAATTGGCTCGTGGCCAATGCCATAAAAATGTATATGAACAGATCAAATCTCAATGTCATTCTTGTTGCAAATTCTGGTTTCCCTTCCAAACGCATAAATCTTTCGCCTTTTATTAATAACTACTTGCATGAAAGAGATATCATTATGGCTACGTAACTTACATTTACATAATTTGTTTTTCGTTTGTTGCTACTTTTTGGACTTTTAACCGACTTCAAAAAATGAGTAGGTTGTCAATTCGACTGTATTTGTGTGTTACACAATTACTTCGGCGTTTTTGAACCGATTTTGACGATTCTTTTTTTGTTGGAAAGGGGTACCTCAGTATTGGTCCCATTTCAAATTGAAGAAAATATTCCACTTGTAAGGGTGGCAAACTAGAGGATGAAATCCGGTTTCGCGCACTTTGCGGTGATCGATTTCAATAAAATTTTGCAAATAGATGTAATTCCACGACCTTTTAAAGTTGTTTTTTTTTTAGTACTCTGTACTGAGATTATTTACTAACATTTTTCATATTTGTAAAGAAGTTTTTTTTTTAAAGTTATAATTATTTCATCGCAGTGTTGCTGGTAATTAATTAAACATTTCTACCACACTTTTGTATACAATCAATAACAAAAATGCAGGACACAATATTTTGTTATTATTCTGCTAAGCTTTTTATTTTATGCTTATATCTAGCAAATAAATTGAGGCCGGTTAAATTTTTTCTGGGAATAAAATACCAAGCTCCATACTAATTTGATACAAGTTCTTTTTTATGAAAGTGCTCCACTAGTTATATAACATAGAAACTATTTTTTTGGTAAAGTTGTTTATTATATGTGGTTGAATCTTTTTGTTACACCCTGAAAATAGATTGTTATACATAAAGCTTATTATATACAGACGAGATGTACGCAGCAATTGAAGAGGCATCGGTGGGCGAGGGCTCAGACACGTATGCGCAGATCGCGCCTGAGCCTCGGCGGCGGGAGCCCTCAGTTACGACTGATTTGTTGAACTCGGATACTCATCAAGCGAGGTATGTTTACATTTGCTTAATGCTATCCACATAGAGCACGAGATCTCTATGCGAGAATAGCAGTATTTCGCGTTTATGACGCTTTCGCGCTAGTCGCGACCTATCGTGCTAGCCCTGCTGGTACTTATTCCAACTCTTCCCATTATATTGCAATAGCGTTTCAGCATCACCATGAAGAGAAAAGATGTCGATTGCTTTCTGGAATAGTGGTTTATCTAAAAAATAATAATAATAACGCACGCACTCATAAACCCGTACTAGGGACACTGTATCGCGGGTGCAATGGACACACACATAGACAACCACAAATTACACCCAAAGTATTGAGTATTCAAACTCGCGAGAGAAATAAAAAATAATAATAATAATAATAGTTCGGCCATGGAGGCAGTTATTAGAAAAAATAATTAGTTGATGTTATGTTTAAAGCTTAATTTTATTGAAATTAAATGACAGTTCAAAGGTTTGTTCCACAAAACTCCGCTAAAAAATCCCCACTGGTGGGGATTTGTGGAACAAACCAATCCAAACAAACTACTCTTGAAAAGCAGCGATGTATTTCCCAAATCAGCTATTTACTTATAAAGATAACGTGACACAAGTAGTATATACGGGCGCGAACATTATTATTAGTAGCGCCATAGTCGGTAGATAAGACTTAAGCTACACTCGCAAGTTTACTCTATACACCTTCATGCTATGCCTGCTGAATTGCCATGCTGCTTTAAAGAAAGCCAAGATAAACCCACGTTGAATTTTTTGAATGTTATTTATTTACAGGAGAAGTGCGCCCCCAGAGATCAGTGCACCCACCTCTAATGCTACACATTCAAGACAAGGTAAGTGACTTTATGTCTATATTAAGTTACATTAAATCCGTTAACCTCTGGACCAGTGCCCGAGTCCACCAGAAAAGCTTCTCGCAACGCCTTTGGTTTTATTCAAGTATTTCCTATAAATAAAAATTAAATTAAAAAGGTGTCCTAGAAGTTTGGGTTAGATGAAATACACTCACATCGCCTGACCTTTCTATTTTAGCATCATCATCGTCGTGTTCGAATTCGACGGGGGCGCTAGGTTCGCCGAAACCCGAAAAACGGTCGGCCAACTCTCCACTCCCGCCGCCGCCTCACACATCACACGCATCTCACGCAACTCATACGTCACACGCGTCACATGCATCACATGGGTCACATGCGACACATCCAGCCCAGCAGCGTGTCACTGCTGATCAACGACAACATCAGAGAATATCTAGTACAGGTTTGTTTGCCTGGCTTTAAGTGGCCTATTACTTTAAAGTTATCTACTGCATAGGTAAACTTTACTCAAATCCTATTATTGATACAAAGATCGAACCACACAAAAAAGTTCCATCGATCTGACTGAACTTGAACCAGCATCTGTTGCTACACCGAGGCCACCGCTCTTACCAACTGAGCTGGAGAACATCGTGATATTCTATAAAATAAATATTAATCAGATCTTCTAGTGTGTTCTGGTTGTTGTGTTAAATGTGACATTTAGCTACATGTTAACGAGTGTTCGAGGATATACTTTTCAATTTTTTAAATACTAATGTTGTTATCAGGTGACCTCTTCAGCCACGACAAACTCCGTCGCAGTCTTAATGAAAAACATCAGCGGAACAACAGCTGCGTCAGTTCCTCGGACTTTTATGGATGCAACTACCCAGTAGAGAAACATCGGTTCAGCTCCGGAGACATCATCCGACCGCTTGTCGCTAAAGAACTCAATTTCGACATCGACAATCGTGAGCGGCCAGGCGATAATCTTTACAACTCTATAGACGGCCCCGCAGGACACTACAGCGACTACTCCTCCGCCGAAGCTAACACCAGCCTCATCTCCGAACAACGCGTCACCGAAAGCCCTTCACGGAACGTTGAAGAGATGTACGCCAAGGTCATGAAAAGAGCCAAAGGTAAAGACGATCCCGCGCGAAGGTCCAAAGATTTAACAGATGGCGAAGCTCATACGTCCAAATACCGTAATGATGATCCTGGATATGAGACGATAGATCGCAAGAAATCAGCCAACCACGGCTACGAAACCATCGCACATAAAGAAAGAAAAATCTCCAACCAAGACCCGGGCTATGAAACAGTAAAGGATATCAACATAACTTCAAATTCGAACTACAGTAACAATAACCTACTGAAGCTGAATCATGTTGACAGTGGCCCAAACAGTATAATTAGCAGTGACGCTGGCTACGAGCACATATCGAAGACCGACAACAATGCGTCAGATTCGGAACCTAATTACGAAGTATTAAGGAATCAACCTCCAACTCCGCCTTATGCAACGATCGCGCCCAGCTTCAAGGTCCAACCGACGTACTCCACGGTGAATAAACGACCTTCAAAGTACAGCAACTGGCCAATAAACAATAACGATGAACCTAGTGCAGAACCTAACTACGAGTCGATGCCTCACGATCCTCTCTACACCACAGGGAGTGAATCAGACCCTAACTACGAATCAGTTCGGCCGAAAGATTCAAACTATGAGAGCATGAACACGCAAGATCCGAACTACGAGTCTTTGAGATGTAAAGATCCCAAATACGAGTCCGTCAGGTCGAAAGATTCGGTTAGATCAAGGAAGGACCCGAATTACGAAAGTGTGAAGTATTATGACGTTCCTAAAAAGGAACCCCCTTATGAACGCCTGAACAATGACGCGGCAGCAGGCTCTGACGTCGAGAGGTCTGATTCTTCAGCGGGGTACGAAAAAATCAATATTCCAAACAACAGAAATCCTAAAAGCAGTATTAACAATGGTGGCGATGGCACCGTCAGTGATTATTTTCAAGTGTAATAAAGTAAAGGAATGAACGGTGGTGTTTATCAACAAGCGCGAGTAAGAGGAATTACTATGAATATGTTTTATAGCAATATTGACGAGATTTCCAAATAGTGTGCTTTTTTATTTATATTTACATATTATACAATTATATCTTTAATAATACCTCAAAGATAGATAAATCCGTATCTTCCTTAGGTATCTGTGATATATTCAGCGTGGATGTTTTATTTTTAATTTAGTGAGCAACTTTGATTGACCGCTATTTCCTATGCACACACGGTTCGTCATCTCTATTGAAAGTGTGTCCATAAGTCTTATCAAGATCAACGTACTGTATTTGTATGCTGATTGTACAAAATGTAGACTATGTACATAATTATTTATGCTTCAAGTAATTTATACTACGTACAAAATTTATGAAAGATTTTTATAGAAAATATTGAGCGATTATCATTAAGACTTTAAAAATGTGGTGTCATCAATTTAGCTGAATTTGTATATTAAGTAAAGATAACTTGTAGTCTTGCATACAGTTAACACTTATTTATTTAGGTCTTTTGATAGACCTTTTTACGCACTACTAATATTGCTGGAGTAATCCAATATTGAAAAATTAAAAGAAATTCCAAATACCTCCCAGAGTTAGTTCCGAACACTGTAACGGTGCGTATATGAACAACTGTGCATATAAATTGTCATCATATAATCACTGTCGCCAGAGGGTTTTAGCGTCAATACAGTGATGTGATTTATTGGACGCTATAGATAATTTCAACAGTGGGCCCTCCATTTGAAAACATCTTTAAAAAAAATCACTTCATTCCAGACTTGTTTTTTTTTTTCGAAATTTAAGATAACAAGGCACGTAATGGTGTCAATTGTTTTGGGAACATTAGTAAAACTAATATAAAATGCCCTGTTGTCATGCTTTCCGATTTTAGATAAAAATGTTTCACATTTTGGAATATTTAAAAAGTTATCACTGTAACTAACCTAATAATTCCAGCCAGCTATTCTTATCCTTATATAACTTGTAAGTTATCGTAAATAAAAATAGACACCTTTTTTATTTTAGTTTTAATGTAATAGTACAGGAGAATAAATAGTGCAATTTTTTTCCACCAGTGGCACTACTTGCAAATTCAATAAACATTTATATGTTTGTTCTCTCATCCTAGTTTGCTCATACCTAATCAATTCATTTAAAGAAAGAAGGAACTGATACTACGAGAAATTGTTTTTTCTTACTCTCTTCTCATAGGAAGGGAATATTATAGTTTCTGATTTCAAGAGTTGCTTGTTTACTCATAAAATAAAGACATTACCGAAGTTTACTGAAGTCTCGCTCCGCTAGCGCCTCTAGCGGCTGTTTTTTTCATATTGTGTGTTGTATTGTGTACGTGATTCGCTGGTCATTTTTCGCCTAAACTTTATTATTATATTGTGAAATATTTTATAGGTATAGTGACTTTCTGCTTTAGGCTTACATTTACATTGCCGCGTCACACAAGGAAAGCAAATTTTTGTAACCATAGCATAATGAATTTTATTTTGTTTTTTTTTATAATATCAAGTGACGGGACTAACAAGTCGTGCGCCTGATGCCTTATGTCAATTATGTGACGTACAAAGTAGATACGAGCCCAATAACAGGTCGCGCGTTTTCCGGAAAATTATCGCGCAGTGTCGGGAGTTACCGCAGCTACAGTATCATATCTAGTTTGCACGTTGTACGCTACACGTTTGACATAAATTCATTATGCTGTGTACAATTTAGTTACATTTCGCCGTTCGTGGCAATGTAAATATAACCATATTCTGCTAGCTTAAGTTATTCTTCTATTAACTGTTATGTTGATTTTGTTGTTTCAGTTATTAAGATTATTAACAATAATAATTAATAGATAATAATAAGGTGTCATATTATGCGTCTATTTCATTGTGTACATTTCTAGACTGCGCTTTATAATTTTTTGTGTCTAAGTTTTAATGAGGTTTTCAAAAGTATATAAAGAGTTTGAGAGACTATCAAGTCTCTTGGCGCAAACTCCTAATTTATATGATCGTGTATAAGGTACATCCTTGATATTGAATGACACGTTCAACTCGAGTTAAATTTTGAGTGCTTTCATCATATCTATAGAAATACGTATATTATAGAGTTGATCCCTTTTATACTTACTTAGCTCACCGTTTAAAAGAAGTGTACGCAAGAAATTAGACAATAGTTTTGTTAGATGTGGTCTTATTATATTAGTACCTGAGTATATTAAACACGTAAATTAATATGAACCTGCTTACTTAGACTGGGCGTTGACACGCTGAGTTTAGGAAGTAGGATAAGAATGGTACTATGTACCTTTTCATCCAACACCAATTTTGTATGATATTTTAAATATCCTATTTGACAAGTTAAAATTAGACCTTACATTAGTAATGACGTCGACGTTGGTATTGTCAGAAAGAGAAATAATATCTTTCTACGTCTTTAATATTGCGAAGAAATATTATCTGACTTATCAGGCTTTAGTTTTCTTTTTTATATTAAAGGCTCAGCGCAGATAAAACTATCGTTACCATCGTTCTTTTGTTTTTGGGGCGACCTGTTAAAGTTATAGTAAGGCAAAAACTAGGTCACAAATAAATCATTGTCATAGTACTTTTAAATGCTTGAAGAAATGTTCTTAAAGTACACAGTAATGTAGTTTGCAACTGCGGATATAATTTACGCAGCTTGCGCGTCTGTGTTGGGCCTTATTGTTGTATTATATGTGTAGTACAATACGATTCACAAAATAACTAACGTCTTAGCTCTATACATACAACGAATTCGTATAAGGCTTCTAAATTCACATGTCGCGGTTTCCATGAATTCTTTAGCAGAATTTCAAAATGAGCCCGTCTGTTACTACGATTTGGATGTTACATAGAAACCCAAAAAACGGCAAATAGAAAATAAACATATTTTGTTGGAAATTATAGATTAAATTCCAAAAGTTCAATTACAATGGGAGGATAAAACCTGCCATTACCAAAATTCCGCTGAAGATTTCATCAAACCTGGGGAGGTTTGAGGAGGTTTCGGAACCTATTTGTGGATTTCAGGTAAATTAGTAGAATTGTAATCCATACTCACTACATGCAGTGACCTCTCCAGAGTTTTTTAATACAGTACATTTGTTGGTTTTTTGTATCCACTTTTTACTTTTGAAGTGATATCAGAAAACACCATTTAGATAAGAGATTTTAGTCACATTGACAATGTAAATAATATTTCTATATTATAAATGTATTACGCTGTTTGTACAATATCGAATATTTTATTGCCGAATAAACCGAACGAATTCAAAATTGGTTGCCAAAATATACTATGTAATTAAATTTTATGGTGGTGCTTATTGCACCAAAAACAGCAAAATTATTTAATGATAACTAAGTTTGAAGCGTATGTAAATGGTTTATGGACGTATTTTGCCGTTTTTCTTGAAATGAAACTTAAAAGTGCACGGATATTTCCAGTGAACAACATATTTTCTATTATTAATACTAATATTGAACAAACAGAGAAAACTTCCTTGTAACTTGTATCTGAATTGTCTCACATTGGCTACCGTTCTTACCAACTGAGCTACATACGTTGGTTCGAGTTCAGGCTGATCGAATGAATTTTTCTCTGTGTTTGTACGATGTTTGTATCGGTAATAATAACGACGTATTAATTGGATTCCTTGAAGGATTTAGATTCCTTTAGATTAAGCCAAACGCGTTCAGTTGCAAAATTATCCCGTATTACATCTTCGCTGAGTCCATATATTTCTGCATAAGCCGATTAATCACACATTCCATGCGACTAGTGATTTGGGAAAACTTTTTTCCTAGTTGACAGTCAGTCATTAAAAAGCTGTAAAAGGGGATTGAGCGCTAGAATACGTAGTACATTATTACTATTACTTATATTTGTCTAAAAATCATGGTTGGAATACGTCTTAAGCTTGCGCTACTGAATAGATTTTTGGTCTTTACTATTTACAATTTAGAACGTATATTCGAAATGCATTTTTTTATGTATTTACTCTCCCAAACACAAATACCATTCCATATTTTGTAATAGATTCAATGGCTAAACTAATAAAATACGCCATAATTGTAATGTTGTTTTATTATTTGTCTTATAAAAGTAAACTGTAATCACCTCATTCACCTGGTGAACATAAAAGGAATCTGCATTCACTCCTTTATTTAGGAACCTTTTTGTCAGTGGGACTCTGGCTTTCAAAGGAGCCTTGTGAAGGACTTATGTCGTTTTATTTCTGAGTGAGTTTTGGTGTTGGTTGGTGAGTAATTTTGGGGTGTCTTGTTATACGGTGTGGTTGGTATACGGTGGTGTTTGTTGGTGTGGTGAGTTGTGACGTTTTGCTGTTGGTGTGGGGGTCGCCTATCTAACTATCTACTAACCGCCGTTGTATATTTTTGTGTCCTAGTCTAGCCTTGTTACCACATGACAAAATTGCCGAAGGTTGGGAATATATTGTGCAACAATCGACAATCACCACTGTTGACTACAGTAAATATGAAACAATGGTCGGTTTTTGGAGAGCGACACACAACCAATAACTATGTGGAAAGTTGGCATACTATAGTCCATTTGTTTAGGTACTTCACTAAATGTAAACAATCTTGATACATCTTTTTATTGAAACACATGCTTTACAAATCAATAGGTATAAAAATAGGCATGCAATTTCATATGAAACTAAGTATTTGTATTTGAAAGAAGGGAAAATCATTTTATAAATGTATATTTCATTAAATAGACATCTCAAGATTGTTTACATTTATTTAAGTACCTAAACAGATGGACTATAGTTTAAGTAAAAAAGTTAACAGTTCAACCGAAACCTCTCAGAACTGATCGTAGCTTTTAAAATAAGACGCACAGTCCAAATGCATACCAAAACACCGTAGATCTAGCGTTCAAATAAATGACAAAATTATATGTGAGGCTCAGTTAAGCATGTTGAATGGACATATTAATAACCGTAGCCATTTTTTAGAAATGGTCCGTTAAAAACATTAGCTTTTATGTTACTTATTTAATATTAAATAAGTAATGCAAAAAAAAAATTGCCTATATATTAGCAGATTTCCTAATAAGTAATTTGCAATTTTAAAACAAATATATCTGTTGTAGATCTGTTTGCCTTTACAATACTTTTAAGTTACGCGAGCCCAATTTTACGGTCGTACACCCTAATGACATTACTTTCTTTTTTTGTATGGGTGAATAAAGTTTACTCAAATTTTATACATGTCTTTCAATTATAATTAACGGTAAAGAGAAGTGATTTAAGTTTACTAAAAGTGTACTTAATGCGCCTAGGTGAATTAAGTTAACGCGCCCCGTGAATTACATCATCAGAAGTTCAGCAGACTATTATGTGCCCTTAAAATACAATATAATTCTTTTAGCAAATTTTCCTAACATGTCAAAAATTACTTTTAATGTTTTTTACTTTTTTAACCGACTTCAAAAAAGGAGGAGTTCTTTTTGTATGTATGTTACGCGATAACTCTTCATCAAAATTTGTGAGCCGATTTTGACGATTCTTTTTTGTTGGAAAGAGGGACTTCAGATGTGGTCCCATTCAAATTTGAAGAAAATATTCCACATCTAAGGGTGGCAAACTAGGAAATGAATGACTTTTGCGGTCGGCTCTTTGATCTTTTAGTATTTCCTCTTTGTTTGAGAAAAGCACTATACAAGCCTCGGCGGGAACGGGGTGTGTTTGACTCATATTAATATGTAACTCATAGCCGTCCAGCGTCTGCAGTAATGTACTACTAATATACTGTAATGTACATACAATTTAAAAATTAATATTAATATTTTTATTTCAAACCGAAGAAATGTTATTTGGTCCATATATCATATAGTCTACTTATGAGGTCATAGGCATAAAAATTAGAAAATGATAAGGAGGTGGAGAGCAGTCGAAGTAGTAGTTATTACTCTTGTTGTGGGTACATTTTTATGGGTCCGGATGACATCAAAATGTGGCTAAAGGTACATAATAAATAAAATAACAAGTATTTTGTGCGGTTTATTCAATTTTAACAGTTATAATAAGATTTTATGTCAGTCATCTTAAGTTGTTCTTCGTAAAACCATAGCCCATAAACTTTATATCATTTGAAAATTTCCTTATCGGTACAGCTTCTCTTTTACTAGAAAATTTATTTGATTGAAAATATTCTTTAACTTAAAACAATAAAGGGCTTACATTACCTACGTTAAGCACGCTGGTAGTTGTTACGTTACACCTCGATACCAATAAATATTAAACTGTCGTATTTAAATATTTTGAAGAATAAGCTTCCCTGCATGATTTTCAATGACAAAGGGGTAAGTAACGTTCACCTCTGAGCGTCCATACTACTCCAATCTTAAGTGTGATGTTAAATATATTTTACACATATTCATTAGCCCCTTTGCCCCAATCAAAGAAAAGAATATTTTCAACCAAATTAGTACAGATTGTTCACATTTAAATTAATTGATAGATTTAATGCTCCACTATAGATTAATATTCGTACAATTTCAAGTGATTTTACATTAAAATTTCGATACATTAAATAGGGTAAATTTTTTCTACATGATTTTCCATTATTTCATTTAGATGTCTATGACGTGGTATCTGGGTCTCTATCGCAGAATATGGTAGTATTAAATATGGAATCATGAATAATTAAGGTCTTTGGATACAAAGTTATAAGTAGAACTTAATTATAACATCACAAATTAAATGTCACTTAATTATCTAAAATCACAAAAAATAATGTACATATGTAGTGACTAATTTATGTAAATAAATGTATTAATTACTATTAATAAAAAACAGTAATGGAATGTTTGGGTCAAGAGTACTTTATTATTTTGTGATGCCCTTACAATGTAAAAAATAGTCTCAGAATGTTTTAATAATTACATATTCTTTACCATAGACTCTCTCCAAAGTCATCGTTTAGGAGCAGCACTAACGTGAAATGAAGAATTGAATTTTAGCACTTTATTGCAATAACCCTTTGAATCCCATAGGTTCGACAAGTGCATCGGTTGGTTTAGACTTAAATTCGACCTATTTTAAACACTTTTTCGTAGTCTGTTGCCACATCTCAGGCATAAAATTTCGCGGTTGGCAAAGGATTAGTGCATTAAAAATTCTTTAGCAAAATCAACAATTCATAAATTTTAAAATTAACTTATACATCGGAGACATTTAGATTGTGCTAATAAATTAAATATCTTTAACAATTAAGCAACACATCTGGCAACACCGTAATAAATAAGTGCGTGCCATATTATGGCACATACTTAATCTACTCAATAAATTTGGTAAACCGATTCATACTAACGATTAACATACATTAATTTCACCATACTAAAGGTGTATACCTACTTACATCATATACAAGCTATGTGCCACAAACGGCAGTTTGTATTTAAATAAGATATAAGTACGTATAAATATAACATTTAAGTAACATTATTAACTGAAATTCATTAATTAATTATAATATTTTTGGAATGTATGTCAAATAAACATCTAAGATTCAACAGCAACAAAATTTTGCTTATACCAATTTTAATAGAGCTACGCTTTAACGTTTTTAAAACAACAACACTAATATTGCATCTATAATAAAAAATTAAAATGGCCATTTCTGAGATAACTTAGTGCTACCCACACCATTACACTCTTTGACTATTATTAAATTCAATATTTTTAAGATTAATTTATCTAAGTTCATTCACTATCGACCAATCGTCATATCCTAGCAAACTGAAGAAAAGTTTAAAAAATATTTCTTAACAAACACAAAGACTTCAAATAGTATTGGATTACATAGTCAAAAATAAAATTATAGTCAAATATAGAAATCCAGTCATCAACAATTTAAAAACAACAATGTCTTTAATAATATCAAAATTACAACTTAAGACTTCAAGTATTGTTTACAGAAAAAAAGATGTTTTAATACTTATTTCATACCTACTTAGCCTAATTATTATAATTGAAATTAACCATAGTGAAACAGTGAGAGTATAGTAAAATTTCACTACTCGTTTTTTTATTACTTTTATATACAGGAATGCTTTAGTGCAGGCGTGAATGAACAATTCAAAGAAGCACTAATGTAAGGCATATCTTAACTGACCAATCATTCACTTATAACTTTAATCAACGTTTGAGTTACTTTACGCCTCACACAAGTGCAAAATTTAATATTATTGTGTAGAATTCAAAGAATATCGAAAGAACAGTAAACTATATCGCATTTAATGAATTTTTAGTACGCTCAGTACCACGAAAAAGTGAACAAGTTGTATTATGTTTTACGATCCAACTTATGTACATAATAGTTATATCCTGTCACATCCGGTCATTTTTTCGTAATTCAACATACCTTTAATAAAATTTAATTGAAATTAGATTATCTTGAGCTCTAGTTTTTAGGCGCCAGTCTTCCGTGGCACTAAATAAAAATCTTAAGTCGAAGATATAAGAAATGAAAGTGTAAAACAAACATAATACAAGATATAACTTATTACAAACAAAACCACTATCTGATCCATGCAACCCTGTGATATAATAAACAGACCGCTTTCCAACCACAAAATATTGAAGGCACTTGTTCAAAACAAGCGTGAATTAAAAAATAAATAAACAAAGCAGACAAGTAACTTGTTATTAAATTTTCTTCAATCAATTTAAAAATCCATAACAGTAAATGAAAATAAAAAAAAACAAAGCACGTTAAATAGCGCCAAAATGAAGTACATATACATGTACATAGTAATAAAAGTGCGTTACGTTTATGTAGTTGGAAATCGATAAGATATAATTAATACAATGTAGTAACCTAGTAGTAGATATCTTAGAATTAAATTTTGAAGTAAACATTTTGAGCTACGGTACATCTCTAAAGAATTAGTTGTTTCGTAGTTTAATCGCTAATACAATTATGTACATTGTTCCAAAAATCATGTGTGAGAGTCGTGCGCAAATGACTAAGTCGATTTTTTAAATTTAGTTATATTTTTGGCACATAGTGTAAATTGAGCTTTTGCACCAAATAATTTTGCAAGCTATTCTTAACTTTTAGTTTTGTTTTTGTACCAGCATTACCAAAACAGTGGCAATAAAAAATAACGAGGAAAATATAATTCAAATAAAACAAATAAAGTCAATATTAATGATGTGTAAGCCAGTTCCAATTAGGTATTTAGCGATTTCTCTTTAGCAATCTTAATTAGATGGCTATGTAACGCAAACAATGTAACAAAATGTTTTAACATTTACAAGAACAATTTTGCAATGAATATAACAAAATATAACATCGAAATTGAAAAATTCAATAGAGAAATAAAAACAACGTTGGAAGTTCGTTTAAGCAATGTCATTATTATATTTACTCCAATTAGTTTCTAATGAAGCACATAGGGTCCTTTTAAGTACTTGGACCTGTCTAAGGCCCGTGTCGTTGCCGGTGCTATTTTATAGACAGTCGTAAGTGGCCTTGGTCTCGCTGGAGCTTATCTTTAGTCGAATTCGGTACTTTGTTTAGCTTTGCCCGATTACAATTATTCATCATTAATTCGAAATATTTTTTAAAACAAACACCAATTCATATAATAGTTCAAATTTCTCAAAAATTGGCAATGTTCAATACATTTCTTGAATGCAATGCCAAAGTGATATGAACCGGCTATTTGAATCGTTTATTTATTCACGCCTCAATGTTAAGTCGTAATAATTTCAATTGTATATTACGAATTGTCGAACGCCAATAATGAGGATACATTATCGAAATGTAGGTTACAGTAAATATGATTAAGAGGGGGCGTTGATGCGCCATCTCGTGAGAAAATTACATATAAAATAGGTGTCAATAAGGCCAATAACCTGTTCTTATAATTCTAGGTAGCTAAAGATATCAAGTTTATATAGCCAACCATCTCCTCTGGTTAAATATGGCGATTATGTTAATTCTACCGTATGTTATTCACGCAAAATGGGCGCTTTGTCGTCGAGTTGCGGATATCAACCCGTTGCACCAAGTACCAAGTTCTACCGTCTACTATTGAATAAAAAAAAGACTATGTCCATATGTTATACTGAATTCCTAAGTAATAAATATATAAACAAATTTTCTTTCTTTAACATTTCCACAGACAATAAATACAATAAAGAAATGGAGCTGATACTCATTTTCATAAATGGCACTCGACAATTCATCAGAAAATTCGTTCATGTCAAAGTGAGGTATTTACGTAACTTGAAACCATTTTGGACCTCATTTTATAGCATTGAGCACGCTAGAAGCTTCGATCTCTCAGGTTTTGCGGGACTTGAGGGATATGACGTTTTTAGCCAAATTTTAGCTAATTTTATGTAGCTTGAGCGAAATGCATTTACTCAACCACGAGCGTTTTACATGATTTCTTTTCTGCGTCCCGCAAACATGGGAGTCCCGACTTATTGACGGTCAAGCTAAATTAGATGTTTATGTGTTTACAAGTAATAGTCAGATTGTCAGTAGACCCAAGACACAGGGACCCATTGAGGAGTAGAGCGCAATCTTGCCAAGGCCGACTCCAGTTGGGCCAGCGTGTCGTCAATGTCGTTGTTCACTATAGTTAAGTCGAAATAATGTCCGTATGTGCGCCGAAGTTGATCAGACTCGCGAATTAGTACTTCTAGGGAACCGTCGTACTGAAATAAAAGAACTAGGTTAATATTTGTGTTGACATAAACAATTACCTTGCTTTGTTGGGAATATTAATTTAGTTTACTTTAGGTCTCTACTATTTTTACGACTATTTTTAACTATTTTTAAAGTTAGCCAATCGAACATTAGCGTTCTGTTTAAGAAAAATTAACTGGAATTAAATTACCTGCAGATTTTAAACAAACTAATGTATTAATGCACATTTCAGTCTAAAGTAATAAATAACCTAATTGTAAGATCTGTTCAATGACAAAAAAACAAAACCTATGTCTAATTACAGCAATTTATTACAAGGTCTAATATACATACAGGTAATATTAGTAATGCACTTACATCAGCAACACTATTCAGAGACGGAGCAGCAATGAAAACGACATAGGGCGCGAACTCTGCCGTGCGTAATATCTTCAGAGCTTGAGGCTCTACGTCCAATATGGCAATGCGTCGTTCGGCGTGGATACGACGGATGGTTTCGAGTTTTGTACCATACATTGCATCTTCATGAGTGCCTGCAATAAATGAATAAAATATGCAAGTTAATAAGTTAATAATGTGCAAGTCATTTTAAATATTGTATTTTTTTTACTTTTCAATACTTTTTCAGTTCGAAATATGTCTACTATACTACAAATTTTCTAGGATGTTCCCTGTGACACTTCACAAAATTCTATATAATATAACCTTGTAATGACGTCCACCAATTTACGTATTTTATAAACTATTTTTATAATTCTCGCTTTTAAGTGAATAGATTTTGTTTAAGCAAATACATAAAATTAAAGCAAAAGTAACACCAAATTAGTGAGAAATGAGCAGAGAAACATTTTTTTTTTCCAAAAAATTATTTATCTTTACGACAACGTACAAAGGTTACTTCATTGGACTGCATTAGCTGGAGATTAGGTATATCGGTAAAAAGTTTTCAATGATTTAATGAATATAAAATGATTTAATGAATATAAAATACTTATAGTGCGTACACGAGTTTAACCTATTAGGTAATAGTGATATGATATGAATAATTAAAATATTTTTAATCTACATTATGAGCCTCAAATTTATTAAAATATCAATTGATATGGCATTTGAATTTAGTTGGGTGTTTTATGCCTTCAATGCAATACAAAACACTTCATACATTCCATTATCTTGTTTAGTTACAGCAAGGCTAAACAACAACAGCCTAATTAAACAAAACAACCTAAAAGTCAACAAATAAAAACTATAACAAAAACAAAGAACTTTAACAGAAAACACAGCAGGGGCTATTGCATCATAAAGAAAAAATGCATTTACATTTAATATATTTGTTCTCCGGTACCTACTCCATAGAAATATCGGATCGGATATCAAAAATAATATAAATATTATTTATACACAGTTCATGTGAATTAATTATTTTAAAAACTCATTTTTTTAAAATCCGTATTATACAAGGCTGTATAAGAGAGAACCTTTGCTTCAAAAATAAATTAAATAAAAAATCTATCGACTTTACCTCATTCCTATGACAAATGTCAAATGAAGTGTCACAGGGATCATCCTAGAAAATTTGTAGTATAAGTTAATACTGTTCATAGGCCAATAAAAAAGTAATGATTTGTCATAATTGTTTGTTTTGGTTATTAAAACTCAACCAAGCTAAATGTGGTCTGGCGGATCTCTCTCCTCAGACTCGGCAGATTTCAACATTATCAAGAACCCATTTATACGTCCTACTGCTGGGCACGGGTCTCCTCTTAGGCGAGTGCTTAGGCAACAGTCCACCACACTGGCCCAATGAGGATTGGGGACTGCACACGTTTTCCGAGGACTTTGTTTGAACTTTCTTCAACGTTTCATCACGATGTTTTCCTTCACCAAAAAGCTTATGATAAATTTCAAATTAAATTTCGCACAAATTCCGAGAAACTCAGAGGTGCGAGTCTGGATTCGAATCCACGATCCTCTGCTTGAGAGGTAGTAGGTCAAACCATTAGGCTACCACGGCTTCATTTTCATTTCAATTTCTTTAACGGGGTAAAATTTTAAAAGTAGACAACCCAGAATTTATAGGTAGTCTGTTGGTATCCCTTTTCAGTATACGCGAGAAGCTTCTCCATTCTTTTTTTTATTCTCCCTCTACGACATCGCCGTACCTGCGGTGTCTATTTAGACATATGTCTGTGACTCGTGTGAACTGTAACTTTGATGTTTATGTCAATGATAAAAAAAAAATTTTAGATCGAAAACATTGAAGGAAATTCACATAACTAGCTATTAACTCTGTCTTTGGACAAACGGGCTCCCTTCATCTTCTTCCATATCGTTCTAGTTTGAGCTACGGTTCTTTAGTCTCAGTCTGTTTGTTGCTTTATATCATTGATACAGTTTTCTGGACAGGATGTCTTCGAATCGGTATATACGTTATTATGTTATTTTAAATGTTAATAATCTTATATAACCGCCGCCTATACAAGTTCCTGGGATCAAAGTTCGTAAATCTCTGAATGTAATAACATTAGCTTTCCCTAACTTTCAAGAAGGAATATAGTCGTACCGCTTTTGTGGTAAAAACGTGCTGATTTTATACAGGCAAAGAACTCTATCATCAAAAAAGAGACGGTAGAACATACCATATTCCAAATACTCGTTGGCACCAATGTCGGCCATCATTTCCTCATGGGTTACGAAGTAGTAGTTCCTGCCGTTCTCCTCGTCTGCTCGCGGTTGCCGCGTCGTATCTGTAACATTAATACAGGATTGCATTTATCAATGATGTTTGACCACTTTCTTATTATTTCATTACCAAGGTATTTCGTTTCGTGATAAATTATACTTTTTTCTTGACAACCGTACCAATTGCATAGCCTGTTCTTAAACTGTTTTGGTACTCAAAACAACGGTATTCACTCTGGGGCACTTTCAGAACACCCAGACCAGAATCAATTTAGTAAAGTCATTTCCTAAATTGGTCCTACCGGGAATCGAACCCAAGACCTACTCATCCAGCGCCCACAGTACAAATCGCTGGGCCACCGATGTTGTCATTATATTAATATTACATAATAGAAATTATGCTATTAACAACATTGAATGATATAATCCCGATTTACAAAAGTATTATTACCTATACAATCTCATGTAGGTATATAACTTGAAACTGCTCTTATACTTGACGTTCTAGATTAAATAATAATTTGAAGATTCAGGCGTTACTTTGCGGAAATCCATATTGATAAAAATGGAAGTATATAAATTTACTACTCCGCGAACTCGGTGACGGTAACAACAAACGAGAAAAAAAAAGAGATTTTTTTGCTCTCTTGTTAAATTTTTATATCAAGTAACTGTTATGTTGAAGTGGCACTCAGAGCCTTAAATCGCAAAGATCTGACTGCTGCCACACGCGCTACTACGCCCGTCACCCTGAGACATAAGTTGACAAGTTCCATGTGCCTGTAATTTCTAAATTAAGTAAGCCCAATGGTCCTTGGCCCTGGCATATAGGGGAGAGTGGAAGAAAAATGCATGTTGTGTCGACAGGAAGAAGAAGAGGCCCTTTTACACGTTTTAAGGCAGTACCAATATTTTGTCAATAAAGAAAGATAGTTAAGAAATTATAATAATTAGAAGGGGACTCACGTGGAATAGGATAGGCATATAAATCAGGATGTCGTGCGATCAGCGAGTTCTTGATGTGTCGTCGACCCACGCCGTGAGCGCCGAGCAGCACTATTGTTTTCCTCTGAAACGCTACAAAGGTACGATACAAGGAATGTTAAATATGCCAATTCGTTTTATATAGTAAAAAGTATATATAAGTCAGTATATATAGTATTAATAGTAACAAGTTCCACCATGGTCTCCTTTGAGTAGAGCATTTATGGCCGTAATAGGCCACGCAATTCAAGTTGGAAGTTTTCGTAGGGTTTTATGAATATTGTCATAGTATTTTCTTAGTGGAAAAAAATATTAATTACAATGATATTTTTACTAATGCGACATTCATATATTTTTTATGAAAATAATGCAAGTTGGTTGGTAGTTTTCGAAGAGTTTTGTGAATATCGTCATAGCTATTTTCATAATAGCAAAAAATATTGAATAACATGATATTTTTAGTTATTAAGATATCTTAGATATTTTTAGTTTTATTAATACATTTTTATGAAAATACTCCACTAGTTTGTTATTATTATTGACCCAAAAATCGAATAAACATAAATTCTTTCCGTCTGACTGGACGCCACGGTGAGGTAGTAGTTGCAGCGAAATAAGGCTGATTGTAAAATACACATAGAATATACAGACAAAATTAATCATATTTATCCTAAACAAAAAAGAACTTGTTTAAATCACAGATCTTCGAAAAAAAACTGTACTTCCGAATAATATACTGAAATTCCGAAAGAAAAACTAACTTACCGATGTATGTCCTATGTTGTCACTCGAAATAGAATTTTCGTATGATGAAATAGTTTAACAAGCATCAAACTTAAGATTAAGAATAAGATACGGTCGCTTTTAAATTTATAATAGGTTGTTTACGAAAAAATATGAAATATGAATTAAGTTGACAGAGTAGTATTTTGTCAGCAGATTTTTCGTAATTTTCAACATTTTATTCGGTTGTTTCCGTATTCTTATTTCCACAAAAGTTTTCAGTAGCTTATTAAACAACGCAGTAATATTCATATTTTTTCGTCAGACTTGCTCGTAATTAATGTTGTGACACGCAGGCAAAGTCGACAGAAATGTCCTAAATTATGGATTTTTACGTTAAGATTAAACAAAAAGTTTTGATACTCTAAAAATCTGAACGTATATTTGCTAAGATTTCGCATAAACTTGAAGTATAAAAAAACTAAACAATCAAACATCGCAATTATATATTATCAAATTTATTTTGTGAATTCAAATTTCAACTGCAGTATTTTTAGAATTTGGAAATTATTTCTTTTATACCTAGTACATTGTGGCGGCCATTTGCAAAATCCGTAAATGTTATGTTGTGAAAAAATAAATTATCGTTGTATCTATTTCCTTGCAAATGTGGTGAAAAATATTTTATGTAGCATGAGCGGTAAAAATTACAAACCTCGAGCCCGAGCTTCTAACAAACTCTCGTTAGTAATTAGTTATTTACCGCGCTTAATACACAATGTACTATTAACAAGCTTATTTTTAATGTACTTTTCAGAACTTTTATTACTACCCAAATTTATTATCCATGTACAAGAATCGTAATCATCATTAACCGGTTAGGGAGTCTCCACACTTTGTCGACGACGTGGAAAGTTACGAATTCGGAACATGTGCATAGGATTTCAATGGTAGGATTTGTTAATAGGATTTTCGATGATATAGACAAAATCAGACGTATGGTAGATATAAAATAATAAAATAACATGTATTTTCAGGGACGGCATATTGAAAGCGCCGGTTCTAAGGAATCTTTCTCTGTGTTCCATGTTTGTATCAGTAATTGTAACAAATTAGTGGAGTAATTTTACAAAAAATATTGAATATAAATATTGAATATCATTGTAGTAAACCATCGTAATATTCAATAAACTTAATACAACATTTATGTTCGTCAAATAAAATCTGTAAAATAACCTGTTATTCTTAAAATAGGTTAGTTAAGTGTTAAATTTTACTTACAAGGTAGTTTGACTACTTCTTCGTAAGTGACGACATCGAGTTGATCAAACACCGCATTGTGTTTCGCCAAGTATTTGTCCTTCGACTGTTTCTTCTTGCGACCGAATATCGAACAATTAACTGTAACAAATGCACCATTCATTAGTACACTGAAAAATCAATCAACACGATTGATAAAAAATACAAAGGAATACTTCTTCAAAACATTTTTAATAGTGGTAACGTAGAAAAATTAAAGGAGCGTCAACAAACACAATAACAACACCGAAAAATTTAAAATTTTGTTTTATCCAAATTGAAGTAGCTTTATTAACTTCTCTTGCTACACAGAAGCCAGAAAATACTTATATTTTTATGATAAAAGATTTTTAAAATATTTTTGTAAGAAGCCAAAATCAATAACAGCTGTTCTGTATGTCTGTAATTTTATGTCTTAAATTAGCGACGTAGCAAGTAGAATGGAAAAATATTGAGTGACAAAATAACACTTGATGCATTCAGGAAAATCAAAATCTTAACGAGTCATTTTGCAAACTCTCTATTTCATCTTGATAGATATCTTCATAATGTAATAGAAACAAGAGATAAAACTGCATTATTGTATTTATAATTCAGATATATAGACACACTATAGTGCTGTGTCTCTAACGCAAATTTACACTGACAGTTACTAGTAATAAGAAGTAATATTTTGTATACAAATTTTACGTTGCCGCAATAAACAGTAAAGCGTAAAAAATTATCACACTGGTCCGCGTCATGCAACGGTGTGCGGAGCTGCGTTTTTTAACGTTTTACCGAAGTTTCTCAGTTTGTATGGAAAACACGCGCCGTACAACACACTGACAAACGCGTCCTTGCGCGGGAGTGGCGGGCGCATGATCCGTCGTTCCGTACACTCCGCTGCGTGGTGCGAGGCAGTGTGGTAATCGCCTAAACTCTCGTGCTGTGTCTCTATCGCAAATTTACAATGAATTTCTTGCTAGCAGTCACAAGAAGTATTATTTTGTATAGAAATTTTACTCGGTTGCAATAAACTATAAACTCTGGTACTATGTTTGGATCGCAAGTTTACAGTGACAGTTGTAGAAGAAGGAAAATTTACAACGACAGTTCTTGCTAGCAGTCACAAGAAGTAATATTTTGTATATAAAATTACGAGGTCTCCAGCGACAAATGTCACTGTAAAATGATAAGTAACCTGACCTGCGATGTTGCTAACAGCAGCAAAATTGCAATGCAAAATTCTTATTAAGGTTAGGTTTGTTAAGCACATAGTGTGGTCGGCTGGCCACACCACCCTGAACTTGATTAAGGTAGTGGTGAAATTTGTTGCTTACCAACCGCACTATTAGCGAATTACCTGTGTTCTCGCAGCCGTCGGTATGTGAGACGCAGCCCTCTGCTCCTAGCCGCACAACATTACAACACGATCATGCAAATGCATACGGATGGCATGGTATATGATGCCACAGTCAGTAAAATTATCTGCAATATCTTTCCCAGAACTAGACGGTTTCCTTGGTTTATTTGTGTTGTGTTTTTTGTATATCAATTGGATGCCGCTTAAATAATGCCATCTTTATTAACCGTTAGGATATTTGGGATTTAGAGCTCGATTTATTGAGTTCTTTACAAACAAATTGGAGTTTGTGAACAACAAAAACTTAATGTATCAACAACACCGCTTACGTAATTTCATGTAATTTTATAGGAGCGTGAAAAAACCTGCATATTTTATTGAATAAAAGGTTTTTTATAAAAGGTTATCAGTAACAGGTTAATTAACCTACTACAAATAATAGGTAAAAAAAATTTCATAAAAATCTTTTATACAATAATATATGCAGGTTTTTCACGCTCCTATAAAATTACTTGAAATTACTTAAGCGTTGTTGTTTGCGAAGCGACGATATGTAAACTTGTGTATTTTGACGGTGGAATAAGAAGAATTTTAATTTAAGCAAAAACACAATTATTGCATTGTTCAAATAAGTAAGATAAATCTTACTTAGTTTTACGATTAAATTGTTCCTTATGCAACCAAAATTTATTTAAAAAATGTAAAAGTATTTTTGGAAAGTTATTATATTTATGAGGTCCACCTGTTCCATTTTGCTTTAAAGTGCATTTTGATATGTACTTTATTTGTTACATACATGACGTTTACTAACTGTGGCCATGGTTAACAGGTTGCTACATTGAGGAACACACGCAACGTTTGGGAAATAATTTGAAAAACTTTACTAATACTTTAATTGAAACTTCTTAAAACTAGTTTCTTGTAACGTGGCCACCAGAACCACAGAGCGTTAACCCTCGTCTTCCGAACGTCATAAGAAGGCCTTTCTGCTGGTGGTAAAGCTATGAAAAATACTCAAGTTTTGATACATGTTATTCTAATTATTTTGCTATTTTCCTTCACATTCGTCTGGAAAAAAGACAATATGTCAATTGGCAAATGAAAATAAAGTATCTAATCGACCGATCTACAATGAACAGCAAGTTGTTCTAAAACCATAATAGTCAACAAATATTGTCAAATAATTTCCCAAACAAGACATATTATTAAGGGTTATACAAACTCCCAGGAATATCAGAAGGTCTTAACTATTCTAGCAAGATTGAGGCACTCAAATTTGATAGATTTTGTCTTGTCTACATAGACCGTGAACCAGCAATAGTGAGCTTTACGTCATCGACACAAAGGAGTTTCTTAATCTCTAACTATGCTTTCTGAAATGGAAGTTCATGTCAGAAGTCCTCTAGGTTGGTGATGTAAGTTCTGTTTTTGCAGGCTCAAAGGCAATTGTTGATGTAGATGTCAATTTTCAACATACAGGGGTCTGGTTCTCAAACCATGCAGAGTTAGGGTCACTATCTCAGAAAAATATTTATGAGCAGTATGTACTTTTAGTATACGTGTATTATATAGGGAGCTTGTATTACTCGTGTAGATGATAAATATATTAAAAAATGAAGCATTTACATACCAACTGCAGAATCCAATGATGTTTATGTTTGAAAGCAAAACATGAAACGTTAATTTTAGTCAGAGCATGATAAATTACAATAAGATACTTTACAATTTTGAAAACTATTACGAATCTTAATGACGCTTTTAATAATTCAAGCGTATTCGACAAAACTGTTGAAAATAAATATGAAGAGGAAAATAAAATTATTTCGTAATTAATGATAGTGGGTTGAAAGATAAACTAATTAGAAATCTAACACTCATCTAACAGATCCTGCCTAACACAACATTGACAAATTAAATCGAAAGAAATTCATAAAATAAAAGAGAAAAGGCGAGAATAAAACACGCGAGAGAATAAAACCACAATATAACACCATCAAACCTTAATATACGTTGAAGTTAAGAGTACAGTATGTGAAATTCACGTTTTGAAAATTAAAAAGTAAAATTTTGATGAGAAAAGGACGAAACGTACATAAACAGTACAACTATTATAGTTAATCTACCAGTATTAAATTTAATATCTCCTACAAGTCGTACAAGTCAAGTCATACAATCTACTACTTACGTATGTTTATCAAGCGGCAAAAGTATACAAACTGACCCTCTGTATATAAATCTGGTATTTTTTTTATAATAAAATATCTATCATCCTATCTGTGTGTATTTTTTCATGATAAAAATAAAGATCATAGATAAATAAATTAAGTTAAAATATTGTTTTACTGTACTCTTAACATAACTGCATCTATCCAATTTCTAACATCAAGTTCACTACCTTAGCAAATTTATAAGTTAAACGCGCTGTATACCTTGATCCGTATTAGAGCGTTCTGCCGCTGCGCATGCGGCTCTCCACTCTTGTAGTTCAGGACTTGGAATCAGTCCGGCCGAGCCGCCGGCGGCGTCTTTACGAGCTTGCCACCAGTGAGAGTCATCTTTGCTAATGATCTGTAAAATTATAATAAAAAATTAAGTAAATCGATTTTGTTAAATATGTTTAAAAAGAAGGTCAAATTGGGGAGTGGGTGAAAAATCGGCACCAAGAATTATGAACACACCTGTAGAATATCTCCAGTATTGAAAGCGATACCAGCTTGAGCACACGGTATCAGCTCGTCTTCCAGAGGGTCATAGTCAAATTGTGCCCTCACGAAGATCTGCAAACACATTGCTCGTTGACAACAACAATTACACTTCGACATGTAACAAAGAATCGATTTGTAGGAAACATTTACAATGATTTAAATGTACACGTATGTAAAGGAGTCGATGTGAGTAAAGTTAATGAAGGGAATTATCATAACGAAAATATAAATAAAAATAAAAATGGCAACGTGTGAAATGATGTGATAGTATAAAGCGATGATAAAGAACAACAAGCGCACAGAAACGTAGGAGTTTGTAGGGACGCGCAGCCATGCCCGGGTGATAGTATACAACACAACATAAATCTAATATAACATAAACCTCCAACATAAATTGGCCAACATAAAGTAGCAACCGGACTTCTCGCTACTTACTAGAACGGGCGAAGGCTTTATCCGGAAAAGCTAGTTAGAACAAAAAACAAAGTTTTAATTTTTCTGCTTTTATTTACGAATACCAATCAGTTTAGTTTGATGCTTTTAAGACAAGCATTTTTGACTAATTTATGTGCGCTTGTCGACTTTTAAAATATTTACTTATGATTCAGTTTTTATTTAGTGTCTTGTTATTTATTTTAATTAGAAAGCAAGCCTTGTTCATACATTTCTACGTTTAAAGAAACTAATGTGTTAATTAATATTAATTTATGTTTCATTCTTTTAGTATTAGCACATTTCTTTAAGATAGTTGATTAGCAGCTAATTTTACAGGAACTAAGATACCGTAACATTGCACTATTCAACAATTTAAGGTCCTATTAAAAAGAAAAAGTATTATTTTGAAATGTATGCAATAAATAAAATAAAATATTTACCTCGCAGGGCGGCGGCGCTGACCGGTACGAAGGAACTATTTTAAAAGTCACAGAGCCGCGGGCCTCGCGCTGTAAATTGAGATATTTTCTACATAATATAAAGTCCAATGAAATCAACTGAAACACATACACGAATTAGTCGTTTAGCAGTAACTATGAAGACCCCTCTCAATTACGAAAAGTACTAAATATTCCAAAACTGTTTGCTCTAAATCCTTCAGAACGACATTTAAGCTTCGTAGAGCGAGCGTGCGAATATAGCGCCAGTAGCGGCCATCAATGATGCATGAAGTGTGCGTATGACTCAATCCGGAACGAGTGCGTCGCGTCGGAGAGCTAAGATTTTCCTTAGCGCTACACCACGTAGATGTACGTACTTATTTTTATGATACACATGAAAAGTAAGTTTCATACCAGCATCCTTTGCAGTTGCGCGACAGATTGGTTGGCAACGGGCGTGCCGTTGATTTCGCGAATCTCGTCGCCCACGTGCAGCGTGGCCTGCCGATGGATCATTCCGCCGTGCATGATGCGGGCCACGATGCATCGCCCGTCGTCCGCTATCTTAAGGGTTATGCCCTGAAGATACAATTTAAGTAATAAGTAAAACAAATAATAGGTTCATGTAAAGTAGAAAGAGGCCTGGCTGAAGAAGTAATATCTTCTAATAGATGTTAGAGCTTCTTGTGAAAGAGTTCGGCCGAGCGGTAATGTGATCATTACTGCGTTTCGGTTTGGAACGGTAAGGGTGCTAGTGAAATTACAGGCTAGTCAACTTGTGTCTCAGGGTGACAGGCGTAGTGGCAGTGCCCGCCTAATCTTTGCGATTTTAAGTCTGAGTGGCACTGCAACGGTTACAGATAGGCGTGTCGCTTTCCACCAGACGCGCACGACTTGCTAGTCCCGTCACAATAATTCGTCGTAAAAATTGCTTGTTGATAATTGTAAATAGTTTACGCAACTTACACAGCATTTAAATTTGCAGTTTGTAAAAAGTCCGCTTGTATAGCTAACCTTTGTCTAAGTGTACTATCAGAGTAGTCGATGGCGCTTTCGCCAACAGAAATTTATGAAAAGAGTTTCCAGAAGCATTGCTATAAAGTGATACATCATAATATATAAATCAGTAAAAATTGGAGCATTCGCGTGGAATGAATATTTCACCAGAGTCAGCTAATCTGTCTAACAATGAAAAGCCTATAGTGTGTATCATAAAAACGTGTGTGAAATCCTAAGAGGATGGAAAAAAATAAAAGAAAGAAGCTGTCCTAACTACGGAATGAACGTGCATACCTAAACAAAAATTGAACGGACAAATGGCGGATTTCTTTAGTGTCGTACCATAATCTATCGATAAGTCATTATCGACATGCAAACATTTAATTAAAGTAGATCAATATTCCATTTGGGAATATTTTAGGTTATATGGGAATATCACATGAAATTTTGAATCTATTGTTTTGCGTTTAAAAGTACTTAAATATTACGAAAAGTGAATTTGCACAGAAAAAAATAATATTTGTAATTTGAGAGTATATAAAAAAGAGAAAACTTTGAAATATAAATCCTATACTTTCCAACCTCAAGATTCATATTTTTGTAGAGAAATTTTTAACCAGATTCCGAATAGTGTAAGTTTTTTTGTATTTATGGATTGGTATAGAATTAATATCAGTGACTGATTTAAGTGAATCTTTAATACTTTCATTTAATTTTGGAAATAAATGAGAGTAGTAATATTATCAATAATAACATTTATTTTATTTGCTTAAAACATAGCATAACAGGAGATGTAACAAGAGACAGTGTTAGCATAAACATGTTTCGCATATATTAAATAGCATGCAAATGTCTGATTATACAATGCCAATTGACTACTATTGGCCGAGCCCCTTTGGTTTGTGCAGAAAAATCGACACTTTTTTGAAGTGAGACAAGTAGTCACGATCGACTGCGAGTTGTGACAAGCTACGTCAAACGAGCTCTATACACGTTAGCGCTCGCCTTCACTCAGTCAGCTAGGCGAGTGACACCGAACGATGGTAGGGCAAGGCGAATAATAGGCTGTGTATGTTGGTATTGGCCTTCACCCGGCAACGTTAGACCAACATGGTCTTTATATTGCTGGCTTTATAAAATAAGAATTTTTAGTAGTTAGAGTTGTCAGTGGGAAAAAATTGAAAACGAGTAGATAATTTTGTTTTCAGGAACTGAGAATGCCTAGTAAATGAGTCTTGTTTAATCTAAATTAAATATAAAATTATTTACCAATAAACCTAATGATGGTATAGCATTATCATGTAATGTAGTTACATTCAAAGTTATGTTAAAATTTGACTCTTCAAAATGAAGCGAATAAATGAAGATGGTCTTTGATTCAATGTTTATATTCAGCACTATTATACGGCGGTATGATTTCCAACCATTCTTTTTTCCTTTTGATTTGTAGGTAAACTTGAAATAGTAAATAAAAACAATAAAAACCACGTAGTGAATTATTTTAATAACAGAATACCGATAGGCTTTTGTGTGATTTATAGACAGAAAATTAGCACGTGTCTGAACAATGTTACATTCGGTCGATCTTCGCTTTTTCAAATGCCACATCCCGTAATGCTGCGGCGACGAATTTTTATTAATATTTAATTGTTCTCACTGTCAACATTTTTGTCCATTTTATTACAATACATGCGAATAATTCAATAAAACACTTCGAAAAACATTTGTTTTGACATTTGATGTACTCCCCTTTGAGAATCGTATCATGTACCTCATGTACTGCGAAATGGACACGGTTGGCATTTGACGTTACGTATTTTCGATTCCCGTGTTTGACACCGACCAATGTAGTGCTATCTCTTTTGGCTTAAGACGGCACGCAAGAGTTAAACAAAGGCAATAACATGTTTATGTTTTCAACATCGAAATGCATCATATATATATATAACGTTTGATTTATATATGTCAACATAACATGTTCTTTAGTTTCCATAGTCTAAGGTGAAATTCAGTGTCACCTATAGTCTGTCTTTTTGGAAGGCGGAGTAAAGTGAAAGTTCATTGCGCAAAAGTGTTGCCCGTTTGCGAGCAGCTAGTGATTGCAGTCGATAAATATTCTATCGACTATAGACTGAATATTTACGCTTATGGAATAAATAGTCGAACTTGTTTCATTTGAATCATCCTCGATCCGTTATTCATCCAATTATTGAGCATAAGTTGATTTGAATTGTCAATTTTTGTAAGTTCATATATACATACACTGTATTTAGAACTATGTTTATGAAAAATACCAAGAGAAGAAATATTTCAAAGTTTTTCACTTTAATTCAATATATAGTCAAATCCGGCTGTTCTTGTTAAAATGTATATGAATAAAAATTTATCTCGACACTAGTAGGCCAACTGTCAAAATAATAATAAAGAAGGCAATAACGCAATTAGTAATCATTAGAACGTCGTAACATTCACAATTCAGTCACTTTTAGCAAAATTTTATCTTCTTTCACAATCTATCGACAAAACTATCGACAAAAACTACATAACATATTTAAAATTTTATGAAAACTGGCAATCCTACAAATGTCATTTTACTCCGTCTTCAAAAAAGACAGACTATAGTTGAATATTAAAGCAAGGAATATATTATTAATTTAATACGAAGTTGCCGTAAAAACAAATCCTAATTTTAATATTAAACATTTGTGATGAAAGCTACTAATTTTATTTATTTACACATACATTTGTGTATTTGTGGTTTAGGACCCACGAGAATTCTAATATGGGTCGTTGATTTCAAAGGTTCATCAAACATTTATTAAGGCGTTAATTTCGGCCTATGCTTTACTCCAAATTCGTTTATCGAATGCTATTTAGATTAATAATTTAATAATTTAACAATTTATGGTAAATGATGAAACGAATCGTTTTTTAATTATTGGTAAAATGTGGTGACAACAACCACTTATATAATTTTAATATAAAATTCAGAACGCGAATTTGTTATTGGTTTAAAACAAATTACGATAGCGATACGGATCAGCGTGGCGGACTATGGCCTAAACCCTCGCCTGAGAAAAGGCCCGTGTCCAGCAGTGGGGCGTAGAAATGGGTTGATGATGATGACGATGTGCGTGATAGCCCATAAAAAATAAAGATTTTCAGGACCATGTAACGAGAAAATAAAATAAAATGTAATACGTATGGCGCACTATAAGTTTCCGGAATGAATAAGAAAAAAATACTATAAATGGTAAGAATTGAATTTTCCGGAAACTTATAGTGCGCTCTATGTAATACAAAAGGGATTACGACTAAACCTTGGGAACATCTCGGTCCATAATAAAGTAACCCAGGTAATAAGCTAAAAAAATGAGATTATTATGAAAATTTTAAAATTTAAAATATTGTATAGGATCCCTGCAGCAGTACCAATGCCAACATAGAGGTTGCAAAAACAACTATTTGTCTCTTTTAATAGCGAATTAATTATGTCAAGAACCACACATATTTTTCTTAAACTCAAACTCGTACATAATAATAATAAAGTGTGTAATACAAGAGTGTAAAATAAATAATTCTAATTATTATTATTATAACAAAAGCGCGAACTACAACGTTATAAGACGACTTACCATAGGTTCGTCGGTGTTCTTCTGGAACTGCACGAGGCGAACCCTGGTCACGTTCTCGAATTCGGGCTCGGTGTCCTCCTCGTCTTCGGGCGGGGCCGGTGTGCGCCCATTGACCGGCGGCGGCGAAGCTCGAAGGGACTCCTCGCCGTATACTTCGCGGGCGACCACATCGTGAGCCTGTAGTAGGGCCTGCAACAACATAATGAAGTCAATCGATCGATTATCACTGATCACAGGTTTCTGACGATATAACTGTTTATTTTTCTCCCGATATAAGTAAGAACAAAAATTGTAACTAGTATTAGTATAAATGAGCAAGTAACCAAGTAAATTTAAAATTGTGGTTACCACTTTTTACACCCATTGCGTCGTTAAGGTAGCCAGGTACTATTAAAAAAGTAAATCACATGCAACATTCATTTGGTAAACATGTTCCTGAGAAAAGTATAGGAATCAAAGGACATGACGTCATTTTATATAATTGAGATGTTCCAGCAGTTTTTTTGTATTAGCCTACGGGGTACAACCAAAGCGAAAAAGTCCGCATACTGTTCATTACTTACGTAGTTACGTATTGGTATATTCCAAACTTTTGTTCAAGTAACATCTGGACTAGGAAGAATTAAGTTATAATTTCTTGCGCATACATTTACATTACATATGTATAAGACATATTGAACTCACTAAAACCTAAGAACCAAATGTAAAACGGTCATTTGGTTGTGGCACTTAAGGCGAGTCACCGAGGGAGACGCGGGGAAAAACTATTTTGCTAGATCAAATGGATTAGGTATTTATTATTAAATAACGATCTTATAAAAAATATCCGATACACCTGAGGATATTGACTAAATAATGTGCTAATTCGTTACACGATAGGATTGCCGAAAATATCGGCAACAACGGGAGATACCGGGGAGCCCATTGCTATACCGTCAATTTGTAGGTAGAATTCATTATTCCACAATAGATAGCCTGATGTTAGGCAGTGTTCTAATAATTCTGCATATTCAATGGACATATTATGTTCCCTCAGCTTTCTACGTACAATTTCAATGCAGTCTTTTACTGGTAGGTTGGTAAACAGCGACTGAACATCAAAACTGGCCATGGTGTCATCATCAGTTAACCGTAGATCTTTGATTCCACTGATGAACTGGTATGAATCCTTCACATGTGTAGAAGTGTTCCCTCTCAATGGTGACAGTACCTTTGACATGTGTTGAGCCAGTTTGTAGGTTGGTGTGTCAATCTGGTTAACTATGGGACGGATGGGATGATAACTATGGGATTGAACTTAATAAAAATTCATTCCATAAAATAATTTGTAAAACTTAATATAGCGTAAATTGGAATGTTTTCTTTGTAAAATTAAAAATAAGGTATTTAATTAATAACTATTGTAACTACAGTGAAAAAATAGGGTGGTTTGCGTCAATATTAGACATAACTGGTTGAAGACTGTACCACCTCAGTCAACCGTGATCATGGGACCTGTAAAGGGCCTGAAACGTCGGTTTGTTCGAAAAAACAAATATACGCGATTTAAATCCGGAAAAATAATTTCATTTCCTAAAATATGTAATTTTCCACTATATTATTTACTATATAATTTTCATATAGAGATATTTCTTTTTAAATACTACAGAGAACCTGCTATATTTTGGTTTTCATCTGAAGCCATATTATTGAGTTCTTAGGTTTTCGCGATTGTTACACATAGGGAAATGAAACTATTTTTCCGGATTTAAATCGCGTACATTTGTTTTTGTTTTTTTTTCAAACAAACCAACGTTATGGGCCCTTTACGGGTCCCATGGTCATGGTTGGTTTGTTTTAAAAAAACAAATATACGCGATTTAATTCCGGAAAAATAGATTCATTTCCTATGAAGACAGTTAGTTACTAAATTCACATTTATCTTAAAACTTGAAAATTACCCTGCGGTTAACGACTCACCGTGCCCCCCTCTACCCCGTCAGTCGCCATCGGGCGCTTGTCAACGCAGTAATGTGAGCATCATTGCTTTGCGGTTTTGAAGGGTAAGAGTGCCGGTGAAATTACAGGCACATGAGACTTGTCAACTTATGTCTTAGGGTGGCAGTACTGCCCTGAGATCTTTGCGATTTAAAGCTTTGGATGGCACTTCAACTGCTTTGAAAAGGCGTGTCGCTTACCACCAGGCGCATTTGTTTGTCTTGTTACTTCGTATCATAAAAAAATATATTTATTAAATGTGGACTATTTCAAATTATTATGAGAACTGTACTCTTTGTCTATTGGTCGGATTTATACACACGCACATTCCACGATAAACCACGCGCACACGCTCTGGGACGTTGCGATGTACTAACCCATATTTCAATCAAGTATAACAGACGTGGTTTTCCCAAAGAATTATAAATTGCAGATCTTACTTGTTTTGGTAGACAGCGCACAATATTGCGTAGGGATGCTACAAACGGTGACAATTTGGAAAGAACATAATCTATTTGAGTGTGCTCGAACGGTTAAGTAAGGTTGAAGGTCTTTTTCACTGCTGGGGATGAAGCGAGTAGGCAGGCACATCTACAAGTTTGTTGTACCTATTCTGTGACAAACAAAATGTTTATAGAGGAACGCTTTTTCAATAAAAATACCGTCGTGTGTCGGTTCGATAGTTTCATATTCTAAGCAAGTAGGTTGCCAACTCTCAGATGACCCGTTTGATTTTTCAATTGAGAGCACGACATTCAAGCAAGCATTGACACGAATTTTGCGATTGTCGACATCTCTCGACATGAATTTATTGATTTTTAGAAATACACGTTGCCTAGGTATAACTGCGTCAGAATTTACACGCGCTCACTTTATAGAAGGAAGATACATTAGCGCTGCGCGAAAAGCGGATGGTTTTGATATTCGACTAGTTATTAATTACTAATCCTGTTATTCGAATAACAAATTAGTAACCTACTAATTTTAGTATTCGAATGATCTGAAAGATCATTCATTACTAATTTAAGTTATTATTTATTAACTGCCTCAGTGGCCGAACGGTTACCAAGCCGGACAGTCACGCAGAGGTCCCAGACTCGATTCCCGGGCCAGGAGAAATACTTGTATGGCCTATATTTATTTATCTACTGAGTTTGCGTGTAATTTATGGTTGTCTATGTGTGTGTTCATGGCACCCGCAACATAGTGTGAAGCTATGTTGAGTGTGTGCGTTATTTATTTATTTAATTATAGTTTTACTAATCCATATATTCATAGAGCATTTATGCCTAGCCTATCTGACATATCGTCGCCTTACTTTCTCAAACTCGTATGTTAAAGCACAAAGTTACTGAAATGCAAAAAATGGATTGTATATACAAATTTTGCACGCTGATTTCACATTACGATTTCTTCATATTACTGGCTTTTACCTATTCTTAAAGTAATGCATCCAAATTAACACCCTCGATAAGAAATTTAAAATATAAAGAAAGTTTTGCCATCTCCTGAATAATGACTCTTTATAAGATACGTGCTTGCGAAATTAAGGCATCGATATGGTAAATACGTGGACAGAGATATATTGATATGATGGTAAATGATTTGATAGGTTTGAGTTCCGAGTAGTTCCAACGTAATAATCATTCGACTCGTGCACTCGACTAAATGGCAGGCGCGTTCGGTACCGGTAATCATCAATCAATGCCCATTCGAATGATTAGTATTAGTAACATTCAAAATCGCACATCATTAAGTTCATCCTTCTATGAAAAGAGCGCTTACAAAGCATATGAAGTGACAAACTTAGAGCATCAAAACGTTCCGTGAATTGGTGCAATTGCCTAAAGAACTTTTTGGTAATTTTTATCAATAATCCTCGGTATTGTAGTTTAAATTAAAAACTTCAAATAGAAACAAAGAGGGAATCTACGGACCCTGTTCATAAATCCCCTAACGGATTGGCGCATTACTGAATATTGCGGCAAAATTCACTAGAGCATACTTTCAATACGAAAGCTAAACGCCAACGTTCGATATTTGTTTGTATACAGATCAACAGTGAAACGGAAAATCGACCCTAATTGGCTTCTTCGTAACTTTTATAAACAGAAATCTCGGATTTTACCAAGTTAATTAGTTAAGTTGGAGTAGGTTTTAAAATTTGTTTGCTAAGCACAAAAATATTGTTTCTATGCTTTCTTTTCCAAACATTGTTAAATAAATTCTATGAATAAACAATTAAGGCTTTTATCTGCTTCAAATCAATTACGGAATTCACCAAAGTCAGAAATGCCTTTGACTACAAATTCTGTTTGTTTTGGATTTAATTTATTTGAATTTCTAACGCTGTAACAAATGCGTTAGTATAAATTCTTGACATTCTTTTAAGTAATTACATCGTTTTGGGAAAATAGAACAACCATAGGTTGTGATTCAATTACACAATCGAAAAGTCATTCATCGCAACGATTTGTACTCGATTTGTATCGTATCGTACATATTGACTACCTGCAAACTAACATAGTGTATTGGTACGTATTTAACTAAACACACTACCAGCAACATTTCCAATACGTGTCAACTTTAGTCAGCTTCTACAACCAAAGCTGTTGTTTATTAATCGACAAAACATGATTTTCATAATACTTAATCCTTTCATCTCTTTAATTTTGTGGATGGATACTCTGAATAAAAAAAAAGGTATAATTAATTTAATTTGAAAGAAACATTTGGTTTCATTCAAACGAAGTGACGCAAGAGGAATTGGAACTCAGTTGAATTGCAAAACGGGCAAAGTAGTTCCAATATTTGTAATGTAAATAAAGTATTTTTTATGCTATTCAAATACAAATTATTAACAGGGCACAAAGGCTAAAATACTTGTACGCAACATTAGTCTTCTTTTCCATATAATTTTCAACGCCGTATTCGTGCGACACGTAAGGTAAGTTAGGCGTAGAAAAAAGATTCATTCTCTTGATTCCGTGTAATGGTACCTCATGTCAAACGAAATTGATCGCAGTTGACAAATATTTACTTCACTATGCGGGGTAGATAGTTCGCTATTGGTGCATAGACATGTTTTGCAGAGTCGTATATTTCGTAAAAAATCACAATATTCTATATTGAAGTACGCAAGCTTACAATATAACGAAGTCATAACAGTACATTTTCTAATCTTCGGATTGAACCACTATCGTAACTGACAG